TTTTGTTTTTTTTCTGGTACTGGGAATCAAACTCACAACCTCACACTTGCCAGGCAGATGCTGTGCCGCTGAGCTACATCCCCAGCCCCAGAGTTTTTCCTTAAATAATCAGTTCCATCTTTGAACCCAGTACGTATAAGACCCGAAATCCTTAGACCCCCTTACCTTATTTATAGATTTTTAAAATTTTTGGCAAGGGAAGAATGACCGATTGAGCGATAAGAGAGGCTGGGGTGATTTGAGCAGTGTTTTGAGAACGTTGAATCATAACCTTGTTTTCATTTTTTTTTGCATTTGGGCTTCTGCCTCTGGTTGGGGCTTTTGCTTTTCGCCCCAGGGCTGGGCGAACTTCCCTGCTGGCAGCAGCTCTATTGACTGCCTCGCTGCCTGGGGTGGGCTCTGTGGCCTGCGCCCCTTCCCCAGAGGCCGCGGAAGTCGCCGCCTCTGCAACAAGGGCTGGCAGATTCTTCTCCTGGCTTCCTCCTCCTCTGACCTGGGCCCCTATCGCTTCTGTGGGTCCCATCCGAGCTGCGCACAGGGTGAGGCACGCGGGCATGGCCGCGCCGCCTGGGGCTTGAACCCAAGAAGTCCGGCAGGGAACTGGGTAGGTGGGCAGAAGGCTGCAGCCGTTGTTGCCTGTTGCGGCTGGCAGATGCCAGGCCCTGGGTATGCGGACCGCTGCTCGCGCTTTGGCCGCTGGAGGCCGCGCTGCTGCCAGGACTCTGAGTGCAGGTGCTGCCGGTGCCATGTAAACTTCTGGTGCAGGCGTGCACGCAGTCAGCGGGAGAGCTGGGCCACGCCGGGGTCTTGTCCTGTCTACCCGGGCCCCGGCCCCAGGCTTGTGGTTGGCGGCGCGGGCTGCGGCTGCGGCTGGGCAGGGCGCGCGGGCGCACAGGTGGCTGGGAAAGCGCAGTAGTGTCCGTCCAGGACCACAGCTCGGGCCCCGCCTACACTGGCCGGCGCCACTGTGGTATCGCGCCAAGCCAGCCGTGCGCAGCTCAAAAAATTCCCTTTTTTGTCTCCTGTGGTTTCTTCCTTGATTGAGGAAGCCAGAGGGTTTAAGCTCTATGGGTAGGGCCTACACCCCTCCCCTGCCTCCCTTGAGTCTAAAGTAGTGCTGCGAGCCAAATCCTCTGTAAAGCCCCTCTAACCAAAATCCACAAAAGGAAGGTAAATACAGGACCGAAGCGTACAACAAGCACTTCTACATACATACACACCTGTGATTCTCTGTCTGCCTGATAACAGCTGGTCAATCAATACACCTTTATCCCGTTGGCTTTTTAAGCTTTTTTTTTTTTCCAGGCCCTTGTGAACTTCTTTGCCCCAAGTTTTACACCTGATGGACAGTGCGCACCAGTTGTGAATACTGACGCTAACAATGCACTGTCCCCCCACTGCACGCACCACGAGAAATGCACTCTCACCCAGTGTTTTTCCACCCCCATCAGTCCCCTGTTTATGGTCCCACGCAACTTTAGCTGTTACTAAGGGAAAAGGCTGAGAGGATTGAGAAATAAAGAGACAGAATCTGAGGTCAGGTGGAGCCTTCTCTCTCCAGATGGGAGGAAAGGAAGCTAGCCAAAGACTGCAGAGCATTTATTTGTACATTCTGGAGGTTGTTGTCAATTTCAACCTCTCTCCCCAGCAACTTGTTGACCAGCTGGAACAGCTTGTTTACCTGGCTTGCCTTGGACTCTCCCTGTTCTCAGGACCAGCTTTGTCTTAGTCCTGTACTTGTGATCCGTCCCCAGCTTCAGCTGCTCCCCACACTTACACTTGTGACCTTGAGCTTGACTGAGGTTCTCACCACTTAAAGACTTCTGATGAGGCTGGTGGTGATAGCAGATGTGACTTTTGATATTAAATAATGAAACGTCCCGACATAGGACGATTTTGTACAATTCAGTTAATAAGCATTTCCACATATATTACCAATGAATGGTAAAAAATCATGCATTTTGAAAAGGTTAAAGTGTAAGGCAAGGGGCTGGGGATTTAGCTCAGCGGCACAGCACCTGCCTGGCAAGTGTGGGGTTGTGAGTTTGGTTCCCGGTACGGGAAAAAAACCAAAAAAAAAAAGTGTAAGGCAAACCAGTCGATTTTAATTCCAGTGAAAAATTCATTGATAATGTTTTAGATTCCATGAGACAACTACCTTGAAGAAACTACCACTTGAATTGGAGTGTAGTATCCATAATTACTTGGAAAGATCTTGAAAATCTTGAAAATTGTGATCTTGAAAATTGCACATTTGTAGTGAAATGAAAGTTTTGCCGTATACCTCAGTCAGAACAACATATCCCAACAGATTGAATCAGAGGCAGCTGTGTGAATCCGGCTGTGTCCTGAGCCAACCATTAAAAGGGTTGGTAACCCTGTGACTCTTCTCAGTGCAAGTTTTTGTTTAGGAATAAATAGTTGTCTTCTTAACTATATATGCTCTCCGTGTAATCTACATATGTAATAGTTTATTTTTTTAGGGAATTAAAAATATTTCAAAAATTCTGCTTTAGATTTCCAGCATAATAAATATCAGTAGTTATAACCTACAAGGCATAAAAAGCTCTTTCTAACCCTCAAGTTTTCAGTGTGTCCAAGGCTCCTGAAACCAAAATGTTTGAGAATTGCTTTAGAGCATGATTGCGAATAATAGATTTATTATTCATCAGATTAATTAGAAACTTTCTCTAAGGGACTGTGTAGTACTCAGATATGAAACTGCGTGGAGAGGTGTAATGTGGTATATCTGAAATTGAGTTCAAAGACCCAACAAAGGGCTAGAACAAAATTGAAACTACAAAGAGAACAGGTCAGGTATGAAGAGAATTTGTACCCATCTATGAAAGCTGTTCTAGCCAAGTAGAATTTTTTCAGAGCTACTTTACCTTTCTTAACTTGTTTTTTTTCTATATGGTATTTGAGAACTCAGTCTTTTTATTTTTAATATTTTGGTTTTGTTTTGTTTTTCACACAGGGTCTCCCAATGTAGTTCAGCCTGGCCTTGAACTCATTGTGTAGTCCAGGGTGGCCTTAAACTTGTGGTGATTCTCCTGCTTCAGCCTCCCGAGTGCTGAGATTACAGGAGTATACCACCACTCCCAACATATATTTTTAATTTATGAATGAAATAGAGCCAAGAAATATCACTGTGACTAGAAATACTATTATTAGTGCTACTCAGATTCTATTACATAGCTTGGTAAATACTTTTTTCTTAAAATTTGGGTTTTAGTCTTATAGTCAGAATTTGGTGGTTAATTTTATAGCATAACAGTTTATAAGTATCAAGAAAATGTATACTTCAAGCTAAATTTCAAATATATGCTAAAATGAATGCATAACACAATGTATAACAGTACAAGCAATCAACAAGTCAGTGTTATCCATAGACTTTATGTATTTTGTTGTAATGTTCACGTGTGGATTTTTAAAAATCTTTTTAACAGTGCCCAGACCTTACTCCCTGTCCTCTAAAACAAGCAGACTGCCTGATGAAACCTCCTGCCTCGGGGCAAGAGACTTGTGCAGATGCGGTAAAGGCAGTGTAAGGGATGTTGCCAGAATTCCGAGTGAGGCTCAGACCCCAGAGTGCCTGCAGGAGTTCAGTAAGGCTACACACAGGCAGCGGTGCCGGGCCCGAGCTCTCCACGTCTCCGACAGGTTTGCTAGTAGGGAATTTCCAGGAGGGCAGCCCAAGTTTAGGGAGTGATATTTTAGGCATTGGGCCCTGGAAAATACAGCTTATTTTGGAAATTACGAATAGTATTTCTGTCATTTCTGGTGCAAAGATGAGCAGCAGAAGATAGAAAAAGACAGGGAAGTGGGGGGGTTGTATCACAAAAGAGTCCTTTTTTTGTCATGGAAACACAAGGTAATTTTACCCAGCGGGCTGCAGAGAACCTTTAAATAGTTTTGAACAAGGAGTTGACAGACAGACTGTGGGTCCTAGTTCAGAAAACTGAGACCTTTAGTAGGCAGATGGGAAGGAGGCTAGAAGCAGGAAGCTGCGCGGAGGCTGAGCAGGCGGCTGAGTGAGGATGTGGAAGTTGGGCGGGGCAGGTGTGGGTCAGGCCAGCGCTCGCCGAGTCCCTGCTAAGTAACAGAGGAGGCAAAAGGGGATTCCTAAGGCAGTGCCATGTGCGGTTCAGTGAACTTCATGCCGTTCCTGCATTCTTCGCATCCTTAACTCGTCCGTTTTGTTTGTGAAGTGCGTCATGCAGCGAAAGTCCTCTGTTGGCACCCTGCCCATTCATTTCATTTGTGTTCCTGCCACACATTTCTGCAAACCTTTCTCTGAAAGTGTTGTCATTGTTACATTTCCAATATTTTGGTAGCATTGAAATTGAAGGGAAACTTTATCAAGTCCTAAATCATGTGTAAAGAATGTTGCAGGTGGATATTTTATCCCATCTTTGTATAATTGCACCTTTCAAGTTATTGTCTAGATTAAGGAGGGTTAGTCTTTAAAAAATGCTGTTGTAGATTAAAGGAGGTTTGTGAATTTGTGTTTGTATCAAAATGCAGGTAGTTTAGAGTAAGGTCAGGTGAATCATACCAGAGTTTGCTTTTAGGAAGAATTCTCTTATTTTCTTTTCTGTCCTCTTGTCTGCTAACTTGACTTTTATCCTTTTCTCACTGATATGCTTCCACTGAGAAGGACGTAAGCGTAAAAAGCACAAAAAACATTTTAAGAAACGTTTTAAAGGTCTTGATCGCTCAAAAGGTAGGTAAAAGTAGTTTTTCTGCCATGTGTTGTTTATACACATTGCCGCTTGATTCCTAGCTTGGAAGGTAGAATGAATGTTAGATTATAATTTAATTTCAAATATGTTTCCAGTTGGAAATTCACATTAAAACCTGAACGACATCTAAAAAGAGTAATGATGCTAGAACGGGTGTAATTTCCATTGAGTAGTTCCCTGCCTCTCCTTCGGTCATTCATGATGAGGTGCTGTGAGAACTGCATGTCTTGAGCTTGTATTTTCTGTTTTTTATAGATAAGCCTAAAGAAGCCAAAAAGGATACATTTTTGGAAAAATTGGCAACTCAAGTAATAAAAAATGTACAAGTAAAAATCACAGACATTCACATTAAATATGAAGATGATGTAAGTAATTTCAGTTCATTTGGTTTAAGTTAGTAATTAAATGTATATTGTATAATACTTCTGGTTTGTCAATATATGGTTCATCTGTACCCGATTTTATTTATTTATTTATTTATATTTCTTTATTTTTTTTGGTGTTTTTGAGACAGGGTCTCGCTATGCAGTTCAGGCTGGCCTTGAGCTCACTTTGTAGCCCAGGCTGGTCTCGAATTACAATGATCCTCCTGCCTCAACCTCCCGAGTGCTGAGATTACAGACTGGGATTACAGCCACCACGCCCGGCTTGATTTATTTTTTATTTTTTGCAGTATTGCAGATCCAACCCAGTTACTCTACTTCTGAATTGCATCCTTAGCCCTTTTAAGAATTTTTCGAGAGAATTTCGTTAAGTTGCTGAAGCAGGATTTGAACTTGTGATCCTCCTGCTTTGGCCTCCCTCAGAGCAGGGATTATAGGCATTTGCTTTTGTGCCTGATTCCTGTACTTACCTTGAATCTGAGATTGATGTTGTTCTTACACGTACAGGGCCATATCGTTTTCTGTGTTAGGCTTCTTTCATTGAGTATCCATGTGTGTAAATGTAACATAAAACCACTATGTGTTGGCCTCTGTTTTTTAAAACTATGTGTTAAGACTGATAACTTCAAGGAACTAGTTTTCTTGTTACAGTGGCAGAGCAGTTAGTTCCTAGAGTTGATTAAATAACCGGTGGTCGTGGTAGTCCGCAGAAAGGGTAATAACATTGTGGCTATTTGAGTGTGGTACCATTCTCTTTCTCTTCTCCCCAGTGGATTGAACCACCCACAACTGTTCACAGTATGTGACAGTATACTTAGAAACCAAGAACTTCCCTTATGACCAGAAACTTAACATTAGTTGATTAAGAACTATCCACTTGATTTAAAATGTACCTGGTATCTTGAATTGTGTATGTTTCCTTGTGTTTAAAAGCTTGAAACAAACCAGGTGCAGGGCCCACTGCAGAAATCCCTTGGGAGGCTGGGGCAGGAGGATTTTAAGTTTGAGGTCAGCCTGCGCAACTTAGCGAAATCCTGTGTCCATATAAGATTAAAAAAAGGCTGAGAGTGTAATTTAGTGGTAAGAGTGCTCTTGTGTTAGAAACCTTAAATTTTATTATTTGCTCAGGAAAGTGAAAGTCTTATTCCATCCATCTTTTCTAAAATTTGCATTCTTTTTCATTCTGGATTTACCTCGTTTGAATTAAATGAAAACAGTACTGACAATATATAGTTCTCTGTAGCATAATACTGTATAAGACACACTTGCAGCTTTTCAGAAAAGATCTCTAATAGTAGCTTTATATTCCGGCTTTATGGAATTATTAAAATGAATTTGTTAAAAACTAAATGTTTTATAAAACTCATGTTATTAAAGATCATGTTTCTAACAAACTTAGAAAAAGAAAATGTACTTAACACATGAGAGTGAAAGATCTTTGTTAAAACTATGTGAAGAAATGAGAACCCTCAGGTACTGACCGTGGCTAAGTAAGTTCCTTACTGGAAATGTATAAATGAAGACCAAATTCCCTGACGATAAGAAATGAACTATTAAGAGGAAAGACTGTTGAAAAGCACATCATTTGAAAGGAATCAAATATGTGGGCTTGGAGTTGGATATCTTATTTTTTTTTTTTTTGTACTGGGAATTGAACTCAGGACCTCTTGCTTGCCAGGCAGGCGCTATGCCACTGAGCTATATCCCCGACCCGGAATCGGATATCTGTACTCAGAATCTCCTCAAAGAGATGCCTCAGGTTGTATGCTGATGGATCACTGCTGGTAAAAGTAAACAACAACCACAAATAGGATTACCATATCACCCAGCAGTCCCACTTCTGGATATATATCCAAAGACATTGGAATCAGTTTTTTTAAAGAGATACCTGCAACTCATGTTATCATGGCGTTATTCGCATTAGCCAGGATATAAAAAGAGTGGATGGGTGAAGAAAATGTGGCCCGTCTACACAGTGTTTAGCTTGGGGGTGTGGTTCTGTCATTGACAGCAGGACAAATGAGAGTAGACGACAGCGCGCTAAGTGGAGTAAGCCTGGCACCGGAAGACGACTACTGCGTGGTGTCACTTATAGGTGGGAATTCAAAAAAGTGGAACTCGGAGGCCAGGGGCTGTAAAGCTGGTGCCGGCGGTTGGGTGCAGGAAGAGCAGAGGCTGGCCGCGGGGTTTCAGTGAGGAGGGAGAAGCGGCGCGGTGGTGATAGCTGGTGAAGTGTATGACTACTAATGCCTGTGTGGAGATTGCCAAGTGGGTTGTAAATACTCTTATTACAAAGTGGTGGGAAACGCAAGGGGTAAATACACTAGTGACCCTGATTTGATCCTTCCACCATGTACATACATTTTTCTGAAGCATACACATCGTACTTTCACAAATGTATGCACTGTCAGTTTGAAAAATAGCAAAAAATAACCCTGACATAGTACTGGATGAAAGCCTCAGCTTGAACTAAACTAAGCTTTCTGCTGATGCAGTACAGTTAGAAAGGTACATTATTTCTCTTCTTCTGGTATGAAGGAGATACACAGGAATAGGATAAGTAGCACCAGTCATGCTTAAATTGGTATCAGTGACAAAAATGTACTAAAAATATCTAAAGAACATTAAAAAGCACAAAGAGTTCTTGTAGCTCGGAAGCTATGAGAAATACAGAATGTAAGACGTGGGAATAGCCTGGATGGTGGCACATGTGTGTAATTCCAGCACTGGGAAGCTGAGGCAGGAGGGTTGACGTGAGTTTGAGGTCCGCCTGAACTATAGTGAGACTTTTGTCTCATAAAACAAAGGAAAAATAAGTGGGGAAATGCAGTTCATCATAAACATACTCACTGGCTAACTGTAGTAGTTTGTGGGCAGGGTAGTAGCAATTGTGCAGTTGTGTTTTATTGAAGTTCCTTCTGAAATAGCTGCAAGTTATTTTGAATTAGTTATCTGTGGGTACAAAAAGATGAGTGCAGGGAAGTAGGAAAACGTTTTGCTGTAAATCATTATTTGCATTAATTACAAATAAAGCTAATAGTGCTTTTCAACTATACCAGAGCATGTATGCATTTTTCCTGTTGGAGAAGGGTCCGTGTGACAAAACTCTGGGGTCTTGGATTACTTAGAATGTTATACTACTTCCTGCTTTGCCTCATTTCTACCATGATCAAGTGATTGTTTTTTTGGTGCCGGGAATCGAAGTCGGGCCCTGTGCTTAGCAGGCGGGCGCTGCACTGCTGAGCTACATCCCCGGCCTCGTCAAGTGACTCTCGATGACTTGACTTTCTCCAGGACGGCTCAGATAGGGACACTGCATGTCCGGTGGGATGGTCTAAACACTGTGTGTAAATGTAGCTTAGGTATTGAAGTTCAGAAATAGAACAGAAGTTTAACTTTGGCAGGTTTTGGGTGAAAAGACAGGAAATTAAATATTAAGAATCTAGTTTTTCTTAACAAAACATTGTAGAAATGCTTTAAGAAAGCATTGTCAAGAAAAGCAAAGGCCTAAAGAGACAGTTTGTGTTTCTAAGTGTGGAAAGTGTAAATGCTATAAAAGTGACTTAGTGGCAGTGCTATCTGCTGTCTTCATTCCTTAGAGGCATCTGTTGAGCACAGTTACTGAGTCTTCTTAAACGGGAGAAGCGCGTCAGGTCATGAAGTGTGGTCCTCAGCATTCCCGGACCCTGCTGGCCGTGCTGCTTCTTCCTGGCCTTGTCTTCAGCACTTGGGCTGTGTGACCTCCTTGTACCTGTGTTTTCCTCTGCCACCTGTTGGGAGGGGTGGGGCGGGGTTCGCCCTCACTTTCAGTACATTCTGATGTCCCTTTCCTTTGACAGGTCACGGATCCGGAGCGGCCGCTTTCCTTTGGTGTTACACTGGGGGAGCTTAGTCTGCTGGTAATGATGCCTTAGTTAATATTTCGGTGGAACCTCTAAAGTGTTACTGTGAAACCATAAGCTGAATTGCCTAAAATCAGCTATCTGCAAGTAGCTAATACATTTTTTTTACATGTTGTCTTGCTATAGTTTTGTAGATACGAGCATTTTTAGCGCTGCTATTACATTACATTCTCTCATGTTTGTGTGTCTTACCACAAGTAGATCTAAATACTAGTTTTAAAATTTATTTAATTCAAAATACTAAATTTTAAACTTTAATTATACAAGTATATCTAAATATCAGGCAGTCTGACAGGAATAAAAACTGTATCTTAAGTATGTGTGAAAAGTAGGTGATAGCTAGTAAAGTGTACATACATGTACAATGCTTCTACTTGATTCAGGCAAGTGGATTTGCTAAGTAGTTTGTATATGTGTATATAGTTATGTAGGTCTGTTACATTGGGAGGTGTATAAAGTAATTCATTTTGATTAGTTATTTTATAAATCAGTGTGTTTCCTTGCTAGAGAATACAGAGTTGTATATATCCAGGTTGGATTTTTTTCTGTTTAGGGCAACTTAGTGGTAGAAAACATTTGTGGGGGCATATAAATGAAGAAAAATAGCTACATTAGGCGTTGCTGCGGAGAAAAAGATACTGCGTGTACACTGACAGTGAAGGGCTGTGAACAGTAAGTCGTACCGGGGACTCTGCCTCATGATTGGCTCTGTGGAGAGGACCTCGGGAAGAAGAGGTACAAGCAGGGACAGGGTGTTACTGGCAGAGAAACGGACTCAGTTACGGAGAAATCTTGACAATGAGGCATACAGAGAAGTGGAGATGTATGTGTGTGTGTCGTCGGAGAGCAAAGCAGGAACAGCGAAGGAGGGAGCGGAGAAACCAGGGACCGGGAACCGGAAGGTAGTGCATGCATACGGGCTTTCTGTGTGAGCCTGTTTCCGAAGTGCATTTGAAGTAGATTTGATAAAAAAGTGTACATTAACGCTAACACATTTCAGGAGACCAGAATCCGGGTTCTGAAGGGTAGAGAAAATTGTTCCAGAAATCTCAGACCCGCCTGGAGCGCCTAATAAACAACACAGGGTACAGGAGCCGTGTAGTTTCTGTGGTCTGGAGAGGCGCGCTGGTTCGTAAGCAGGTGTAGTTTCCTTGGTGGGTGCTCTTGTTGGAGCCTCTGAATTTTTTAGACACTGTACTGTTTGGCTTACCTGTGTTATGCTCTTCCCTTGGTCTGCCTGGTAGTTCTACTTAAATTTGAATGTGTTTATTTGAGACACTACCTTGTCTTTTCTTTCTTTCTTTCTTTTCTTTTTTTTTTTTTTTTTTTTTTTTTTGGTCTTTTTGAGACAGAACTACTCGCTGTGTAGTTCAGACTGGCCTTGAGCTCACTTTGTAGCCCAGGCTGGTCTCGAATTGCAACAATCCTCCTGCCTCAGCGTCCTGAGTGCTGGGGCTATAGGTGTGCACCACCCCATCTGGCTTACCTTGTCTTTTTCATTCTCGCCCACTTTTTTACTTTCCTTATAGAATTTATCATTCCCTTTTTCCCCTCTTTCTTGTTTTGGTTTTCTTTCCCATACTGGGCATTGAACCCAGGGCCCCACGCATGCCGGGCACGTGCTCTGTCACCGCGCTGCATCGTGGTCCCATTCTCTCCTTCAGGTTCCCTGGGAAGCCTTACCGAAGACCTGTAACCCTCTGGTGCATGGTTATCAGAGGAGAGGAGGCGTGTTTAGGGCGCTATGGCTGTAAAGGGTGCGCTGGTTAGCGCGTTGGTCCCCTGTCTAAACAGTGCCTGTTCACTGATAGAGTCGCAGCCACCTCCTAGAGTTCTTGTATTGAGTGGGAGTCTGTGTAAAGCGCTGGGCACATTGTCTGGCGCAGTTATTTCCTGCTTCTGCTACTGCAGAGGCTGTTACAGTAACGTAACAGCAAACCTCGTATCTTTTGTGTCCAGTCCGTTCCTTTTTCCTCCTTTTCAATTACAGTCTACCTTTGAAGCTGAAGTCCTCTTCCCACCTCTGAGCAGGTTCTCATTGTCCTCAAAAACCTCTTCCCCCTCCCGAACATCCCTTTCGTCTTTGCATCAGCCTCCCTCTCCCAAATCTTCACCCCTCCAAGCATTTGAACATACACATGCCTCCTCCTGCAGCACAGCTGAGAAACCTGTCCTTACCGTCCTCCTTCCCTCTCAGGCCCTGAGACGGCTGCCTCCCCTCTTTTACGCAGCCAGCCTTTTCGAGGGTTTTCTAGCCGCGCTCTCCTTCGTTCCCCAGCTCCCACTTGCTCCCCGCCGTTGTGCTCTTGTCCTCAGCGAGTTCATCCGTGATGCGCCGGCTGTTCCGTGGGTTTTACACAGCATTGTTGGCCCTGCTGTCTTTGCTGTACTCTACTTTCTGCGTTAGAAAAATTACTATTTTTAAAAGTGTGTGTGACCTTCCGTAGAGTACACGCAGGCTCTCTGTTTCTGCTCGTACCCACTTCTTTCTACTGTCACAGGTTAGCTCAGCAGTTTCCTGAATGAGTGAACTCAGGTTGTATTGTTTCATTGTCCCTTTGATTTTGCCATGCAGGTATACGAAGACCCAGGTAACATTACCCAACAGGAGCTGTGTTTCCTTTGTGCGTTACTCTGTCCCTGCTTGCAAACACTACAGCATTGTTGTATGATACACTGTACATACCACATTTCCCAGTTACTCTCCTGTTTCTTTTAGACTACGAATGAGCACTGGACTCCGTGTGTGTTAAATGAAGCAGAAAAAATTATATACAAGGTATTGTGCTATTATTATTAGAGTCGAGTTTTTTTGTTAGTTTCCTAGGTCCAAGTGCTTACTGTACTTTTTTCTTTTTGGTACTGGGAATCAGCTCAGGACCTTGCACCTGCCAGGCGGGCACTTGTGCCGCTGAGCTGTATCCCCACTTCAGTTCTTTTTTTTGGTCGGGGGGCGGGGAGGGGACCTGATATTGAACTCAGGACCTTGTGCTTGTCAGGCAAGTACTGTACTCCTGAGCTGTATCCCCAGCCCTGTATTTTCTTGAAGAAACGGTGGAGCAGAATATGCTCTTGGTGTGAGTTGAGAGTCCAAAGTCTAGCCCTGGCTCTGCGACTCTGAAGTGTAGGTTGTTCACCTATCAAGTAAAGAAATAGGATGGACTATTTTCCAAATGGTATTTTATGAAGTATCCGGTAACTGAGCTACTATTAGATTTTGTAGAAAAAATATTCTTTGGTCAAGTAAGGCTGCTAATTTTAAGTAGTAAGCTCTCTGTAATTAAACAGGTATGTTTCATTTCCTTGGAAGCTACAGGGCTTCATGGTACTTTAAATGTGCTAATAAATACAGTGAATCTCCCACTGGAATGTTTACTTAGTATTTGCTTTCCTCACCTTGTTGGTCAGAGAATGCTTTCCCTCCCCTGAAAACAAACAGCCACTGGGAGAGGGATCCCACTGCCAGAGGGATCATTTCTTCTCTACCCAGCAAAACATTTACTGGATCTGTTAAATGCTAAGTTCACAGTTTGATAGTTGAATGAGTGAATCTCTTGAATCTCTTAGAAATTGTATTCCTGGACACACAATTTAGCAAATACTAAACTTAGTAATAAAGTCTGTGGCGATATTTTCCTTTAATTTTGCATTATTTTCTTTACAAGTTCAAAATGGCGCTTGGGTAATAAACACGAGATGAGCCTTTTAGCATAGTTTTGCTTTATCCTTCGTATTTGTTTATTGCTTGACCTTTTTCCTTTTCTTTTGTAGCTTATACGACTTGACAGTCTCAGTGCTTACTGGAATGTGAACTGCCGCCTGTCCTACCAGGGCTCCCGGGAACAGATCTTGGTAATTTTGGAAAAGCCAGCTCCATTCCTCCCTATGTTTTATGTCAGAGGCCCTCAGTAAGACAGGCCATAGTCCTTTGTTTAACTTGTGTGTCACTGAATTTGAAGTGTGAAAAACAGTTTTGAAATCTGTATGTCTTCAGGACAGTTTTGGATTTGAACGTTTTGTGAAATCATTCACTAGACAGTGACATAAGAACCTATAAAAACTGAAGAACTTCATGTTTTGTCTTTTATACCAATTTTGGTAGCACTCTTGTTACATTATAGCATTTTATTTGAGAATGATTACGAGTGTTGTAAAGAAAGACACTACCTTTCAGATGCAAAGTATGTACCTTTGGCAAAAGTTTTAAGCATTTGTGATGATGATTGCCTGAAGAGTGGAAGATTAATTGAGCTTGAAATATCCTTTAGCCGTGTTAGTGGGTTATAACAGTGTCTCGTTTTGGTTTCAGTTTGTGTTTCCCTGTAGACTCAAGTTGTTTACACATCTTTCATGCGTTTATTTTCCCTATGGAATTAGTGTGTGCTAATGTGCTCATTTACATTCTTAGTCACGTTTATTTACTTCAAGGAGAAAGAATTTTCTGAATTGGATAAATTTTGAAATTCTATCACATTTCTCAGAAGAGTACTGTGATAAAGTTTTTTTTTAGTATACTGCTTCATAATATAATTTATTTAAAATTTTTAAAAATGAAAAAGATACTTAGGAAAATAAAAAGGCAAGTTGTAGATTGAGGGAAAATATTTGTGGGATATAGTCAGCAAAGGACCTGTATCTAAAATATGTAAAGCATTCTTATAATTTAATAAAACAGTCCATCAAGAAAATAGGGAAGAGATTTGAACAAATACATCACCAAGGAAATTCCCTAGGCACACAAACATATGAAAAGATGTGCAAACATCTTGACTCTGTAGGGAAATACAAACGGAAACCCAAATGGGATATGCTATAATCCCCTGGAATTTTCATACATAGCTGGTGTGAATGCCAAATTTGTAAAATCACTTTGTAAAATGGTCTGGCAGTTTCTTGGAACCAGTATTAAACTAAACGTTTGCCTTCCTAAGTATTCACAAGAGAAGAGAATTGTATCCACATAAACACAGACAGATGTTTGGGGTACTTTCCTTCTAAGAGTACAAATTGTAAACAACCCAAGTGTCTATTAGTAGATGAGTAATGTATTACATTAAGTTAAAGGGAAAGAATTACTCATACAATAATACAGATCAGGGCTGGGGAGATAGCTTATGGGTACAGCACCTGCCTGGCAAGCGCAAGGTCCTGAGTTCAATTCCCGGTACCGCCCCCCCCCCCCAGTTTGGATCAGTGTTAAAATAATTACGTTGACTGAAAGAAGCCAGACTGCTTGTAAAAACAAGCATAGAGAATGCAAATAATGTATAGAACAAAAAGTCAGCCAGTGGTTGCCTGGAAGACAGTGGTAGGGAGGGACTGGGGCCTATAAAGGGACAAAAAGAAACTCGGGGTGGTGGGTGTATTCATTACCTAGCGCAGCAGGATTTCATGACTACGCTCGGTGTCACTGTGTGTCAGACTGTCCACGTTAAATGTGTATGTGTTTTTCGAGACAGGTTTACTATGTACTCCAGCCTAGCCTTGAACTATCCATGTGGTCCAGGCTAGGCCCGAACTTAGGGCAGTCTTCCTGCCTCAGTCTCCTGAGTGCTGGCATTGCGGGTGTGCACCACCACACCTGGTTAAGTATGTGCATTGTATTGTGCCTTAAAACAAAAGGATCTTAGAGTGAAAAAAATGACCAAACTTGTGGTCCAGGAGTTTTATTTCTGAGTATACATTCAAAAAAGATTGAATGTAGGAATCAAACATATTTGTACAATGTTCATAGCAGCAAATAGTTTACTTTTGAGTAGAAATTTGTAGAAGTATATGTGTATATGGATTTCTATTAAAGTCAGAGAGAAGGCCAGTGTTGTGGTGCACGCCTGTAATCCCAGTACTTGGGAGGCTGAGGCAGGAGAATCACTGTGAGTTTAAAGCCAGCTTAGGGGTACATGGTGAGCTCAAGACTAGCCTGAGCTACATAGTGTGAACCCGTCCCCCACAAAAAGAGAGAAAGATGATATTACAGTGTTTATAAATATTTAATATTTTAAAAAATTATCAGTTTCTATGTCTTTAGTACGCTAAAGAAATACACTTATAAATGATACTAGTGTATTTTTTCTATGGACTAATAAGTTACAAAGAGAGGAATAAAAATATTGATGTAAGAACCAATTTTTTTTTTCTGTATATGTGGCTGAATGTTTTTGCAATTTCTTTTCTTTTTTGGTACCAGGAATCAAACTCAGGACCTTGTGCATGCAAGGCAGGTGCTTGTGCTGCTGACCTGTATCCCCAGCCCCTGCAGTTTTTTTTCTGGTCTCATAAAATTTTAATGTTTTCTTTAGGATCAACTGAAAAATGAAATTCTCACAAGTAGAAATAGACCCCCAAACCACCAATACAGTAAGTACCAGTAAGTTTATCTCATGTTAGAGGAAGAAAGTTGGAATGGAATATTTTACTGTACCTCATTAAAGTCATTGGTAGAGCGTTGCTTGGGAATAGACCTAAGGCACCTCTGCTGGGGAATGAGGGAGTTTGCTCTTTGTAGCCAACCTCCTTTAGCCTCCATATTGTCTTTGTACCTTTTTATTGTATTCATTTTGGGACTTAGGTTTTTGTTTTCTTTTTAAAAAATAACCATATCTCTGGGATCTGGGTATTAAGCATTACTCCTCTATGCCACTATTACTCATGCAAGGTAAGCCAGCCACTTGACATTTTTAAAGTGAGCTTTCCTGTGTTTTGCTGCCTCACCTTTATTTTAAAGTAGATCGTTAGTTTGTGCTTACATTGTTTGATTAGTTTGGCATACCTGTGTCTTACAATCTGAGCAACTACTTTGAAGGCAACAATATGCAATATATTAACCGTTGTTAATTTCCTACTGTCTTGTTTGAAATTCTGCATCATTATTTTTGTTTTTCTCTCTTTAAAATAAAAAAAAAATAAAAGATCCCTAAGAAAGCTGTCTATCCCATCTGTGTTTTCCATTTCTGTGTCTTTCTAAAGAAGCTGTTGGTTTGCTTTTGCTCCTTGTGTCCCTTTGTGATTGTGTTCAGCTTTCGCACCTGTGCTCTTAAATATTCCGTATTAGTCTGGTTTACTTCTGCCTCTTGCTTATGTTCTTGTGCTGTTGGATGGTACTTGTCACTTTCTATCATGCTCATAGACTCCTCTACTTAACGATGGTAGCTTTCAAGTGCTGTTTGTGAGGGCGCTTAGTTTTGTTGATGAATAGACTAATGTAAGAACACTACAACTTCATGCTTAGGGCTTTTCCATTTATATAACTTACAGATATGTAAAGTTTTTATAATTTTATGAAAATTATAAAGTACCGTAATTTATGTAATTGAAATTATATTCACAATTAAAACTTACCACCTTGCTTCGCCCTATCATCTTTTCTAATGCACACTTTTCCTCAGCCTTAAAATTATATTATTTAGTTCACTGTAAGATTACATGTGTCATGATCATTTTAAAAATCATAAAAGTAGTGATCATTTGTTGGGAATTAATTTTAGACATGATTCCTTTCCTAAATTCTAGCAATAATTAAATAAAAACTAATTTCATTTCCTGTTACTAGTTTTTTTAATAAGTAATAAAATTATTAAGTTAAGAAACCTCCCCTTATGTATAGTTTATACAGACTGTGAATAGCCAAAGGTAGATTGTGTTTTGTACATTTCTTACCTAGGACAGGACTCCAGTCCGATTACCGGCAGTATGAAGAGGAATGGTTGCTTTACATATTTTTTTGGTAGTGATTTTGTTTTGCATATTTTTGATCACTTTCGGAGTGCTAGTTCTCATAATTATTCATGTTCACGTGTGAGCGCATATAAGCATACCTCATGTCTTCTCATAATTATTCATGTTCACATGTGAGCGCATATAAGCGTACCTCACGTCTTCCCGTGTGATGTCAGTTTTCCAGCCAGTATCAGCCTCTGCAAAACTCTACATGAACCCTTACGCGGAAGCAGAGCTCAGAACACCCAAACTAGATTGGAGCATAGAAGTGCAGAATATTGCCATCGAGCTGACCAAGCCTCAGGTAAGACGCAGGGGGACATCTGTAGCTTTGTTTCGCCTTGAATCTTGGCCACTTTTGTCTTTTCTTATTATTCCTTGTGAAGTCTGGTGGTTCTCTTCATTTGTTTTATGGAGATTTGACTTTTCAAATGATCTTTTTCTTTGGAAAAAAAAAAAATTTCAAACAAATTTTTTTCCCATTTTATCTGATTTTAAATGATGTACAAACTTCAGTGAATAATATTTCCATTTAATAACTTCTGGTGGGAAATTTTAATGAGATTTTTCCTTAGTTTTTAACAGTAGGCCTTCACATTAACTGTGGTTTCTTTATTTTGTAAAACAGCTATCTTGGCAGCCTTTTTCCTCCATTTGTTTCCTAAGTGTAGTTGCATGGCTAGTTTTGTTGAGGAAAAATTGAGTCAACAGTAACCAGGAACTCAGGAGAAAAAAGGAAATTTTATTGACCCTAACGGAGCCCGGAGGAGTACTCTGTGAGGTGTTGATGACAGAGAGCTTGTCTTATTTACCTTGAGGCAAACAGAAGTTACAAGAATGAGATAAACTTCTGCTGAAGTTATGGTACAGTGGGTGTCTTGCAGTGAGCATAGTTGTTCGTAGCACATTCACAGTCGTTGCGGTGTGATGACAGATCAAGTGATTTAGGTGAGTTCAGTGGCAGAGAACAGAACAGAACGACTGCAGCTTTACTGAACAAGTGGCTGCTGTTAGGTCAGGGTCAGGGTTTTTGCTTCAGTTTGAGTCGCAGAGCTGGAGACCGGGATGCGAGAGCTGGGCAGGAGACGTGAGCCCAGTGCTGTCTCGTTAACTAGAAGGCATTTCTGCAGTTAGATTTCCTGGTAGCTACATTTGCAAAGTAAAAAGATGAAACTAACTGTAATGACCTATTTTATTTAACTTAATATTTCCAAAATCTTACCATTGCAATTGCCATTAACATAAAAGTCCTAATGAAATATTTAACCTTTTCCCTCCCCCTTCAGTCTTTGAAATGCAGGATATATTTTTACTTAAAATACATGTAAATTCAGGCTAAACACGAGTGCTGATTGTCACATTGTAGCTAACTCTTGAGTTTAAGAAAATCAGCAAGGCGGGAGCTGGACTTGCCTGCGCTCGTGTCAGCTCTGTGTGTGTCTCCGCCATTTGCGCTGTTTATCAGATCCGCACAGACTTGCCATGGCGGTGGTAGGATGGGTGGTTAAGTGGTTTTACCCTCTGCAGTTCCACGGTGGTTTCCTGGAGCGGTTTGAGAGTTAACACATAGACAGCTGCTGGTGAAGTTGCGATCCAGAAGAAATGCAGATAATTTTAGAAATAAACTCGTTCAGAAATAAGTGGAAATCAGTTGTTAAAAATAAGTCAAAAGAAGTAGCTCTGGGAGGGTGGTGTCTTATTAGAGTAGAACATAGAATAAAATATGATTTCTTTGAAAATGCGTGCAATATGATTAAGCTGATTTTGTTTTTGTTTTACTAGTACTTAAGTATGATTGACCTTTTGGAATCAGTGGATTATATGGTTAGAAATGCCCCTTACAGGAAATACAAGCCTAATGTACCACTCCATACCAATTGTAGACAATGGTAAGTTTGAGCTGCTTTGCTTATTTTATGAGAAACATGTAATTGTACAGTTAGGTGCTGTCAGAACTGAGAGACCTTTTAACCATGTAGTGTACCCACTTAGAAAAAAGGTACATAGGATCCCTCCACCCCAAAAAAAGGCCAGGAGGGATATCTTTTATATGGCTATGGTAATTTTTTCCATAAGCACAGCCTCCTGTATTTTTGTGCCTAAGGGCCCAATTTTTTTAACTTAGTATTTAAGATTTTCAACATTTTAAAAAATCCTTATTACTCTTTAGTCACCTACAGGGACTTCATGTTCTGACCACACTGGAATATAGTCATGTGTTGCTTAACAGTGGGGAGAACTTCCAAGAAATGTGTCTGTAGGGGATTTTACTGTGCTCTTACTTAGTGAACTTGCTGAACCAGTACAGGTGTGGGGGCAAGAGGAGTATAATCTGATGGGACCGCCATGGTATATGTGGTCTGTTGGGTACCAAAGAGTTGTTGTGCTTTGGAATACTTTCTTCCTGGAGGGTTTCTTACTGAATGTATCTAAGCCAGAGAATTACAATGCAGACTTGCAGTGTTACAGTGGAACTTCTACTGGAAGATACTTAACAGTGTAAAATTGAAAGTCAAATGTATTTTCCATGCTTTTTCCTAAATGTATTCACATATGCATTAAAAAGTTTTGATTTTCAGGTGGAAATATGCCATCGATTCTGTTCTTGAAGTTCACGTAAGGAGATGTACACAGATGTGGTCATGGTGTAACATAAAGAAACATAGAGAGTTACTCAAGAGTTATAAAGTGGCCTACAGAAATAAGCTAACTCAGACGAAAGTCTCAGAAGAAGTACAGAAAGAAATTCAGGTATACCTTGTGCACAGTTGTGAGAGCTCTTAACTGTCTGGCCACCTTTTAATGTTATTTCTTCATTTATTTGAATTAAAATGCAATTTTAGAATGCAGTTCACCCCTTTCTGAGAAGATTTTATGGGAAATTTCAGAGTATTTTTTCTCAATTTTTTTTTTCCTGTTCTGATAGCACATAAAATAAGGCTACTGCAAACACTTTTGGGGAATGTTTCTGGTTTTTGTAATAATATTTAAAAAATTAATAGGGCTACTTAAATATTTATTAGTTAGGTATATTTTACTTGTTTTTTATTAAAAGTTCCATGTTTATGTGGTCATGGCTTTTTGTTAAAAGAGTTTAAGGTATTATTATTTTTTAAAAAAATATTACTTTTTTTTTTTTTTTTTTAGTCTTGGAAAACGACAGAGTCTATTCTTATAAAAGAAAACGTACTGAATATATAGTTTGCTTAATGTCATAGGATACAGGTTATAGAACTCTGTCTGCCACTCATTGCTAATGTGAAGAGGAAGTTGAATTCTTGGTATTCTGAAATATATAACCTTCATCAGCGTAATATATTAGAACCAGCCTAGGTATTGCAGTCAGATGGATCTGGGCTTAGGACTTGCATATCTGCGAAGTGTTCTGATCATGGACATGAGTTCTTCAGGTCTGTTACTCTCAGGCAGAAAGTAGAAACAGTACCTGCCTTGCAGGGTTGTGAGAATTGCATGATATAATGCATAAGGACCTGGAACACAAGTCACCCAGGAAGTGTTAAACTCTTTCTATATACTTTTATTATAAATTCTGAAACTTGATTTCTACTTTAGCCTACTTAGGACTCACAGAATTTCATATTCTTAAAATTTGTGCTTTACTGGGGTCCCTTTAGTGCAGTAGTTACGAAATAGGTGGAAAGGGGAGAGTAAAAGGTAAGGATAACACCTAAAGGATAACACCTCTTCCTCAGTATTTTTGTTGCCATGTACGTGTATAACTATCTGTGATTTTCAATGATTTCACAGAGAAATTCTTATTTTCTTACGGTGTTTAAATAGGATATGCTTCCTTAGAAAACATTTATTTCTTATTGTAAAAATTAAAAGATTTAAAAGTTTAGTGTATGTTCCAGTTTGATTTGATCACAAGTATTGGTAATGGACTAGATAAGCCTAGAAATCTTAGGAGAAAAAATTCTAATCTAATGATTATTTCTCTTGTTTACAAGTGTCTCTTTGTTTTGTAGGACTTGGAGAAGACTTTAGATGTTTTTAACATAATTTTAGCAAGGCAACAAGCACAAGTCGAGGTAATCATTTTTACTAGTTCATTTCATGTTTTAAACATGTTAGCACAGCTCTTTTAAACCTAGGATCAGGAAGTCTTAAGTTTCACGGGAAGTTAATTCAGATTTACCTAAAAGAGAATAGAGATTACGTTTTCACTGATTAATTTAGTGTCAGAAGAAAGTAAATTGGAGTTCTGGAAGGAAGCTACAGCCACTAAGGGTAAAAAACTTTGAACATTTATAATTCCAAATTTGAAATACATGGAAAAGAAAGCAAATGGAAATCAGCCATCATTTCAGCAACTTAGAACGCTTTTGTTAACCGTTTGATATATAGGATTCCAGTTTATCTTTCATGCTTATCTACTTATTTTTTTCTCTCTCATTTTAAAGAACTTTTCTTTCCTTTTTCCTGTTTCCTCTCCCTTCTCTCATATCTCTTTCTTCTTCCCTCTTTTAGTTTCCTTTACAAATTGGAATCAGTATGTTCATAATTGTTCATAATTGCTTACTTATTGTACCCTGTGTGCCTTGTTCCATGTAATTTTTATGATTCTATTGAATTTTTCAGTGCTAATTTGCAAACAGTAGAACTCATTATAGAAAAGTTAGAAAAAGGGGTCACTAATGTTAACGCTTTTATGTATATACTGTTAGTCCTTTCCGTAGTTGTAAGTTTTCCATACCCAAACTCATTTTAAAAATGAGATTAGAGAATGTACAATTTTTCATTTATTTAACAGTTGCTGTTTGAGTTGAGAATCAGAGCATCTGGGTAATAATCCCAGCTTTGCTATCTACTAATTGTGTGATTTTAGGCTGTTTAATTTCTCCTTGCCTTATTTTTGAAAAATGGAATTAATTGTTAGTACCTATATGATAGGGTTATTGTAAGGAGTATAGATAATCCCTGTAAGGTAACTAGATTACTGGGTGACTGGCACGTAGTAATTACTAAGTGTTTTTTCTTTCCTTCATCATTATTTGCAAAGCATAAGGAGATGAACAAAACAGACGTGACTTTCTTACTTACATTCTAGTAGGAGAGAAGAACAATAAGCATATACTTACATGAAGCAAGTAGGAATGGCTGGGGAGAGTGTTGGGGCTGGGCAATTGATAGTTGTTGCTGTCTTAAACAGTAGTTAGAGAAAATCTCCAAGGGAGATGCTTGAGCAAAGACCGGATGAAGGTGCGGGCATCAGCCGGAAAGGTGTCTAAGGGGAAGGTTTATCCCAGCGGAAAGAGTGAAGTATAGCCAGCCCAGAGCTCTTGGGCTGCGCAAATGTCTCGCTCCTTGGAGGCACTAACTGGAGTCTACTGAGGGGAGAGTGGTGGCTAAGGAGTCAGGAGTAAGGAAGGAGGGGTGGGAGGGATGCTGTGGGAAGCAGGATGTCGGATTCTGCAGGATCTTACAAACTGAAGTGGAGACTTTCACTTGTATTCTGATTCAGAAGCCGTGTGTGGGTTTTGAGAACAGGACGACATGATGTAGTGGTTTTAGAACTCTGGCTGCTTTGAAAACAGGCTGTAAGAGGGAGGCAAGGGGGAGGGAAGGGAGACTCCTTGGGTGTGGTTGAGATAGTAGAGGGCAGGGTGGTGGTAACTTGCCTGGGGAAGGTTGCAGCGACTGTGAAAAAGGATCTTCTTCAAGATGTATTATAAGGGTAGAGCCAGTATTTCCTGCTGATTAGATGTGTATGTAAGAGAGTGTGAAGATAATTTTACGGGTTTTCTTTTTGAGTGCAATTGGAAGGACGTTAGTATTTCTTGAGATGAGGAAGACTGAGTATAACAAGTGTGCGTGAGGTAGGAGATCAGGAGTTGAGCAGGCGACTGGGTACGTGAATGTGGGGTTTAGAAGAGAAATCTGTACTGGTGTGTACATTTGGGAGGGGTCAGCCGTAGGTTGCATTTACAGCCATGAGATTGGATGAGATCCCTGAGCAACTTAGAGTAGCTGGAGAAGAGGATGGTACTGAGGATGTAAAGTGTTCTGTTGTTATGGCCAGTGAGAGGGGCAAAACCCAGCAAAGGCGACCACGAAGGGGTTGCTGGGAAAGGAGAGAAGCTGTGTGAGCGCAGTGTGTGCGAATCTGAGTAGAGAAACAATGCAGGGAAGACAGTGATCTAGGACAGATGCGCCTGGTGTGTCATTTGAGATGGGACTGAGAAATATTAAATTAAAAACCTTGAAAGTCATCTTTGATTCTCTTACAACCTACACAAATACATCTGTAAAGACAATGGTGAGAGTACCATACATATACATACACATATCTAAAAATGATATTCTTACACAGGCGTAAATATATTGTTACTTGACTGTGGACATCTGTTATCTTTTTTCTGTTGAGAACTGGCCACATATTTCTGTTTTTTCTCTTTTGTTTCTATTTGTGGTATTTTTGTTTTATATGTTCCTGTTGGGTGAATATGATACTACTATATACTTATATTGTTATATATTTAGCTCTTTTGATATTGCAGTGTAGGTCTGTGACCACTGATTTTTTTCTTCCCCAATCTTTTCTCTATATTTTTAAAATTGGATAATTTCTATTCTGTTTTGAAGTTCACTCTTCTGTTATCTCCGTTTTGCTATTGAGCTCATCCTGTGAGACTTTAATCTCAGACATTAGGTTATCTGACTGTTGGCATCTGTTACTTACCTTTTATGTTGAGAAACTCATTGCATTTCCCTGTTTTTTCTTCTGGTTTTTTTTTTTTTTTTAATGTTGAGAAACTCCCATCGCATTTCCCTGTTTTTTCTCCTGGTTTTTTTTTTATGTCAAGTGATTATGGATTGTATTTTTGACATTGGGATTATTGTAGCTTGTAGTCTTTAGATCCTGTTACACTTATTTGCAAATGTGGTTGTTTTGTGTTATTACAAAACCTGGTTAGGTTCTGGTCCTAAGTTGTGTGCTGCCTTCTGTAATGGTGACGTAAGTCTGAATTGAGCTCCTTACCCCTTTGGCATGTAGGTTTCGATCTGTTACGCACACGAATTGTACAGGGGTTAATTTGAGATTTGGGTGGATGGTTTATGTCTCAGTTCGGGTCTCTAAACCTTTATCACTTTGGTTTTCATCAGTTTCATATATATGAAGCTTGGATTAAGCTGGATTGTAGACAAATTCATACGCAGAATTAAGGGATCGTCTCTTTCTTGCTCTGCTCCCCTTGGGATTTCTCCTTATATACTCTGGCCAGTATGGAGTCTATTCTCTGGTTGTTTTGTCAGAAATGTGGAGTTTCTCTCAGGGTTGTAGCTGCCTGCACAACTGTGCTGCGTGTATTTCTTGCAGCGCCTTGATTGAGGCCCCTCCCCTGGGGTGGAGCCACGCGTAGCACTTTTCTGTGGCTCTGTAGGAGCTTAGGGTTAAAACAGCACAAGTTGGCTGCCTCCGAGTTTCTGTGGGTGGGCAGTGTAGGCTTAGCTGAGATTTCTGCTGAAGCGATCAGAATACTGCAGGACGTTGCCTGGGACTGTAGTGTCAGTGGAAGTGTGGCTGATAGGCTCCACTATTGGAAGAATTTACTGTGGATTTACCTTCTTGCGGCTTAGGGTGGAATACTGTTTTTCTGTTGCCTGCTGACTACAGGCTTCTTCCAGCTTATTCGTAAATGTCATGTTCTGTTTCTTGCCTCGTGAGTCATGCACTTTCCATAACTTGGCAGCTTGCTTCTTCAAAGCGAGGAGGAGACTCCACCAGGAGGGCTGCTGCAGTACTGTGCCCGTCACAGCACACACACTTCACACGGAGTGAGTGCTCCACACCACTTGTGCACGTTCTGTTGGTCAGAAACAAGTTAGAAGGCATGCCCCCACTCACGGGTGGGAGTTTACCCAAGGACAAGAATGTCAAGAACAAGAGATCATGGGGCGCACCATTTGAGAAAAGTAGAAGACTTGGAAACACTCTTGTGCGTGTTGGTTCTCCGTGTTTGGATCCCTTTCCACCATCTGTCTGCTTTGCCTACTTGAAGCTCTGGTCAGTGTTTTTTTAAACATGTTTGGAATTTTTAGTTTTAATCAGTGGAGAGGAAGGGCTAATGCCACTGTGGAATCGAAACATCACTGTTGGATTTGGTAATAAAGAGCATTTTTCAGTAGAATGGTGCAGGCGGAAACTTGATAGGAATGAGAGAGTGGATGATTAGGAATTGGAGGCAGGAAGTGCAGACAGTGTGATTCCTTGCTGAAAGGAGGACAGATAAGTGCAGTGCTCATGGGAGGTGGGGTGTCCAGAGGTTTTGTTACTTGCTTGTCCGCCCCGCCACCACCCCCACCACCAGGAATCAAACTCACGACCTTGCGCTCGCCAGGCAGGCGCTATGCCACTGAGCTAAATCCCCAGCCCGTTACTTGATTGTTGTTCGTTCCTTTTTTTTTTCTTTAAAGTTATTGGAGTTGAGTGCCACTATAATTACTTGTCCAGCATCATTTAAACAACTGGATAGCTTTCCATTCTGTGCAGCTATCAGAATATGTATTGCTGTTTTCCATTGGTTGTATTCAGTTGTGACACTACAGTGGGTAGCCTTGTCTCTCTCTCCAGTATCTCTCATTTTATAAGGACAGATTTCTCAGTGTGTACTTATTGGATCAGAGAGTGTGAATATTTTAAAAGGTGTTTGCCATTGGTGGATTGTTCTAGGGAAACAAATGAATCACGAGGAAATGGATAGTTTCAGGCCTCCTTGAGTCATTTGAGTTTGTGTTTTTAGTCCCACTTGCAGTTGCTCAAAAATTAAGGAGGATGAATTATTGGCCGCAGTGGACAGAGAAGGGTGGATAAATTGAGCATGGTGGCAGTGCAGTTTATTTAAGGTTGGTAGTTTTTCACTGTAGGGCCTGAGAGGTTTTTTTTTTTTTCTTTTTTTTTGGTCTTTTTTGAGACAGGGTCTCACTCTGCAGTTCAGGCTGGCCTTGAGCTCACTTTGTAGCCCAGGCTGGACCTGAGAGTTTAAATCAGGATTGAAGTTTTACTTAACGATGGTCCCTTAGTGAGTCAGGGAGGGGAAGGGTGTGGCTAACAGGGATGTGTGAGAATAAGTGAGAGGCTGCGCTGGATCTGTGTTGCTATTGGTTGTTTATATGTGCATTTTTATTTCTGCCCAGACACGTAAAATGTGTGTGTGTGTGTGTGTGTGTGTGTGTGTGTGTATAAAATTTTTAAACTTTGAAATCATTATAGTCATTATATCTTAAGCCATTATATCTAATAAGTCATTGTATCTTAAGTCATTATATCTTAAGGGCTTCACAGAAGTCCTGTGTATCTTTTACTCAGTTTCCTGCAGTGATTATATCTTACATAAATTTTAACACAGTATCAAAACTAAGATTTGAAATTGGTACTGTTTGGGTGTAGTTTATGTTAGTAGCTATTGTGCTTTTGAATGTTAATTCTTGAAGTTTTAAAATGGTAATCATCAAAACAAAGGAAAGCTTTTTAAAAATACTCTTTATTCTATTTATTTTCTTCATAGTCTTTGTCATTGAGGTTAGTGTTTTTTCTTTTGAGACAGAATGTTGCTAAGTTTTGGGTGTGTGTATGAGCAAACTTTTGGTTGTCCTGCCTCAGCTCCCTAGTACTGGTTGGGATTATAAGTGTGCACCACTTTGCCTAATGATCTTTTTACTTTTGAGTTTATTTTGAATACTCCTTGAAAATTTTAACATGCTGATCACATACCTAAGATTTCAGCTTTAATAATTTATCTTCATTAAAAAAGTGTTTTTGTTGTTTGTACTGGGAATTGAACTCAGGACCTTATGCTTGCCAGGCAGGTGTTGCACTACGTCCCCAGCCCTAACACTTTTTAAAAAAGATACTTAAATAGAGATTTAGAAAGGAGAAAGGTGAATGTTACCATGTGTTGCCCCTTTATTTGATGTCTCTTGTCAGGGTATTTATTTCAGTCTTCTAATGATTAGTTTTAGTTAATTCATATTCTGAATAAAAATGTATTTCCTTAAAATACATGTTATTTATTATCATAAAGGAGATTTTTATGAAGACTAAAAAGATGGTTATAATTTTTAAAAATTTAGTGCCTGCCCTTTAAAAGTGATCAGTTTACTGAAAAAGATTTTAGTGTTCAGATGCCTTGCCGCTTTTTCGGCATTTAGGTTTATGAAGAACTCCTCATAAATCTGTTTATATATGAAGGGCAAGTATACCAGAGGGGTTCCGGGTTGCAGTCTCTGGCTGCGTTTTCCTAGGAGGACCAGCGGTACTGTAATCTGACCTTCAGAAGCCCAGATGAGGGGCTTTTAGTTGGCATGTTCTCCGGAGTAGCTCGGTTTCACCCACTGGGAAAGGGTTGGAGCAGCTAAACCCCTGTGCTTTGATCTCTGCTGTTGTTGGAGGAAACTCCTTCACTGTGGTCTGGAACCCTGGTGTACATTCGAGTCACCTGGGTTATTTTCATACCGCACGGATGCCTGGAGCCCCACACCTGAACATGGGTTTGATTGGGGTGGGGTTGGACAGTGAGGGTTTTCTTAAACTCCCTGCTGGTGCACGGACGCAGGAAGGACTGAGTGCCCTGAGCTGGGGGGTCTGCGGTGGCTGCGCTGGCCTTCCCTTGCAACTTGCAAATGCAAACAAGCTTTTCATGGCCGCACTCATCCTAGGCGTATGGCAGATGTCTAACATTTTCCCCATGCTTAGTCTTTATAACTCACTAACTGAACCTGTTCTCTCTGCTGTGGAGTTACTGCTTCCCTATCAATTTAGAATATTTTATGTTTGAAGTGGGAACATTACTGAAATTTACTACTTCGGGGTAAAGTCTACACTAATTTTTGCCTTCATTCTCTTTGCCTGTGTTCAGTGTTTTGGTTCATCTGGTAAGTGGACAAGGAGGGGGAGTCTCAGAGACAAATGAGAGATCGGTTGAGGAAAGAGGCTGGTCTGTGACTCGGGTGCCCTCTGTAGCTCTCATCACCTACCGTACCCTTAGTTAGCCAGCCAGCAGTGGATGTGAATTCTGAAATGCGATTGCTTTGCACTAACACATTTTGGGTATGAGAGCATCTTCTTTTTGTGGAACTCTTCACTTATAAACCTGCAATGCTGGATCACAATCCCCAGAACAGTTTTACTTGAAACCAACTATGTTGCGGATAAAATGCAGTCTTATCAAGATGCTTCCCATAGATACAGCAAGGAGGTGGGGGGGGGCGGGGCTGTGTTTACCGAGTCGTACTGTGAGCATCATTTAAGAAGGACCTGGCTTTTCAGCCTGTTGGGTTGAGCATAGTAAATACTTCAAATGAAGCAAGAATTTATTTTTCAATTAATTTTTAAATTTTAATTTTCTAGGTGATTCGATCTGGGCAGAAACTAAGGAAAAAATCTACAGACACGGGGGAGAAACGGGGAGGCTGGTTTAGTGGGTTTTGGGGTAAGAAGGAATCTAAGAAAAAAGAGGAAGAATCATTGATTCCTGAAAGTAAGTTCAAGTCCAATAGTTTACTGTACATTCATGAGGAAAAATGAAGTAAATTGTACCTTAGTCTTTTCATTGAATTTTATTTCAAAATGGTTTTATTTTGAAATGAACAACTAATTTGAGGACAGTAATGTGCAGTATAACAACCATTGTTGAATTCTTACCATCTTTTTACTGAAGCTCTGTATCATTTTTTATTTTATTTTTTAAAATTTATTTTAAAAGTAAAAGGAAGAAAACATATTAACAAACAGACATCCATTTACAAAATAGCATAAAAACAATACAGGCAGTACTGAATTACGAAGTGGTAGGAAATTCACAATGGTTGTTGTATTACGTATTGATATCTTCAAAGTGGTTTCTCAGGAAAACAAATAGAGACATGCAAGACTGATCAAATAAGTAATCATTAACTGTTCCTTTCTGTAGAGCAATAGAAGGCAGTAATACAACTATGTTAGCTGTCCTGTATATACATACTTGCATAATTTCCCCTTCTTTCTTTTCTCTTTTCCCTCACCCCAGTTGCTCTTTACTTCTGAGCATTTTCCTTTCGTTTCACAATGTCTGTCATACCTCCTAATTTTTATTCACTCTTTCAGTTTCTCACACTAGTGAGACAATACGTTGCTTACACATGCAGGTCTGGTTTATTTCACTTACTGAGTTTGGTCTCTAGTTGTGACCATTTACCTGTAAAAGCCTCAAGTTTATATTTCCTTATAGCTGAGTAATATGCCATTATATAAAAGCACCACAATTTTTTTATCCAATCCTCAGTGGATAGACATTTGGGTTGCTTCCACAATTTAGCAATTACAAATTGCGCTGCTGTAAACATGGGTGCACATATATCGCTGTGATAGGATGTTTTCAGATCTTCTGGGAAAATACCCAGAAGGGGAATAGCTGGGTTGAATTTCTAATTTTTTAAAATTATTTTTTATTCTCAATGGTTTGATCAGTCTTGTGTTCTTACATCTGGTAATCTGAGCAGTGCTGTTGAAGATAACAATATATAATGTAATAACCACTGTTAATTCCTGTCATTTTGTTTTGAAACCCTGTATCATTTTTCTTGTTTTTGCTGTTTTGTTTTTGTCTGTGTTGTTGGTATTTTATTATTTTAAAATTCTCTTTATAATAAAAAAAGAAAAAAAAAATCAGCTCAGTATACTAAACATAAGTACATTTATCTAAAATAAAACTTTCTTAAAAATTGTAAGAAATTTAAAATGTTTAAATTTAGGGTTTCAACATTTAACACTTCTTACTGTTACCTTTTACATGAGTATTTAATGAGAAGTTTGACTTAAGTTGTAAGATTCGTAGGGAATACAAAATCGTTTTGAGAACAGAATCTCCTTTATATGGTTCTTTGCCTCTACAGAGGCAGGCAAACACAGGGTGCTTGTCTTAGTTGTACTGGAATATTAGAGGAGTTTACCTTGCTGTTTGTTTCATCATTTGTGTCTGTTGATTTTAGGACATTTGTTTTGACTTTTTGATTATACGTAAAACTGAAGAAATTAGTTTCTTAAATTACTGTGTTTTCCTTGTAGCTATTGATGATCTTATGACCCCAGAGGAGAAAGATAAACTCTTCACTGCCATTGGTTATAGCGAAAGCACCCATAACTTGACTTTACCCAAGCAGGTAATTACATAGGCGGTTTAAGAGGTATTTTGATTCATTTTACTCTATTATCTTGTATTGGATTAAACAAGTTACGACTTTTTAACTATTGGACATAAGTTATTAGTAGTTTCTACTTTATTCTTCAGTTGTCAAATGCTTCCAGTTGGGCCTTACCAATTAAAATTATCCTTTCAACTTTAGATTTATTTGGTTTAGTGAATGTAATAATAATCTGATAAAAAACACTTGCTATAGTTTAAATTCAATCTTTAAAACTTTTTTTTATTGTGGAATGTGACTCATGTAAGAGTGAAAGAAACTGAAATGCCTTGCTCCCTTGATTGATCAGAATGAAGCAAGTATATAATTACTGTCAGGGCCAAGATTTGGAGTATTGCCGGCATTGTAGAGCCCTCGTACATCCTCCCACTCTTGCTTTTCAGAGACAACTGATGACCTGTTTTGATGGTAGTAATTTTTTTTTAATTTTTGTTTTATACTATAAGCACTGATTTTATCTTGTGCACTTTTATCTTTCTGTAAATCAGTCATAAGATACATGTTCATGTTTAGGCCCATCCTGTTGTTGTACTGCATATATTTTGCTGAGTTTTGTTTCTTCGTAGGATTCCATCATTTGAGAAAAATACCACGAGTTACTTATTTCTGCTTCTGCTGATGAACATTTGGGTTGTTCTGTTTGGTTATATGAGTAATGCTGCCATGAACTTTTTATAAGTATTTTTATAGTGTGCATATCTAAGATTTCATGCATAGTATCTACTTAGTAAAACTGCTGGGTCTTAGGATATGAGTGTATGTAATATTGTAGTCTAGGAAATAGTTTTGCAATATGGAAAACATTTCCATCAGCTGATATGAGGATTCTGCATCTTCACCAATACTTGGCATAAGTGTTTTAAGTTTCAGCCATTGTCAATGTTAGGTATCCCGCAGTATTTCATTAAGTTCCAATTTTTTTTTCAAACAAGTTCTCCCTGTATAGCATAGATTGGTCTTGAACTTGTTACCCTCCTCCTTTAGCTTCCTGAGTGTTGGGAAGGCCGGATTGCACCACCATGCTGGCTTGATCTTTTCGTAAGGGACGCTTGGTTATTCTAGAACATTTGTGCTTATATGTTTTCAAAAGTACATGCTGCCAGTTTGTTGAAGATTGCGCTGAATATGTGGGTTATTTGGGGGAGAATGGTGACATCAGCAAATTGAATGTTCCAGTCACTTAATTCCTTCCTATCTCTCTGATCATTTATGTGCTATTACTTTATTTCTGCCCAAAGAGTGCCCATTACTATATATTATTTCTTTTAATGCTGGTCTTCTGATAATTAGTTTTCTAAAAATGTATCTGTTTGCCTTTTTTTCCTTGAAGGATTCTTTTTTCTGTATATAGAATTACAGATTGTGCCTGGGCATGGTAGTGCACGCCTGTAATCCCAGCACTTGAGAGGCTGAGGCAGGAGGATCCCTGCGAGTTCAAGACCAGCCTGAGCTACAAAGTGAGCTCAAGGCCAGCCTGCATAGCAAGACCCTGTCTCAAAAAGACCAAAAAAAAAAAAAAAAAAAAATTGCTGATTGTTTGAATTTTTTAGGCCATCTTGAACTCTTATGGGAAATCAGTACAGATTTTGTTTTTTCCCCTTCATTCTCTTTCTCTTGTCTTTTTAGGATTTCTAATATCCTTCCTTGGATTATTTCATATGTCACATGTGTCTTCTTTATTCTGTATTTCCAAGTTCTTAATTTCTTCTTTTGAATCATTTCTTCTTCTTCTCTCTTGAGCTGGTTGTTTATTACTGTTAAATTCATTCATTGAATTTCTCATTCTTTGTTTTTCAATTCTTGAGTTTCTGTTTGGTTCTGTTTCTCTTTTTAAAAAAATAACTTCAAAATTCTTTACGAACTCAGTTTTGTCTTTCACCTCTTGGAGTATAGTGAGCACCATAGTGTACATCTAAGCTTATACTTCTGTGGGTGTAAGATTTGATGTCTAGAGCCCCCCTGAATGTTTATACTTTCTGTTGTTTTTGCTGAGTTTGTTTGAACATATTCTGGATCCCAGGAGCATATTTATAAGTGTATCCAGTATAGTAGATACTGATTTTGCAAATGACAATATTTTTGTGTTTTAGAACTGTAGGGAAACAGTACCCTGTAAGAGGCAGATTCTCATTTCAGAGAGCTTGTGTTTCTCCGTGCTGTATGTAGCACCATTATGTGGGGTCCCTCAGTCCTTTTTAGGGGGTTGATGTGATTTGCTGCTGTGCTGTAGACCCTGGGAGTCTGCTTACTTATTGCTCACCTGTGGCCCTGGGTTGTAGCCCTGCAGGGTCCTGGCCGAAGTGGGAGAGCCCTGTGGGTGCCCTCGCCCCCTGCTGGGGCCTCGTTTCCGGTTTGGGTCCTCCAGTCTAGCTTCCTGCTCTTTGCCTCCCTTGCTCGGTTTTTGAGCACGTCTGTCCGAGTCACATTCTCAGATCCAGGCTGATCTCCCTGGCGGTTCTCTGCCCTGCGTCTGGTCGTGGCTCAGTAACCATTGGATTGTTTTTAGTGTCTTGTTAACTTCCTGCAGCCGTCAAGTGGATGTTTCTTATTGTTAGGATTCTTTTTTTGCTCAGCTAAAAGGCGTCTTGTTATATGTCATTGTTTCTGCCTTTAAAACTTAAAAAAAATGAACTTTCGGATCTTTTATAAATATCTGAGAGGAAATTTCATTGGCTATTCTGCTATTCTTCATTTGTGGTAATTATGTGCATGCCAGAACCTCCATGTTGCTAGGTCACTTCATAATTCAGCACATTTATTTGAGAAGAAACTACTAAAGGTTATGTAAACTTCTAACAATTTTCATTCTTTTTTATCTTCAGTACGTTGCCTATATAATGACCCTGAAGTTAGTAAGCACTTCTGTTGTAATCAGAGAAAACAGAAATGTTCCAGAAATACTAAAAATCCAGGTAATTGGCCTGGGCACCCACGTATCTCAGCGACCAGGGGCACAAGCCCTTAAGTAAGTTTTTAAAAACGTATTTCAGTGTTTAATAATGACTGTAGGCCAAAAAATATGAAGTGTTATTCAACATAGAAGAGAGAGCAGTATTTTTTACGTTTCGTTTCTTTGTGTGCTAAGAGAGTCACTTTGTGTGTGGTTTACTGTGGAACTGCAGAGGGAGCTCATCACTTACTTCATCTCGCTCCTTCTCTTCACAAACATCGGGTACCGTGGGCCCCATGCTGTGGAAGCTGTGTGTGGGCACCTTGAGTTTTTGTTTGCAAGAAGTGTAAGTTGTAGTTGGTGAAATACACAAAAAACTAATAATTCAGGAACGGTGTAACATTAGGTGATTCAAAGTGAGATGATGCTTTAAAATTAAGTGCCTCCTAGTTACTGCTGCACAGGCTCAGGTGTGTAAGAGGCTGAGCCTGAGAAGGCCTAGGCTGGCTACCAGGAAAGGGCACAAGGAGAAGCAGGGAAGAGGTGAAAGGTGGTGAGGCTGGCATGGGAATAGGCAGATGAACTCCTCTGTTTCGCATGAGTTTTTATTCATGAAACAGTGATCAGAACTGCTGTAGCTCCCAGGGTTGGCTAAAGTGAGCTTTTCCTGTGGATGATTAGTTAATAAAAGTTACTACAGTACCAGCAGCAGCAAAAACGGATGGTGTGGGTGAATGAAAGCAGGGTAAGGAAGTTGAATTTCACTTTTGAATAATGGGCTGGCGCCCGATTCTTGGAAGATTGTTGTATTTCAACCCACTAAATTACAAAGGCTCTTAGGACTTTCTTATTCTGCTTTGGACTGCAGGGTAGAAGCAAAGTTAGAACACTGGTATATCACAGGTCTGAGACAGCAAGACGTTGTACCATCCCTTGTGGCTTCAATTGGTGACACCGCATCATCCTTGCTTAAAATTGAATTTGAAACCAATCCAGAGAACAGCCCTGCCGACCAGACGCTGACTGTCCAGTCGCAGCCCGTGGAGGTCATCTACGATGCTGTAGGTACAGGGAGGATGGGCTCCTTGCTGAAGCTGCCTTGCATTCAGTGTTGGCTCATTTCTCTTCGGTCGTATTTTACATTCATTAACAAGTGCATTTGTGAAGTTTTTCTTGTTTCAGAAGCAGTACATATTTAGCAGTCAGTTTTAATTTCTCATATGCTGTTGCTGCTTTTCTGCCTGAGGTTTATTTACCTCTGCTTATGTTGACTTTAAAAACCCTAGTACATTTAAAGAGCAGTGTGTTCACCGTGCCAGCTGCTGCTGGCTGGGGACACGCCGCTTTCCTACTCCTCTTTGCCTTCGGTGTTCATGCGGTTGACGTGGTAGTGATATGCAGATGTTGGTGGCCTCCCCAGTAAGCTTCCTTGGCTGTTCTTTCTCCAGTGGGAGATGAAGTAGAACAGAATATCTTTGAATTTCTCATTTCAAAGCCATAGCTGTTTTAGAATGAGGTGAAGTCTTAAAAAGTTATAATATAGAAAGAGGTGGGTATAACTTGGTTGTATTTTTAAATTCTTTTACAGAAAACCATCAATGCAGTGGTTGATTTCTTTCAGTCAAATAGGGGACTGGATCTTGAGCAGATAACATCAGCTACTTTGATGAAGCTGGAAGAAATTAAAGAGAGAACAGCTACAGGTAAAGAATTTTGAGTGTCTACTGGAAAAAGTGTGTGTTCTTGTGTCAGTGTATTTAAATCAGTGTAGGTTCCTTCATCTGTGTGGACTGAATGGACTCAGTACTCAAACTGAAGTGTAGAGCTGGGGGAGTTAGGTCGGTGGTACAACGCATGTCTAGCAGGTGGGAGGTTTTGGATTCAGCACCCAACACCAAAAAATTAAAAAAAACAGAAAAGACAGAAAAACCCCAAGGCAACTCAAATACACTTTCTAAGCTGGGCGAGAAAGAGAATGATGTGGGGTGCAGATGACTCTGTCTGCATTATATTCAAGGACCTGTGCCCCAGAATGAGTTTGAGGTGGAAACACCCCTCCTTCTGCTCTGGGGAAGCTGCTTTCCATGCTGTTTATGATTCTGTAGTTTTAAAGATAGGTGCTTCTGTGTAACGTGGCCTCTGAACTCAAGCCAACTGTATTACCTGGTAATGCTCTCGGTATGAAACACTAGTATTATAGGCGTGCTGAGTTTACTATGCTGGCATGTGATTGTCCATTGACTCTATGCCATTTTCACCTCAACTGAGAATCGATTTATGAGAGCTAGCAGTCTGCCTTAATGCCTTTCAAGTAAATTTCTTAGTCTAGTTAATGGTACGATTATGTATTTCAGCCTAACCATTTCATCTTCTTTTTTTTTCTTCAGGACTTACACATATTATTGAGACTCGAAAAGTCCTTGATTTAAAGATAAATCTAAAGCCTTCTTACCTGATAGTTCCACAGACAGGTTTCCACCATGAAAAGTCAAATCTTCTCATTTTAGATTTTGGTACATTTCAGGTAGGTACATACGCATTTTTGTCTGCCCGTCTTTGACAAGGTTCATACGTAGCTTGCTATCTGATAGCTTGTTCTTTTTTACATATTTTATTTCATATTTCAGCCTAACCATTTCATCTTCCATTTTTTTTTCCTTCAGGACTTAACACATATTATTGAGACTGGAAAAGTCCTTGATTTAAGTATAAATCTAAAGCCTTCCTATCTGATAGTTCCACAGACAACTTTCCTCCACAAAAAGTGAAACTCCTTCAGAGTTTACTTACACTAAACTAAGACTTTTTCTTAGCATTTGTCAAGCTTAGCTTAGCTTACTCCATATAAGAGTACGGTTGTACCTCCCTGGTAAAATGCTTGTCTAGATTACTCAATATATATTATATAACTATTAAACAGAAGTATTCTGGAGTTTCCCTAATAGTTGATGATTTCACATTGAGGATGGAATTGCTTTTGTCTTTTCCTAATTGGGGAGAAATAGTTTTAGTTTTCATGGTTTCTGAGATCAGTTATACAGTGTTGCATGTTGCTTATGTATTTTGCTTACAGGAGACTGTATGCATATATTTGTTTAATTGCTGCCAGTAACTAAGTAGAACAAAAGAACCCCTAGATTTTGGGTTCTGTCTCTCGTGGAATCTCAGCCTCTGGAAGAAAGGTGAAGCTTTCAGAAATACAGGCCTGAGCTGGCCTTTGCTTCCGCTGGGAAGGAAGGGGAGGAATAGGACTGGGCACTGATTTCGCATGGCCTAATTGCTGTCACGAAACAATGGGAGAAGGAAAGCCATGTAGGTGCAGGGTGGTGGGAGAGGTGCAGGGTGGTGGGAGGGGTGCAGAGCCACCTCCTGAGAGCCGGGAGGAAGATGGGTTATTTGAGGCAGACAGCTGTGTAGCTGATATAATTAATGAAGATGTGCTCAGCATTTATTACCTAAACATAATAGAGATGTATTTTGAAGTATTACATGGCTAATAAGTATTTGTAAAAATTACCAATAAATGAAGCAAATTCTGAATTCCTTAAGGACAGTCTCATTTAATTAGGTTTTGAGAAAACGCAACTAAAGTATGTTGATTTGTTTACATTCTGTTGTGTGAAAAATCAAAAATGTTTTCTTCATTTTAGCTTAACAGTAAAAATCAAGCTCTACAGAAGACTACTAATTCATCCCTGGAAGAAATAATGGATAAAGCATATGACAAGTTCGATGTTGAAATAAAGAGTGTACAGCTACTCTTTGCAAGAGCAGGTATAGCACTGGTCAGCTTTTAGAATATGTTAGAATAGCTTAGGTTAAATATATGCATATGTTTGTGTATGTATATCAGCCCTGACAATGATTTTGCAAAAATAACCCTGTTGGCACTTAAGAAAACCATGTAGGAACATACTAGTGCAAATCACTGCCACAGTTATAAGCTGAAACAATATTTGCCTGGTCATCTCGGGCAAACATATTAGGTGTTTGAACCGCAGTCCATTCATGAGCTTTCTTTTTGTAACTATAAAACAGTTCAGAGCACAAAATGGAAGCTGCGGTTGGTTCGAGTTCCTCTGTCCTAATGCTTTTGGGATGTTTTGAGGTTGTTTTTCTTTGTTGCCTTCGTTATTCAATATTTCACCATGTTACCCTTGTCTAGTGCAGCAGTATCGCATCTTCTACTTCTGTAGATATCTGAGAAATATGTGTCTTCAAAATAACATTAGCATCACTAATCCAAAAATCCTAAACCCAAAATTCTCCTCAGTCCAAAATTTTTTGAATGCTAACATAATGCCATACATGGAAAATTCCACATGTGATCTCATGTGCTAGGTCATAGTCAAAGCACAGGTGCACTGAAAATATTATATACAATTATCTTCTGACTCATAAGGTGGATATGACATATCAGTGCCTTTTGTGTTTATACTTGAGTCTCATCCCCAAGGTGAGCCATTATTTATATTCAGATGTTCCAAAATAATCCAAAATCTGACGTACTTTTGGTCCTACACATTGTGAATAAAGAATACTTAACCTGTGGATAAAGTCTTAAAATCATAATTTCTCCAAAGACATGGTTCATTCTCTATTGCATAAGTAAAGGCTTTGCTTATTTGTACTTTTTCTAGTTTTAAAAGCAGTAAGTATTTATTAAATATCTTTAGATACATTTTGTGGTAGGTCATTGGAGAAAAGCACAGGCAGAAACTGAGTATAGGTTCTAATGTAGTAAGTGCATTTTTATTAAAATGTGAAGATAAAGTATTGTTTTTTGTATATTAAGGGCCTTTTAATTCCTTGAAGGCCAATACACAAACCGTTAAAACTACCTTTTTTCCCGGGGATATAGCTCAGTGGTACAAGCGCCTGCCTGGCATTCATAAGGCCCTTAGTTTGAATCCTGGTACCAAAAAAAGAAAAAGCCTTTTTTGGGCATGTATTTACAAATAATTGAATTACACGTGACAGAACCTGCTCCATCACTGCCGTCAGTGAAGATGTGTACAAGACTGTGAACCGTTGGCAGGCGAGAATTCTACCGCTGAACCACCAGTGCAGGACTGTCAGCTACTGGGAAATGTATCTTCAAGATTTTTTTTTGGAAAAAGTGATCATTACACATTTTTATGTTAAAGTCTTGCTTGACAAAACTCATTTTTGCTTTGTCGTCACGTATGAAGCAAGTATAATTATTGCTCTTAGGAAGTCCATGAACCTCGCCCCTTCTTTTCTGCCCTCGTCCTGCTTTTCACCATAACCACCCATCTTGATCAGTAACTCTGGAATTGAGGTGATTCTTGTTTTTTTCCTGCTTGCTTTGAAATGCAAGAGTTGTCATACAGACATTTTCAAACTATATAGAATTATCTTTGTATCAGTCTCCGACTACTGTCAATCTATATTAAAAATACAGGTGATTGTAGCTCAGTGGTAGAGTGCTTGTCTAACATGTATGAGATCCTCAGTTTGAGCCCCAGTACTGCAAAAAGATCTTGTATGCTGAAAGAAATAAAAATGGTTATTTACTGACTCAGCCCCTTCACTATTTTCTATTCTATCCTTTTTTTTTTTTTTTTTTTGGTTTTTCTCCGGTACCGGGAACTGAACTCACGACCTTGCGGTTGCCAGGCAGGCGCTTTTGCCATTGAGCTAAATCCCCAGCCCCCCTCCTTCACTATTTTCTACTAAGCAGTTTTCTGCAAAATACTTGATAACGTGGTAGAAGTTATTTATTTTAAATTCTGTTTTTAAAGAGGAGAACTGGAAAAAGTGTCGATTTCAGCATCCATCCACTCTGCATGTATTGCAGCCCATGGATATTCATGTGGAGCTGGCCAAGGCGATGGTAGAAAAAGACGTTAGAATGGCCAGGTAATGTGTGAGTTTCTTTCGTGTTAGAAACCAACCAAATGAACCTTATCTGTATCAAGTCCTAGATAGATTTCTGTGGGAGAAGGAAAAATATTAAAATACGTTTTAAGGAAAATGTTATTTGATTTGTATGTAACCTCTTGAGAAGTCTTATCTAGACTTTTACATAGTTTAAAATTTAGTGATCTGTGTTTTTTAATGGATCCGATTCAAGGTTCGTTATCAATGAAATAAAAGCCTCAAAAAATGGCAGGCATAAAAAAATGACAGGCCTGTTTTGTCGTGAAGCTACATGACATCTTCTGAAAAATCAAGGGGAATAAAAACTAGAACTGAATTTTGATTAGTTACGCTGCCCATTAGGAAAACTTTTGTTAAAGTGTAGCTGGCACTCAGCAGGCTGCCTCATTGGAAGTGTGTGATTGGCTAAGTTTTGATGTGTGTGGATCTCCGTGGAAGTTTCACAGGCAAGTTGATGAACACACCCATCGCCTCGAGAAGCTCTCTTGAGCTCTCTATTCCCTCTTTTCCCTGTCTATTCCTGTCCCCACAACCAGTCCATAGACAACATTGGTCTGTTTTCTGACACTGTGGATTTGTTAAAAATTTTCTAGAATTTTATGTGAATGAAACCATAGAACTTTTATTTTTGTTTGATCTCTTTCAACATAGTTAGTGACTCCTTCATGTTGGTGCATGTGTCGGTAATTCCTTTATGCCCTTTACCAGTTAGATATTAAACCAGCCTGTCTTACTAGATAAACCTTACTTGGTGATAATGTATTGATCTTTCAAAATACTATGGGGCATAATTTACAAAAACTTCGCGAGGAAGTGTTACATCTGTGTTCATGAGGGACATTGATCTGTGCTTTCCTTTTTTGTTTTGGTATCAGAGTAATGTTGGCCACCTGGAAAATGTATAGAAATCAGTATTGTTTCTTTCTTACATGTTTGGTAGAATTTACCAGTAAAGCCATCAGCGCTTGGGAGTTTCTTTTTGAGAAAATTTTAAACTACAAATTCACTTTATTTTATAGATTCACATGTATTCAGATTGTTTTGAATCATCTTTTGAATGTTGCAAATGTTTTGCATGATTTTGTTTGTATTTTAAGAAATTTGTTTAACTTTGTTGTTCGGTTTATTAGCATAAAATTATTCATAGTATTTTATTAACTTTCTCATACATTAATAATCTGTAGTAATGTCATCTCTCAATTCTGGTATGAGTAATTTGTGTTTTCTCTTTTTTTCCTATCAGTCTACGTAGAGGTTTATCAATTTCCTTAATCTTCTTTTCCGTTTCAAATATTTTCTCAAATTGTTTTCTACCTTTTTTGTCCTCATTTCCACCCTGATTTTGTGACTGTTTTCTTCTGTTTATTTTGAGTTTAGTTTGCTTTTCATTACCAGTTTCTTGAGGTAGAAGTTGAGGTTATTAATTTGAGCCTTTCTTTTTCCTTACATAGGGATTTAGTGCTGTAAATTTCCGTCTAAGTGCTGCTTCTGCTTATCCTAATAACCCATCTGGCAGTTAGGCATCTGTAAACTTGCACTGTTCACAGCTTAGTTAGGAAGCCAGGAGCTTTATGAGGAGCATGGGGCTGCACAGGGCGGTTGAGACAAGCAGACCTGGAGCAGACACAGTGAGCAGAGAGGCGGCAGGCTGTGATGCAGTGTGAGCAGATGGCCTCAGTGAACTTACGTTTCAGTGAGAGCGGACGTGAGATAAGCAAGGGTGTGTGTGTGTGATTTGTCAGGTACTCCCAAGTGCTGTGCATTAAAAAACTAGGACACAGGGAGATAGAGCTTGATAGGTTAGGTGCTCTTTTCTATTAATGAGGAGAAATCTTGGAAATTTGGAAATAAAGTGTGTATAGTGGTTTTGGCTTTAAAAAATAGAGAATTATATTTAGAAGTATTTTTATAAAATCCTTAAAAATTTGGCTGCTCAAAAAAAGATACCTGGAAATTAAATTACCAGGGATCCCTAAATTAATTATATTACCTGGAAACTTGACTTAGAACTTCCAGTTAGCTGACAGTATTGTCAGTGTGATCTTGGGCTTAGATTAAAACATGTCTGCAGTGACTTTGACTCTGCAGTTTTTTTCCTCCTCTGCTATACTGATAAGCTGATCTTGAAATCTTTGGCTGAATTGTATTTTTAGATTTAAAGTGTCAGGAGGACTTCCTTTGATGCATGTGAGAATTTCTGACCAGAAGATGAAAGATGTGTTGTGTTTGATTAACAGTATCCCTTTGCCCCAGAAATCATCTACACAGTCGCCAGAGAGACAGGTAATGAATGTGATAGAAATGTTAAATCTCCTATTTTCACACAACTGCTCTTATAGGGTAGAGGTCGGAAGGCAGTTTTAGGGCAAGCTTTATGACCGAAAGAACCAAAAATACAGAAATGAAAGGAAAATAAGATGTAAAACATACATTTTAAATAAAACTAAAACTATAAATCATCTTCAGAATGTTGCAAATAAAATAATTGGGATAAAATTTCCTTTTATGTCAGACTTAAAAGTTCTAGGTCACTTTAATTGGAATGATCTTTATAGCATGTTGGATTTCTGCTTATTTAGAACCAAACTTTGGGAGACCCGAATCAGCTGATGGTGGTCCTATTTTCCAGGGACCTCGGATGTTCACAGCAGCTAAATGATAAACAATGAACAATGATCTGCTAGAGTTTTTGTTTATTGGTACTGGGAATCGAATTCAGGACCTTGCACTTGCCAGGCAGGCGCTTATGCCGCTGAGCTATATGCCCGGCCTTTCTGCTAGAGTTATACCTAATTGTGTCTTTATAAATGGGGTGGCAATCTTAATTTGTAAATTCCAACCATTAATTGATTACATAATTTATTCTTTCTTCTTATGAAATAAATTGTTTTTTTGAGACAGGGTATTGCTGTGTAGTTCAGGCTGTCCTTAAACTGTGTGGCCCAGGCTGGCCGCGAGCTCACGGCCTCCGCCTCCTGAGTACTGGGGTTGCAGGCATGCTTCACCATGCGTGCCATAGTGTATTCTGTTTTGTGTATGGCGTGTACGAATTTTTCCATCTCTGAACTTTATTACTTTTCATTCTCTCACGTGTATTTAACCCTGCTGAATTCGTGTTTTGTTTTTTGTTCTTTAACTTCCTGTGCACCGTGCTAGGTATCCTCAGTTCCTGTTCCTTCACGGGGGACAGAAAGTCTCCTTGGTACTTCGCTGCTGTTAGATGGAGTGGACTCAGGTAAGGGGTGTAGTGTTCCTGCATTGTCTTTATGGTGACAACAGAAGAATAGAGGTGGTGTGAGTGCATTGTAGCAGTCTGCTGGGTCTGGTTCTGGTTGTGCTGTTAGACAACAGTGTCGCGTCAGTTACTTGTTTTGAGGGTCAGGTTTTGCTCTTCTGGTGGTCAGCGGTGTTTACTAAACAATTTCTAGCCACTCCTAATTGATCTTTTAAAATTTCAAACTAGAACATAAGCTTTACAAGGATAATGAGCTTGTCTGTTCTGGTCACTTTCATGTCCTTGGAGACTGACACAGCCTGACACATGGTAGAGGAATCAATAAATATTTTGTGGAATAATGAATGAGTGAACTAAACCAACAGTGGAGTCACTGAAGGAAAGACAATACTGCTGTTTGATTTTAAATTTGATTATCAGCCGGGCATGGTGGCGCACGCCTGTAATCCCAGCACTCGGGAGGCTGAGGCAGCAGATTGTTGTGAGTTGGAGACCTGCCAGGGCTACAAAGTGAGCTGAAGGCTAACCTGAAATAGATAGTGAGACCCTGTCTCAAAAAGACAAAAAAAAAAAAAAAATGATTATCACATGCCAAACTGCGCTACCTTGTGAGACTTGAAAAAAGCATTGTGACTCTTTGGAGTCTGAGTTTGAAGAGTTACATCTAATGAATAAACTTTGCCTGAGAGAATTTAGGCTTGAGTATTTATGCAGTGCTTAGTGGACATGGCGTCAGGCTGAGTGAACGTCTTTTTACTCTAGAGTCTGACGATGAGTATTTCGATGCTGAAGACGGGGCCTCGCAGGCAGCTAAAAGTGTGCAAGGCTCAGAACTCAAAAAAGCTGCAGAGGTTCCGAACGAGGAGCTCATTGATCTCCTACTCAAGTTTGAAGTTAAAGAAGTACGTATATTTTTTGTCTACAATATATTCTTGTCATCGTCTTCTAAACTTCCTCAAGGTGGAGCAAACATTGGGTTGTGTACTCATACACACCATTTCAAAAAAGTGAAATTTTTCTTAGAAAATGCGGTAAGGATGATTTGTGGTCTGATCTGTTCAGGAAGAACACAGAGCTCGTAATTAAGACTTTTGTTTTTTCAGACAGTTTTGGACTACTTATTTTTTGTCGTACTGGAAATTGAACCCAGAAAGCATGGAGCTACTTCCCTGGCCCTTTTTGTTTGTGTTTTGAGACAAAGTCTTAATAGTTATCTCGGCTCTTTGTAAACTTGCAGTTCAGCTGTGTAGCTGGGATTACAGGCATGTGTCACCAAGACCAGCTTACGTATTTTTTTAACTTCCATTTTTGAATTACATAATGATTGCTCACTGTCATTATTTGTAATTTGGAAAGATGTAAACATCCTAAATTTCCTCCTTTTTTTTCACCCTAAATTTCAAAGATCTTTTTCATGCCCTTCAAAAGTCATGTAATAAAAGGAAACTTGGAAATAGGTTCACCATATATTGTTATTTGGTAACAAAGGAATGTACAGTAGTGACGACGTTATCTGTTTACAATCATACAATCACGTGTGCATGTTTCTTTGGTAAGTACGGATCATTCACCTGTGGGTGAGGTGGTTACAGTTACAGACCCAGTGTTACCGGTACGTGTGTAAAGAGAGATGTTTTCTGCCCTTCTCTCGTCTTGTCTTCCTCTCACACTTCAGTCCACAGCACCAGCAGATCTCTTGGCTCTGTCTTCCTTTGCGCTCAGGTGCTTGCTCTTCTCTCCACTGCTGCTGTGTGTCCAGTCATCCTTGCCTCTGGGCTGCCTCTTTGCAGCAGCTTCCTGACTGCTTTCTCAGCTGCTCTGCTCATCATCGGGCAGCCAGAGCGATCTTTCTAAGTGAGAGTCGGATCATGGCGCTGTTCCGCTCCTTGCCCTCCCTGGCTCAGAGCGATGACTTGTTTCTTTCTGGCAAGCCCTCGCGCCAGTTACCCCGCCTGCCTGTTTGGCTTCACCATTGCTTTTTGCCTTGCTTCTCCGGCTTCAGCCATGTTTTTGGTATTCCTTCAGTGAGTGAGCACCATCCTACGCCAGGCGTCGGTTTTGATGTTGGGAACTGGTAGTGAGCAAAGTTCTTGTCCCGCCAAGCCCACACTTGTCTTTTTTTCTTCCCTGTGTATATCAAAGCTCTTTCTTTGCTTGCCATTTTGTTGGCCAGGGACACGCTTTCCTTGCATGGCTTGGTTCTTGATGTCCTTCAAGCATTTGCTTACCTGTCTTACTGGAAAGACCTGGCCATCCACCTCAAGAGAGCCGTGTTCACTTTCCTTCTCTCCCTGGAATGTGGGCCACATGAGGACAAGAGCCGTGTCTAGTCCGCTCAATTTTGGTCTCTTTACTGCTGGGACAGCCTGATACATGCATGGTACATGATCCACAATAAATATTTTACTGACTGTTGAATGAACCAAGGGGAAAACAGAACTATTGAAGGAAAAAAGAATAATGCTGTTTGAAATACCTTTTCTAGCATAACTTTTTGCTGTTTTAAGTGTTTCTGTACTGAAATTTACCAATTTTTTTCTTTATGGCTCAGTTTTAGTGTATATTTAGAAAATTTTCACAAAATACTTGCCCATGTTTTATGTATTTATGATTTTATTGCTTTTGTTTAAATAATGTATATGAAGCTTATTTTTATATATAAAGTTTGTGCTTAATACCTTACTGTAGTATCTTGCTATCTTACTGTTTTTGGTTGACACTCCTGATTTTTCATGAGTATATAACCATACCACCCGTCCATACTGTTTGCCTTTTCCATAGATTTTGTATTCCACTGGTTACCGTTGCTGTCTGTCAAGTTACTCTCACCCTTAGCAGCTTAAAACAGCTGATTTTGTTTGCTCGTGATTTGTGGGTTAGGAGTTTCTTAGGGGCCCACCTGGGCAACTTGGGGTTTAGTGTCCTGTTGTCGTTGGTCAGGTGTTGCCTGGGGTTGCGGTCATCAGAAGCCTTGGGGTACAGGTCCTGTGGCTCTCGGGAGGTGCGCTGCTGGCTGCTGTCCAGGCGTGGCCGGGCTGTTGGCAGAGTGCATGCTCTCTGCCCGGGTCCCTGCCGTGATGGACTCAGCAGTTCTGACATGACAGCATTCCCAGGCCTGTTTGGTAACCAGAGTTCGTTAGAGAACCACTTCCTTCCTTTACTCTTACTGATTGAAGCATTCAGAGGCTACCCACATTCAAAAGGTGGTGGTAGCAGCCTCCATCTTTTGGTGAGTATATTAAAGAATTTGCATTTTTTAAAAACCACCATCCTTTATTTTTTATTGTCTAAGTATATTGGCTGTCATTTCCAGAATTAATTTAAATAATATGGTAACGAGCACTCTTGTCACAATTTTTTTGTTTGTTTGTTTTGTTTTGGAGACAGGATCTTGCTGTGTAGTGCAGGCTGGCCTTGAACTTGCTCCAACTTGTAGTAGTCTTCTTGCCTAAGTCTCCTGAGCGCTTGGATTACAAGCGTGTGGCACCACACCCAGCCTTCTTGTTAGAAATTTTCACTTCAATGGGAATGCTTCTGTTGTCACCAAATGTGATTTTTATTTTGAGAAAATCATATTGGGAAGACTTCATAAATTCTAAATTTCTCTAAATTTAAAAAAGTCATTAATGTTATATTTCAGCATAATCTTTTATACATGCACTTACATTCTTGGTAATGATAATTTGTAACATATTAAATAACTTCATGGTATTATTAGGATATGAGCAAAGTTTTGGGTGTATCTCCATGGTGATGTGTACAGAGAAAGGGTTTTTTATTTGAAGTATGACTTAGACTTCTTGTCACCTTTTCATTTGGCTGTGCTAATTCTTTTAGGTAATTTTGGAATTTACTAAACAACAGGAAGAAGAAGATACAATTCTGGTATTTAATGTTACTCAGTTAGGGACAGAGGCCACGGTGAGGACGTTCGACCTAACTGTGGTGTCTTATTTAAAGAAGGTCAGCTTGGATTACCATGAAATTCAAGGTAATATTCCTAAAAATAGAAATGATGAAAGTAGCATTGTAAGCACTTCTATTTCTATGATAACCCCTATTATAAATCATAGCAGACATTGTTCAAAACACTTTGCAAATAATAATTCATGTTACTGTTCTAGTTTTATGTAACTAAGGTATAGATTGCTTGTAAAATTTGCCCAGGGTGAAACAACTAGTAATAGAACCATTGATGAAACCCTCGCAGTCTGGATGTGGGGGCTGGTACTCTCAGCCACTCTGCTCTGTTGCCTCAGTGTTTGTATAAATCTCCTTGACAAACACAGACAAAGAAGGGGTTGATAAAGATTAAGTAGCTTCCTTCGTATCATGTATTCATGAATGGCAAGACTGGAGAATTTGTCTCTGGTCCTTCAATATAGAAGGTCCTGTTTGTTGTTTTCTTCTTTTTCTTTCTTTTTTTTTTTTCTCTTCCTGTTTTTTGAGATAGGGTCTCACATGCAGTTTAGGCTGGCCTTGAACTCATTTATAAAGCCCAGGTCTCACCGTGATCCTCCTACCTCAGCCTCCCAGTTGCTGAGATGACAGGGGTGTGCCACTGTGCCTGGCAGGTCCCATTCTTCCTATGAAATAGTATTCGTATGTCATAAGAGGCCCCAGTTAAAAACTGAAAATGGGAGGATGTAAAGTTCACTCTCTTAGAAGCTTTTATAGTTCATTCATTTCAGTATATATCTTGTGAGCTCAGATACTTGAGGCACAAAGAATTGAGTTAATATACAATAATTAAAATTGTGTAATGCTTTAGTTATATATAAAGGCTTATATTTTATAATTTGAGTATTTGAAGCTAAAACCTCAATTTAGAAAACAAATGTTATCTTACTAACTTATTGTACAGAAAGAAGGAGTTTACTATCTTGAAAAAATATAGGTGATAAATTTCCTCGGTTCTTCTCTCTTCAAGGAAGATGAAGGCTCAGGTCAGGGACACGTCTTGAGCTGTGTCAGAAGCAGTGTTAGGGAGGTGCAGGTCGTGAGGCTGGGCCGCCGCACAGCGGGCAGCTGCCTTCCCTGCGCCGCCGGGGAAGCTGTTCCTTGGCCCCTTTGGGTAAGGTGGAGAGGATGTTCGTGTTTAAGCTAAAAAGGAAGTGTCACAGTTTTCTTCTCTTAAAAATCCTTCAGTGTGAAAATTGCCTCAGTCTACACAAAGTTCTCTGTAATATAATTAAATATTTTTTTCATAGAATTTTAGAGCACAACAGGATCTGGTCCAATCTGCTTGTTACATTGTTGAGGAATATTTAGTTAAATATTTAGTAAGGATAGAGGTGAACTGGAATTGATATTTCCTGATTCTGATGCCTGTAGTCTGTTCTACTGCCCTACTAATGGACACATGGCCTCAGAAATACCTAAATAAGTCTCGATTACTTTTGAACACACATGTAAAATCCAGTGAAAATAAATACATGTTTTAAAGTTAATTAGATGCCTAAGGTAAGAACTTGCATTGGTTTATTTCTCCATGAGTGATGGCTTTAGTATTTGATAACCATGAAAATATGCACATGCATTCTTTTAAAGCTTAATTAGCAGTTTTTATAAAGGAAATATCTAGCAAGTTCTAAAATTTTATAAGAGCAACTTGTTTTTCTTTTTTCTGTAGGATCTAGAAAAAAGCCCCTTCACTTGATTAGCTCGTCTGATAAACCTGGATTAGATCTTTTAAAAGTAGAGTACATTAAGGTAAGAACCATGGGATGATGGTATGCTTGTTAGATAGTGTGGACTAGTGATGGTGAATAGTTCAGAGGTGCGTGCCCAGACTGTAACCCAAAACCCACTGATATTTATTGCAGAGTGCCAATTAAGTGCAGTTAAACCTGAATACTGAGATTTTTATTTAGAAAAAACAACTCCTATATTAACATCTTTCATCTTAAAAGGAAAACATAACACAGATGTCTTAGATTCACCACCAGTAGTCTGGACTGTGCCCCTGGAAAAATAACAGGACAGCGTGGTTCTGGGTGGTGTGTTAGTTTTTAACTGTAGGGTTATCGACTGTTTCTTTGTCCATTTGTTCACCTTGTTTCTCTTTCACTTAAGTACCGAGCTGTTAGAAAGCCGCTACCCTCTTAGCCCCCAATGTGGAAGCCCGGGACTGAAGTATGTGCTTTATCTCCATTGGAGGCATATACACACACGTCTACACTTGGCTGTGTAATAGATGGCAGTTTGGCTGACTATGCCACATCAGAGAGGAAAAAGCACACTGGATCAGGTTCTGGAGAGAACTCCAAGGATTGGGAAGGGACTAAGAAGTACATCTTGTGAAAGTGCTGAAGTAATTGATGAAATTAGGTTCATTCAGGATTAGTTGATTTGTTCCAATCACTCACTATTTATTGAAAGTCTATATATGTTACTAAGTGTTTTATACTACCAGGCATTTGGATGCACAGGCGAAAAGCATTATGTTCTCCAAGAAAATTACAAACTAGAAGGGAAAGATTCAGAAATAAACAATTACAATGTAGTGTTTTTTTTTTGGTTTTTTTTTGGTTTTTCTCTGGTACCGGGAACCGAACTCACGACCTTGCGCTTGCCAGGCAGGTGCTTTTGCCGCTGAGCTAAATCCCCAGCCCCTACAATGTAGTGTTGATTGGTTGAAAATGTAACGATTATAATGTAGCAGTATAGTATGGATATAGTAAAGCAAAGCACAAAGCATTGTGGGAATAGAGAGGCAAGCAAGGAAGCCATGGCAGAAAGCTCTCAAGGAGGTGTATCTTTGTGTTTAGAGTTACACTGTTCCAAGGGAACAAAAGTAGGACCAGTGGACAGTTAGGATGGGAGATAGATTGCTTGCCGCAGTACAAAGACTTCATTTATAAGGAAATGAGGTTTCTTTAACTGGAGATGTAGATAGACTGGCCAGACAAGTGAACAAGGGATTTCAGCATTAGGTGACGGATGGACAAGATGACCCAGATGACCTTTGCACCTCCTACCTTCCAAAGACATGCCATTCTCACACCCAGCTGCAGTTTCCCTGAAATGAATGATTGTTCTCCCACGCTTCCAGAGAACACGGGCACTGTTACAGTCAGTAATATGGATATAATTTACAGTGGTGATAAAAATAAAATGTATGCAAAATAAATTTATTGCTACATATACATAAATTAACCAGGGATTATAAAAGATTAATTACTTTGGTCTTAACTCTTTTCTTTATAACTTCTATTCATTTTTTTAGGCTGATAAGAGTGGACCTAGTTTTCAGACTACATTTGAAAAAACCGAGCAAACATTTAAGGTAAGAAGTTCTATTAAAGGAATATATCCTATTAAAAAGAATTATTCTGGAAATCCTTAGTATTCTTTGGGGGATATTCCCTGGGTGACTTGATGACCCAATCAAGAACCAGTAAAAGTTAAGAATTAACCTTGTAAACACTTAGCATGCTCTGTTAGGGATTCAGTTTAGTAAAGCTGTTACTTTGCTTTGCTGCGTCATACATTTATGTTTTAAAAGTTGCAGTATTATTTCTGAAGAAGGGAATGTTATAGGTAAGGGAACAGTGATCTCTAGCTGAGAGCATTAGGAGCATCAAGTTACATAGGAATGCGAAGGTGTTCAGGACACGAGGAGAGAGGCGAAGTACTGGTGAAGCCGCTGCACTTTAGGCCGCAGTATAGAGAAAGGAGAGGCAACAGGTGCCTGTGGGTTACACTAGAGAAATGAGAGGGTCGGGAGAATCTGCTGTGACCGCGTGAACTTCCCTGTCCGTTGTGTCTGTGTGTTTTTGCCCTGTTTTTTTTTTTTTTTTTACTTTGAGGCAGTGTCTGGCCTTGTCTTCCTTCTGCCTCAGTCTCTCTGAGTGCTAGAATTACAGGCGTATTGTTTGTAGATACGTTTCTTTCCATGTGGAAATGAGAAAATGAAAATTGTTTCCTATAAGGAGTTCTCAGTGTTAATTTGCTGTTAGAAAGCCACACTTTCTTGGAGGCAGTTCGTGTTGCTGACTTAGCTTTCTGGAGTCATTTTTTAAAAAATGTAGTACTTTTAGTGCATTTACTTTCCTCTGTGTTTCTTTTTAAAGGACAGGACCATTTTTGTAGTTTGAGAAAATGAGTTAGTAACTGAGAATTCGCCCATTGTTACAGTTACTCTCACAGACGCCTCGTTTGGAGTCATTTCTAGATTTAGCAGTATGCAGTGCTTGTGGAGTTTCATGTTCTGACTTAAACTTTTTGTATTGTCATGACGAATAGTCTGTTGGAAATCTAAGAAGGCGCATGTTGAGAATACGGGTGGCCATATGAGGCAGAATATAGGCTCTGTGAGCAGTTTGCTTGGAAATGAAATGATTAGGTAACTCTGTGCCCTACTCTGCCCGGACAGTGAGAGTCTGATTCGCTGTCCTTGTACCCCGTCTTGGGGGTCGTGAACTTCCCTCGCCTCGCTCTTCCTCCCAGTGATGGAAGGCTGTGCCGCAAGCCTGGCTGCCTGCAGGTCCATTGTGGCTATGACAGCTTGTCATTTATTTGCCAATGAAAACTAACTTGCTTTCAAAACATTTTTAGGTGGCGTTTTCCTCTTTGAATTTGTTGCTACAAACCCAGGCTCTTCTCTCTTCCATTAACTACCTGACAGCCATCACTCCATCAGAGGGGCAGAACACGGGCACCCCCACAGGGGTGGGGGTACAGATCTCCGCTGAGAAGCAGACAGACTCGTCTCTGCAGAAAGGTGGGAAAGACTTGTGTGTTTCTTGCTAACAAGGATGTCTCGGTTACTTTTCTGTCGTTGCTGAGACAAAATACCCAAAATGAAACACCCAAAATGAAGGAAGGAAAGGTTTATTTAGCTTGCAGTGTGTGGAGGTTTCAGTCCGTACTTGGCTGGCTCCGAGGCAGAAGACAGCAAAGCAACAAGAGCAAAGGGGGGAATGGCAGCCAAACAGCAATGCAGCCAGAGCAAAAGGGAGGAATGGCGGCAAGCAGCTTCTTTCCCTGCCTTACTTTGTAAACAGGCTACCCCCACCTAAGGGGTATGTAGCTCCCACATAATCTCCATGCTGTCCTCTTCCACAGGCTCAGGATGTGTACAAAGTAAGCACCCTGGCTTCCTGCTGAGTCACTTAGCCAAACCTCTAGACTCCCCAAGTTGGCACAATGTATCAACCATAACAAAGGGTCTTAGAACTCTACAGCTCAATGAGCAATCTAAGAGGTCAGCTAATTCAGTAATTAAAATGCCATTCTCCCCTTCTCTTTTACTCATATTAAATCAGATACCAGCACCTGATGCACAGGGCAAATAGAAACAAAACTATTGTTTTAAAAAGTTTTTGTTCTTGTGTGGTGTGGGGGTTCCCTTGGGTAGCACGGAAGGGAAGAGCACCTGTGTTTGCAGTGAGCTCTCCTCCCGTCAGTGGCTCTTTCCGCCATCTACACAGGGACGTCCAGACCGTGGGACGGGCCGGGTTCCGGACAGCGTGTTATGAGCCAGGAGCCCAGAGTTTGGATCAGAAAGTACTCAGTTCACAGTCTGACATTCCTGCTTAACCTGTGTGGCTGTAGGCACGCTGCCTAACTGTCCCGAGTTCTGTTGTCCTCCTTACTTTATTTTACACTAAGTCCCCGACTTACTAACGTTCAGATTGTGAACAATGAGACTCATTTTGTTGCCTTCAGAACGAATCTGACTTATGAGCATTTCTCCTGGAATGCAATTTGTGCATAAGTCAGGGACTGACTTTTGTGTAAATTGCAAAAGGAACATCTTGCTACTAAAAGGCAGACTTAATAAGGCAAAAGAAATATTTTGAAATTAGTAAGGCTTTGTAATTTAATTTGTGTGTGTTTATTTAACAGGATTCTGGTTCAGTTAATATAAAGTCCTGAGTAAAATGTATGTTATTTGAGTCATATTGTGAAAGAATTCTTTGTTTTCTTCTCAGTGATTGTATCCTCTAAAGATAGTGACATTATTGGCTTCAGGCTCTTTGCCAAGTTGAATGCTTTCTGTGTCACTGTTTGCAATGAGAAGAGCAATATTGCTGAAATCAAGATACAAGGTAATGCACTTGGGGAGACAGGCAGGAGGCTCCAGAGTTCAAGGCCAGTCTGGGCACTTAGTGACTTAGCCAAGATCCCATCTCAAAAAAATAAAAAATGAAAAAGGCTGGGACATAGCTCACTGAGTGGCGCTGGGTTCAGTTCCCAGTATCACCACACAAAACAGAGCAAGAAACAAGGGAAAAAATACTCGATTAAAATTTGTTAAAAGATTTTTCTTTCTTCTTTTTTCATTCATACTTTTGCACTGTTAAAGAATATACGAAAGGGGGGCTGAGCAGTCAGAGAGCGGCACGTACAGTTGAATTGGGTGCTTTCTTCTTGGGCTGTAGCTGTTGGAGAGTCTGAGTGCTCCCCTATCACGCCCACGCTTGCGCATTGGCTGTGGCTGAGGGTTGTCTGGGAGGTGGGAAGAGTAAATGTCAGTGTGGAAACGCTGATGGCCTGGCAGAAGGGTCAGTCCAGCGTTCACGGGAGGTCTGTGAATATACTTGTTCGTTACTAGCTTTTATTTATCTGTGTTGCATTTACCTATTTGTATGTAGTTATATAATGATACTATTATTTTATGCATTCATACTCTTTAGTGAGAGAAACCCTGTGAACCCATCAGGTTCTTTTAGGAAAAAGCTGCTGAAACGCATCTTGCTTTTTCTCTGGCCTTTCTTGTTACCAGTTTATTGTAATCTGCTGAAGGTAAAGATATGTTCAGTATGTTTTATGAAATCCTTCTGTCATTTAAAAACCAGAAAGGTAGGGGTTTTTGTCCTTCCTAATCTGGTAGTACATCTACCAGACTGAATTGGATTTGTGACACTTTCGTAGTCTCCATGTAAATTACTGGGTCTGAGGTATAAAGGTTATACTAAATCCTGAGATGATCTATTTGTACTTTGGTTACAGCATTGAAAATTCAAGAAGTTAATGTTTTTGAACTTACAAGTTGTGTGTTTATAAAATTATGAAATATCTATTATTGCAGCTTATCGATCAGTTGGGAGTTCAGATGTTGCTAAATTTTAAAAATAACGTGATACAACGGAAATAAATGCCTTGTTCGCTCCAGATCTATAGAAACTATGTTTTGTTTTCAGGCCTCGACTCTTCCCTTTCTCTTCAGTCAAGAAAGCAGTCACTTTTTGCCAGACTGGAAAATATTATTGTCACAGATGTTGACCCTAAGACAGTTCATAAAAAAGTAAGTTGTACTAAATAAATAATTAATATTTGTTTTGTGCTTACATAGAAGATTCAGTTTTAAAGTAGTATATTTGAAATTTAATTAAATACACTGTACTTCATTACAATGTTTATTTTTATAAAGATTATGAATCTTTATAAACCCTTTTATAAAGGTTATGAACCTTTATAAACCCTTTTCTGAGTGGTATTTCATTTTGTCCTTACTTTGGTAGACAGAGTTTGCTCACGTCTCTGTCTTTCAGGCTGTGTCAATAATGGGAAATGAAGTTTTCCGTTTTCACTTGGATTTGTACCCAGATGCGACTGAAGGGGACTCGTATACTGACATGTCCAAAGTGGATGGTGTGGTGTCGCTGAACGTCGGCTGTATCCAGATTGTCTATCTTCATAAGTTCCTTATGTCTCTTCTGGTAAAGTTGCTATTTGTATATTAATTTTTCAACTTAGGAATCAGGCCTGGTAATTATGATTGCAAGTGTTACAAACCATGCATCGTAGGTGGCTCTTGTTTTGATTACACATGGTGTTTATGTATGAAGGTTGAAGTAAATTTCTTTAACAGTTAAAATCTGAATAATTTAATGGTTTTTGTGTAGGACTGAAGTTATTTTTGTTAGAGTAAGTACCGAAGCCACGTTCCTGAATACAAAAATGATTGAACATGGCTTCTCTTCCTTTCTTTTCCTTAGCTTGTGACTTGGGCCTTAGCTAGGCTGCTCGTGACTGTGGATGGGTTAGCGGTTATTTCTAACACTGTCAGAACGGGCGTCACCAAAAGTTACCTGTCACAGAAAGCATCAGCATGTGTATGCCGCAAGGTGGTGCGATGTTGATGTGCCTGCTTTCTGTTTGAATTTCTCCATTTTTACTTTGTGTCCGCAGAACTTCCTGAACAACTTCCAGACAGCCAAAGAGGCCCTGAGCGCGGCCACTGCCCAGGCTGCAGAAAAGGCCGCCACAAGTGTGAAGGATCTGGCCCATAGGAGCTTTCGCTTCTCTGTCAACATTGATTTGAAAGCACCTGTTATCGTCATCCCTCAGTCTTCTGTTTCCACCAACGCTGTCTTGGTGGATCTTGGTTTAATCAGAGTTCAAAATCAGTTCAGTCTTGTGTCTGGTGAAGACTCCGTAAATCCTCCTGTGATTGATACAATGGATGTGCAGCTCACAGAACTTAAGCTTTCTAGGTGTGTTCTTTCAGTGGTTACAGATTTAAGTGTTAGGCTAATTTTTTTCTGTGATACTTTATGACCGTTCAAGTTCACACTCGTTTATATTTCACAGAACCATTTGTTTTTTCCACCAGCTTCTTATTTTGAAAAATATTATACCGGTGGAAAAATAAAAAAATAATGTGTCTACATACATGTTTCATCTAGATTCATCAGTCTGTTATACATTTGCTGTAATTTATTTGCATCATGATTATTATGTAAAACATTTTTTGCTGAACCATTTAAAAATAGACATCTTGACCCTTTACCCCCAAATATTTTCACATGTGTGTCCTATAAACAAGGAAATTCATTCTCGTACATTAACTACAGTGTATTTGCCAAATTGTGGAAACTTAATATCAGTATAACATCTAATGTGCAGTTTGCATTAAGGATGTGTCAGTCTTTGCAGAGGTGGTGTTTGTAGTAATTGCCCCTCCCCATGCGGAATCACATGTGGCACTTAGCTGTATCCTCTCTGACTGAGGGGGATTCTGCCCCATAGACACTTACTCTAGAGTAGCTCTTCCCCTTTCTCTGTCTCTTACGATGACGCTGGCTTTGCGAGGTACAGCCTGGCTGTTCCATGAAGCAACTCTCAGTTTGAGTGATTCCTCCTGGGTTTTGATTGAGCTTAGGCATTTTTGGCCTGAATGCCGTGTAAGTAATACCCTCAGTGCTCACACTCCGTGACACATGCAGACACAGAAAACTTAAAGCTCATGACTTGTTCCATGCAAGGTGGTTTAATTAGCCATATTAAAAAGTGGTGCTTAGAAGACAGCTTCAGAAAATAACCCTGGGGAATAGTTGTATAAGACATGTGATTTGCTAGTGTTTCCCTTACTATTATTTTCTTTGGTCTCTGTACCAGTAAACACACAGTCACACCTGACTGAACAGTGGGGTGCCTTCTGAGAAGTGCGTTGTGGTGATTTCATCACGGTGAACGTCACAGTACACCCTTGCATGAACCTTGCAGGCAAAGGTCCGTTATTTGGTGTGGTCTCTCGTAATGAGGATCCACGGTCAAGAAGAGATGATGAGGCTGTTGTCAGTGTGATAGAACAAGCTTTTTAGTTAGATCTTTCTGTAAGTAGAGGGAATATCTTCTAAAGTAATGAAAGTATAATCCATAAACTGGTAACATAGTAATTTATCATCAAGAATTAAACATGTGTGATTTTTGGGCTGTAATTTTGTGTGATTGGCTGTGCAGAAGGCTCGCTCACACCAGCGTCTCTCCAAGCCCACACATCATGCCTTGTGCTACCAATGACAACAGCTGTGGCATCTCTAGGCAACAGGATTTGTTCCGCTCCGCTCTGGTCTTGTGGAGACCTTGCGGTGCTCATGGTCCATCGTAGCTGTATCTTTGTATTTGGTGATTTTAACTCTACTAGTCCTTAGAGAATAATTTGATGATTTCTTGCCCATTTTCAACAGTGTGAATTTCTTTTTGAAGTGTGTTCAGTTTTTCATCCACTGTTCAAAGAAAGAAGTTTTCTTAATAGTCTACAGCTTACGATATGTTTTAATCTGTCCCTGTTAGTGGATTATCGATTAATTATAATTCAGTTTAAAAACATTCAAGGAGCAGTGCTTCAAAGCAGGATTGTAGAGAGGCAATTGCCTGCTTGACTTTGCTATTTTAAAAACATGTTCTGTTTTCCTCTATGCATGTACATACCTGGTGTTTCTGTTTTCCTTTAGGACAGTGATCCAGCCAGGCACCTCCCATCCTGATATTCAGCTGTTGCATCCAATTAACTTGGAGTTCTTTGTAAATCGGAATCTGGCTGCAAATTGGTACCATAAGGTGCCTGTTGTGGAAATTAAAGGACATCTTGATACAATGAATGTAAGTGCAAGAGTGGAATAAAAACCTTTGTTATTGGAATTTTAAATTCTAAAGACTATCTTAGTATAAATCGCCATGAAAAGTAGACCGTTTCACTAAAAGGTGTAAGAATTTCAGTGAGATACAGTTCGAGAGAGTCATTATCCATTAAGGTAAAATCTAATCGTCAAGTATTATTTAACTTTTAAATTTTCTGTGCATACAGATCGAGATCTGTGTGCAAATTGTTATCATAGTTCCTCTTATTTATTATGTAAGACCCTTGGTTTTTAGGGTTATCTGAGTCGCACCTCTCATAATTACAGCATTGGGTGAAATGCCTGTTCTTAACTGAAGATAGGCACGTCATTTCACTCGAGTGACGATTTTAAGAAAAGTGAAATGGGTGCGTTTGTGGGATATGTCATTTAAAAATAATGATCAGATCTGTATAATTACCTTTCGGTGAAGATAATATAAATCAAGTCAGTGGAGTGAATGTTGACATTTTATTTTCCTTTATTATCTTGGAGAATAAAATGTTAACATGAAATAATAAGATTGTGTAGCTTTTCAGTGATGTTGGGGTTATTCCGTCCTTCATGGTTTGTGCCTGAGAATGTTCTGTATTGTTTCCTTTTAAAATGAAGTGTATTTATCTTTTTGAACATAATATTTCACAGGTTAGTCTAAATCAAGAAGATCTTAATGTTTTGTTGAGAATACTAGCAGAAAATCTTGGTGAGGCTCCTGAAGACTTAGATAAAATGAAACCAAGAGTACCAGAGACAGGTGAGAGGCTTACAGTAGGTGGCTTAGATTTTACAATTATTTTACAATGTGGTAGACAAGAACAAGGCAGTAAGTGTTCTTCTGTTTGTTTGCTTGGTGATCCTGGGGATTGAACCCAGACTCTGGCGCGTTAAGGCACACACACTATCGGTGTGCTACATCTGCAGCCTAAGACAGACAATAAACATGAGATAAACAGATACATGTTTACTAATTCTGATTTGTATTACCAAGCAAACAAGCAAATGCTACTAAATGAAAATGTCGTTAGCTGGGCAGGCTCGTACACGCCTGTTCCAGCACATAGGAGGCTGAGGCAGGAAGGTTGTCATGAGTTCCAGCTGGGCTGCACAGTAAGTTCAAGGCCTGCCTGAATTACATAGAGAGACCCTGTCTTAAAAAGTAAAGAACAAAACAAAACACAGGGTGGTTAAAAATGCTTGACTCTTATTAGTTAAGCAAGCAGTTACTGGGAAGGGTGGCCATTAATTCGTTGTGGAGTCCTGGAATAATTATTAAATTTGCATGTTAAGTTGGCACTAAGCTGTGGTAGCACACTCCATGTGATTTTTATATTTGGCTTAGTAGTAAAATATCTATAAAAATTAAAATAGTTGATAAATGATCCCTCTTCCCAAAGATATGTTATGCTTCAATAACAGTGAAAGCTAATTTAAATGGTCAGTTATAGCCCTTTTGACTTAAGCACTACACACGTTTTTCAGGCCGTTGTATATATATATATTGTGTATACATAATGTACCACGCACAAACACGTATTGATATAATCTCTAAGTTTTTTCAAATGAGCACCTGTGTTTGTGAACTTTGCTGTTTCTCCTAAATTATCACTATCTTGTGTGTCTCTTTCATATGTGTGTATATGCTAAATATAGGCTGTCTTCATGTTTTTATTTCCGTAGTACCGAGGGTGGAACCTCCTGGGGATGTAAACTGAGCCACCCTCCCCAGCGCTTTTTAAATTTCTGGTACAGGGTCTTGCTGTGTTGCGTGGTTGGCCAGGCTGCGTTTGAACTTGCAGTCCTCTCCAGAGTGCCGAGGTGACAGGCATGCGCCGCCACGCCTGGCTTCTTTCATTCTTTTTAAGGGACTGCCTGTAATAGAGTGTGATGAAGTACGTGTCATAATTTATTTACCGAGTCTCTGCTGACAGAAATTTCAGACTTCCCATGTTTCATTTTTACCGTGTTGCACTGAATTTGCACATGTACTTGTATATCTGTGAGGAAATACCAGTCAGACTGTGCCATCTTTGTTAATTTAAATTTATCACTAGTTAAGTAAAAACCTAATGAGTCGATGTAAAAATGTGACAGATCTTGCTGATTGCCCACTAAAGAACTTGCATGAGTTTTGTACTCCTACTAGGTAACTTTTCTATACCTTTCTAACACAGTACGATATCACATTTTAAAAATTTTGCCTATTTTTTAAGTGAAACATAGTATTTCACTGTATTTTTCACTGCTTTTCTCACTGTACTGTAACATACATGAACACAAATCTTGGGTACAAGCCAGTGAGTTTTTGTAATGCGTTCACCTGTGTCATCACCATGAGGGACATACATATCTCAGGAGTCCCAGACATCCCCCTCCATCTACCCAGGGGTTGCTGTGCTCTGACTTATATGACTGGAGAATTTGATATCTTCTCAGATTTTATGTGGAGTCATAGTCATACGGATTGACTCTTTGGGGTGTGTCTTCTGTGGGAGGAGGCCCTTCCGCTCTGCTCGGATGGCACCTCCTCCCTTAGGCCTTTCCTTGCCTCGCTGGAACCGTGCTATGTACACCTTGTTCTGTGCTGCCTGTGCGTCTTAGAGTCTGTTAACATTTGCCCACTCAGTGTGAGGCGGTATGGCTGCCTTTCTGTCTGCCTGCCTGGCTGGTTGGCAGACTGTCTTATCTGTCTGTCGATCTGTTTTTAATTACTGAGGATTGAACTCAGGGCCCTTGCACTGGGCAACACGTCCCCAACCCTTTTAATGTTTTGTTTATTTTTTTGAGACATAGTCTCCCTGAGTCACTAAATTTCCCCCCCGGGCTTGAACTTGCCTTTCTTCCGCCTCAGCCTCCCAGAGTGCCAGGATTACAGGTGTGCCGCACTGCGCCAAGCCTTCTGTTTGTATTTTAAGTGTAAATGTCTCTTGTCCTGAACTGTGAGTCTTCTGAGGGCCAGAGGGGTTATTGATTTATGGAGTTTTGGTACTTTTGCTAGGTGCAGAGCACTCATATATGTCTTGATGAATATTTGTGTAAGAAATGTGTGCATAGAAGTGAATAAATTTCTTTTAAACATCTTTAGGTGAAATCAAAAAGCCCCCTGAAATCTCTATATCACAGAGTTTACAAGCTTCAAAAGAGACTTTAACTGCTGAAAGAGAAGAAATTAGATCTGTAGACATCATTAATGTACTGCTGAATTTTGAAATTAAAGAGGTAATTTTCATGTTTTTGTAAAGGGAGATAAATTAATGGGTTACCTGTCGGTAAGCTTATAGGTAATTGATATGGATGAAAAAAAATCTTATGAAGGCTGTTTACATGTAATGGTGTTTAAAATTTGAGAGTTTAAGGATGTTATGTTTAGGGGATACAGTATTTCATGGTGAAAGCTGTAGTATTTCCTGTACTTCTTAATGTTTATTGGACAGCTGGAATGTGCCTGGCTTTGCATTTTTTTATTATCTAAGAATAGCAGGAAAGAGACTTAGTGATTGCAAAATCCTTTACAAATGTTAGAAATTGTAAAGAGAATAAAATACATTATGTCTCCATTAAAAACGTTGTGTTGCTTGTATAGAATGGTACTAAGTGAATGTACTTTCCATGTGCAGATTGCTGAGGAAAGGTTAGGTGGATTTTCCTCTCCTTTATGTACACATTCAGCACATACGCATTGCGTGTCCTAGGTAGTAAGATACATAGACTCTGAGCTCTGAACTATTTGTTTCCCATTAAAGATGCACTCAGGGTAGGGTTCTGTTGGAGCTTGTGGCGTTGATGGTAGGGAGGGTGCATCTAAGCAGACTGAGAGGGTCTGGAAGTGTATTAAACGATGTGTTCTCCTTGAGGAAGTGTAAATTTGAATTGATCTTTTAAAAGAGCAATAATAAATAGTCTGAGGAAAGGAGATCGGGAAAGCGGCTGGGGCAAGATAGACTGGAATGGGTGGGAAGTTGTGAGTGAGAAAGCGTAGTGGGTACAGGGACCACAAGAACCTTCTCCAAAATCCCTTCATCTTTACATAGTTGTCTAAAGCTTATGTTCTTTTGTTGAGCTAAAAATGAATGAGTGGGCTCTGTGTTTGCTTTGAAACTAGATTCTTGATTGTTAAACCTCCAATATTTTCCCAGTGTAGTACCAGTTACTGAAGATTTTTAAGCTTGATAATTGAAAGATTGACAGGTAATCATTCTTTTGACAAGTGTGTAATTAACATATGCAGATGGAAGACCCATCAGTTGTTTTTAGTATCACCTGTAATGGCAATTACGGTAGTTCCCTTCCCTCAGGACAGTGGTTGGGGTGGAGAAAACCACTAGGGAAGAGTGGCGACGCTTCAGTCCGAACAAATATAGAGGTGTTCCCAGGTAAATGATGCAGTCTTCAGTCATTAGCGGAAGTGGGCATTTGTATATTGTGTGAATCTCGTACTTACATTGCTCTCATCGTTAAATTCTCATGTATCAGTGAAATGGTGGTAATATCGGTGCGTTCTTGTAGGTTGTGGTTACACTGATGAAAAAAGCAGAAAAGAGCGTAAGGCCGTTGCATGAACTAAATGTCCTGCAGCTTGGAGTGGAAGCCAGAGTTAAAGCCTGTGACATGACTGCTGAAGCCTATCTACAACAGATCAGCATGCGATGCTTTGATTTCACTGGTCAGTGAGTTATTCATTGGGCAGATGGTCTTTTTGATTACCACTAAACATTTGTGTCACCATAATTATTTAGATTAAATATATTACATTGGTACCAAGGAATTTGATGTTTTAAAAATTTACTGTCTTACATAGTTGTAAGTATATATTCAGGTAATACAAAGTAGAATAGTTCTGAAAAAGTCATATGTCTTCATTGTATGCAATACTTAAGTACTTACAGAAGGTACCTTTTCATTATAACTGTGCCATGAGAACTGATATAGCAGGAAAACAGGACCCAGGTACATACAGGAACTCATTTGGAAACGTTGAGTTAGCTTGTCTTTATTTTAAAATTACGTGGATTTTAAAATTGTTCTCAATTATATCACTATGTGCTTATGAAAAATGAAATTTCAGCAGTACATAAGTTTATAGAAGGAAAAGTTTAACATAGCCTGGAAATCTCTTTTCCCTTCAAGTAAAAACTAAATTATTGTTTAGTAAGTTTCTCAGATCTTCTGAATTCGTGTTCTCCTTTTAAATCTGTTTGTTAGTACACGCGTGCAGTGCGCGATGTCCGCACTCCTTGTGTGGAGTTGGTGCGTTCACACAGCACACCTTCCTTCCTCTTCTCATCCCCTTTCCCTTCCTTCCCTCTCCTCTCCGCCCATCCCTCGATCCCCTTCCCCTTCCTATTACCCATCTTTATTTTGCTCTTTATTTTTACACTGGGTTTCTCATATAAGAGGAACAATGTAATAATATGAACCAACTTGTAAAGTTTCTGGTGACATTTAAAGTTTATAAGAACTCTGTGGAATAGCTTTAAGAAAACAAACTCGTGCTGAGCATGGGTGGTGCACACCTGTGGTCCCTGCACTTGAGAGGCTGAGGCAGGAGAATTACTGTGAGTTCAAGGCCATCCTGGGCTACATAAGTGAGTTCAAGGCCAGCCTGCACTACATAGTGAGACACTGTCCCAGCAAAACAAAACGAAACAAAAACAACCAACCAACCAAAAACACCATGGTTGTATTGAGAGTAACCTCTACTTTTACTTATTTTATAGCTTTGTTCTTTGTAGCCTGTCGTCTGTGATTTGTTCAAGTGAGTGTAATAATAGAGTACCAAATATTATAACAGTTATTATTAACTGGTGCAGAGTTTCGTTGTTGTTTTTATGGAGTTTCTTTTTGTGTTTTTTTCAAAGCCAGGCTTCTTGAGGCATGATTTATGTGCGGTATAACTAACTCATATGCTAGTGTAAAATTCTGAGGGTTTTGATAAACATGTATTTGGTTACCTGGCTGTTGCCATTGCATAAGATGTTTGACATGTTAAGCAGTGCTGACCAGCCCGGTCTCTTGCTCCTAGACTCTGGAGGAGGCCCTCTGCACATTGTGAGCTCCTCCCGCGTGACCGATGAGCCGCTGCTGAGAATGGCCTTTACCAAGGTACAGCTTTCGTCTTACTATGGGAATACACGAGGTTACATCTGCTTCCTTCATGTTTCATGTTCCAGTTTTCTCTCCTAAAAGTGTTCTTTACAATTTGCTTGATTGTGATGGAGTATGAAAGTATTTGCATACGCTCATTATCCTTCTGGTTTCCCTAGGGTGTTGAGTAAGTGGAAATAGTAAAAAGTTCTGCTGTGTTCTGAAGCAAAGTATATTGTCATCTACATACACAAGCATTTCCCCTACCTTTCAGATTTGCACGTTAGCATTTCCTCCAGAATAGTTTTGCTTTTTATCTGTAGAATGTGAGATGTGGTTATGTGGTCAGTTTTTTTTTATCATATCCTTTATCTATAAGAAATATATTTTATAATGATTTAATGGCATACCTTCAGAAGTAAAAATTAAATGTGTATTCAGTGCCTGAAAGTGGTTGTAATCCATTGGTTTAATTACCTACTATTTGTAGGCAGACAGTGACGGACCAGAGTTTAAAACTGTTCATGACAATACCAAACAGAGACTAAAGGTAAGTTTTTAATAATTAAACATAGCTTCAGAGCCATTCTCAGTTGTAAGGTTGTTCTAAAATTGGAATAATGTGAAAATGATAATGGATTTAATTTTGTAGATAAAACAAGGGGATATATAATTGAAATATACTTTTTATAAAAATTGAATTGATTTGTAAAAAGATCACTTGTTTCTCAGATGTAAAGTACTCATTACTTATATAACAAATAATATATTGTTGAATAATAAATAATACATTTTTAAGGGAATTCTGTTCATTTTAGTCCACCATAGTTTTTTTTTTGGTGCCAGGAATCGAACTCAGGACCTTGTGCTTGCCAGGCAGGTGCTTGTGCCTCTGAGCTATATCCCCGGCCCTCCACCATAGTTGTTTGGCCTGATATTGATTAAAGCATCAAGTATTAGCATTGTGTATTGGCTTTAGCATTAAGGACATGACTCACATTTCCTTTGAGCGAGTACGTGTTGGGATGCTTCCTATACCTTTACTCAGAACTCAAATCCTGCCAAAGATAGTTATGTTTGCACACTGCAGTGGGAAAAGTATTGATTTATTGCCTGATTAAGATTAATATTGTGGTAGTATTTCTAAGAATTAACATGGATAGCAATTCTCCATTTTTTAAAAAGGCCCTTACTGCCGCTCTTCTTGTGGTAGTTGTATGTGCTGAGACTTAATGTGAACACGTTACCACGTCTGATCTGCCTCTCTAATTGTCTGTTATTTTAGGTTTCATTTTCGTCCTTAGATATAGTACTTCATTTGGAAGCTTTGCTTTCCCTTATGAATTTTTTGTCATCGGCTGTTCCATCCTCTGAGTCTTCTTCTCAGAAAGAATCTGAGCTCAAACCACTTGTGGGGGAGTCCAGAAGTATTGCCATCAAAGCTGGTATTAATTTTTGAGTAATGGTCTAATGCTTTCTCTCATATAATAACTTAATGTATTTTAAGCTAAGAATATGTTTATCATCTTGATGTTATACCTGATCTGACATTGAAGTTAGTTTCAAAAGAATGCCAAGTTTTTCTTTATAGGATTATTGAAGGGTTTTGAATATTGCTTGATCGTGTATTTATTCTTGATTTTTCTGTCCAGATAGTATCTACTTTGCATTGACATCTCTTTGCATTCTTCAGTGCCATAAAAGTGAGAAATGAGGAAGTTAAGTGTGGATGCAGGCATGCATAGTGACAAAGCCCCGTCACACGCAGTGTTGTCTAGTGCTGAGTGGTCTTTAAGCTTTGTGGACACTAGAGGAATCTCATGGCAGAGATGGACTCGCTTTCGTTTCTAAGCAGATCTGTGTATCTGTCACACACAGATCTGAGGACATGTTCCTTAGGCACATATCCTGAAATGTTAGCTGTGAAGTATCTATAGTAAATAAACAGTACGTACTTGTTTTTGGAGCAAACATCATTTTGGTTTTTTCACATATAATGTGGGAATCTAACAAACAGTAATTTAATTTTTAGAGCATCACCAATTTGGATATATCTATATTACTGGGATCTTTAGTATAAAACTGTTAGTACCATTACATCTGATCTAAGGATCTGATGGTTGGTTTTTTTTTTTTTTTTTTTTCCTCTGGGTATCAAACTCAGGACCTTGCACTTGCCAGGCAGGCGCCATACCTCTGAGCTATACCCCCGGCTGGATCTGATTTTTTGAAACCTTAGAACATAGCAATTTGTTCTAAACTAGAGTAAAAGAGGCTTACCCTTCTTATTATTAATGTGGTTGCCATAGTAGTACAGTATCTTTGGAGGTAATATCCTTGGAATTCTTCTGTTATATAGTATATGCATATTATACATAGAAAAATAGTGGAATACATGGAAAATAAATGTTTCAATTTATGATACCCTACAAGCAACATTAATTCAAACAAACTTTGTGGTTTTGCTGTAGGACTCATCTTCGTGGCTTGATGATGTTACATTTTGTATTGGAAGAAACCAACTTGTCATAGTGGGGATTAATGACTAATACATACCCTCATGCTTTTGCAGTTTTATACGAAGGGGCTTTTAAAAACTGTAATCCTCTGTATTTGTATTGTATTGAATTTATTTTAGAATTCTTTATGGAGCCATAGCATATATTCTAGTAAAACTGGATTGCTTCCATAGTTAAATAACATGTATTATAAGTGTCATAGTAAATAATATGAATTGTTTAAACTAGTCATCATATTTTAGTTCAGTATTTGTTATTGCTTTGATATAATGTATGACAGATTTTAAAATGAAAATTTTTGACTAATAGAATTTTAGAATTCTAATTTAAAGGGTTTTACTGTGTTTTTTCCCAGAAGAAAAATCACAGTGAAGTGTCCCTGTGGTAAACAACACCATCATGCTGCTGTTAATAGTTGTGTTTAATCTTAATTTGAAGGGTAACTGCTATTTTTGTCTGGTCGGCATTTGAAAATTGACTCAAAACTCACATTAGTTTTTATCTTAATGGAGACCTTTTTGACTTATACTACAGTTTCATTTTATTGAATTTGAGATTATTTTGTGTATTCTGTCATCTTTGCACTTTGCTAATCACAAATTTTCTATTACTTTCCAGTGTCTAGTACTGTTTCTAAAGAGGATGTGTTCGATTTAAAGGTCACAGCTGAATTAGATGCCTTTAATGTCTTTGTTTGTGATCAGAAGTGTGCTATAGCTGATATTAAAATACATGGTGAGTGATCATTACTTGGTATAGGTCTTGACACAAACATCCAGGAAAAGTGAGCTCATACAGGATGAATTTTTATGAGTCATGTATTATTTATTTACACTGAAGGTTAAAGTGACTTGTGTAAAGGTATATTTCAAAATGTTAGTAGCAAAGTTGTTAAAATTGTTTACTGAATTGAGGCATTTCAGATGTTTACTTATATTTTTAGAATAACTTTAAGAATTGAGTATCATGGTAGCATGTTACAGAATTTTTAAAAAGTCATTTCTTTCTTTCCTTTCTTTCCTTATTTTCCTTTCTCTTCTTTCTTTCTTTCTTTCTTTCTTTCTTTCTTTCTTTCTTTCTTTCTTTCTTTTTTCTTTCTTTCTTTTTTCTTTCTTTTCCTTTCCTTTCCTTTTCTTTTTTCTTTTTCTTTTTCTTCTTTCTTTCTTTCTTTCTTTCTCTCTTTCTCTCTTTCTCTCTTTCTCTCTTTCTCTCTTTCTCTTTCTCTCTTTCTTTCTCTCTTTCTCTCTTTCTCTCTCTCTCTTTCTTTCTTTCTTTCTTTCCTTTTTTTGCCTATGTAGCATAGGCAAAGGAGTTCCTGAAAGACATTTCACGACCTTTTCCTTTTATCAGCTTGATAGAAGAATGAAGCAGCACATTACTCTCCCTCCCTTTCTCCTTCCCTCGCCTTCTTTCCTTTTCTTCCTTTGTGGGATTGAATCCAGGGGCTTTGTGTTGAGCTGCACCCTTGGTCTATTTTTTAAACTTTTTGTAATTTTGAGCTAGTGTCTCAAGTTGCTAAATTGCGCTGGCTGAGCTTGAACTTGGGATCCTCTTGACTCAGCCTTCCAGAGTGCTGGGATTACAGGCCTCTACCACCAGGTTTGGCTGGGTGTTTTTATTTTTTTTAACTCACAACTTTTGTGTATGAGATGCATGCAGTACTTAAAGGTATTGTAACCTTTAAGTACCTCATATGTGGATATTGGTATTTTTAGTATGTCTAATAATAGCTTTCGTTCACTCTATGTTGGTAGTATGTAACTGAATGTAAATACTACTAAATTGACTCATTTAGGTAGAATGGAACCTTTGTAAAAGTCTTGCCTTCCATAGGAATGAACGCCTCTGTTTCTGTGAAGCCAAAACAGACCGATATGTTTGCCAGACTTCAAAATATCATAGTTACAAATGTTGATTTGCTGTCCATTCATAAGAAGGTAATTAAAAAATGGATTTCTCTACTGAAGTTTCTTCTGTGCTTTGCATTTGAGATGCTTCTTTGCTTTTGTTCAGTGTGCATTTATTAGTCTGTCACATGAGGCTTTTCCTAAGGGTAGAGAGGAAGATGGTAACCGTCCGCTTTCACTTTGTGTGCACACTAGGCCTTCTGGTTACTTCTCAACGTGTGGTGATGGATAGTATTGCCGTTAATAAAGGGGTTTTTACAGCGATAGAAGAAAGTTACTATCAAGTAAATTGGTTTTAACTGATGATGTTTAAGGTGAATCTCGATGTTGCTTCCTATTGCAAGGATTCTCTAATGCAGACACTATGATGCAGAGAAGGGCCTACAGCTCTTCCGTGTAAAAGCCGATGATCTCGTACTTTCAGGCTGTCTCTATCTTGGGAGATGAAGTCTTCAGGTTCCAGATGACTCTATATCCAGGTGCCACAGAAGGAGAGGCCTATGCTGACGTGTCTAAAGTGGACGGCAGACTTAGTCTCAAAGTGGGTTGTATTCAGATCGTTTATGTTCACAAATTCTTCATGTCTCTTCTGGTAAGTTTGTTTTAATATATATTTATTTCCCATTGAGGCCTACGTATTTTGCCTGTACACCTGAACCGAGAGAGTTGAGATCTTCATCCCAGGCTGTGTGACAAACGCTCAAGTGCTGGCCAGACTACCACAGTCAAAGAGACCTTTAGATGATGGTTAAGTCAGTTTTAAAAATCATTATTTTTTGGGTACACAAGCTGTCTTTCTGTAGCATTTTCTTAGTTGTATATTTTATAAGTACTTCTTGTTTTTTTAATTTAGGACTTTCCAGTAGTACTTGTTTATGGAAATGCCCTTAAGGATGTTTAGCTAAAAGAATTTTTAAAGGAAGCTCAGCAGATATCTGAAGAACTAATATTGGAACTTACAGCTTTTGGTTATATTTGTGATCACTAAGGCCCTAGAATTCTTTTATTTTTATTAGGCTCGTGTAGGTATCCTATGCTGAAAAGTTTAAATCTGCTCATTTCTCCTGACAGGGTTGCTAACCAAAGCTTACTTGTCATGAGTTTCTACCTAAACTACCATGTTCACTTATCTAGAAAGTGAGCTGTTTAGGGAGAAGAGGAAGAGACTAAGTTCCTTTGTATTCTGTTGTTACTATTTTTTGGTCCCAGGAATCCAACTCAGGACCTTGCAGGTGCCAGGCAGATACTGCACCCCTGAGCTGTACCCCCCCCCCCGGCCCTAGTTCCTTTGTATTATTAATGGATGGTCATTAAGAACATTAGTTCTAAAAGTGATTTTTTTTTTTTTTTTTTACTGGGAATAATCTTTCTTTTTAGTTGCATTCAGATGAAATACATCCTACTATAAATAAAAGACATTTTGATTTTTAGTCATGATTGTAGGATTGTAGGCAGTTGACCATTTTTGCCCATCCATGCATGGTACATTTTAAAAAACAGATTCTCAGAAATAAGCTTCCAGAACCTTAGTTTCTAGGAGTAAACTATATTTACTGTGACCTACAGGTACAGAATAGAACCTACTGTTGGGGAAATAAAGGAATGGAGGCATTCCTTTCACTTATATTTGCTTGTAGAATAGCGAATAGTCATTAATAAAAAAGATTTTAAAAAGAACCACTAATAAAAATTTGTCGTAAAATTAATTGTAAAATACATAAATGAAAGTTAAAGAGTCTTTCCTTCCTGGAGATAGCTATTGTTAATAGCTCAGAGTATATCTTTCCAGACTTTATTCTTCCCCAGGTACACAGTCATCAATAATCTCTTTTTTATTACCGCATTTAAGTAATTGTTCTTTTTGCAGTACGTACTTTTGAAAATGTTTTCCTTTGGAGAATAAATGTCTTGTGGGGGCGCGCTTTAACTGTCAGTCTCTTCCAACAGAGTTTCCTCAACAACTTCCAAGCTGCCAAGGAAGCTCTGAGCACGGCCACGGTGCAGGCTGCCGAGAGAGCTGCATCTAGCATGAAGGACCTGGCTCAGAAGAGCTTCCGCCTCCTAATGGATGTGGACTTGAAAGCGCCAGTTATTATCATCCCTCAGTCTTCAGTATCGCCTAATGCTGTTGTAGCAGATCTGGGTTTAATCAGAGTGGAAAACAACTTTAGCTTGCTTCCGATGGAACACTACTCTCTTCCCCCCGTCACTGATAAAATGAGGATACAACTCACTCAGTTGAAGCTGTCCAGGTAAAAATACCTGATCTGACTGTGCATTATTTACTACAAAGATTTTCATATAGTTTTTTCCTAGGGTAAAATAGTGATTTGTGATCTTTTCTTTATTGTAATTGTGAAACCTTGATCATTATTTTTGGTTAGTTGTCAATAGTAATGTGCTTTATAGTATTGGTATTTTGTGCTCCTCAATTTAGAATGTTACTTTCCATTCTATAAAAATTTATATGTTAAAAAAATTACAGTTTACTAGCTGGGCATAGGAGTACATCGCTGAAGTCCCAGCTACGTAAGTGCCTGAAGCAGGAGGATCGCTTGAGCTCGCAAGTTCCAGACTACCCTGTGTAACGTAGCAAGAGCCCATCTCAAAATAAAGAACAAAGAGAAATACATGCAGAGAGAATGCAACACAGTGTGTGTACTTGCTCACATATACATATTTGTTTAGTTTGCTCACAGCTAGTTCCTTTTCGGTAGATGGGAGAAAACTTCCTAAATTGTAGTAAGATTTAACACGTTTAGTGAGGTATTTAAAGGATTGTTGAATCCAGATGGGAAAGTGTTGACTCTGTTTAGTGGCAAGAGTACTTACTTTCTTGTACAAATGGATGTTAGTAGGCAAGTTAGAAATGACTATTGCCGTGTGGTCACTTTTAGATTTGGTGTGTTTTTCCCTTTGAATTCTGAAAAGTAATAACATAGTGAGGGCCAAGTATATGATTGCTTCATTTGTTTTCGTAGAGTATAGCACTTATTTGTATGATATTATACTAGTTGCTGTATCATACAGTTTTGGTGAAATACAGTAAATGGTATAGTCGTAATTTCTGGAAATTATGTCTTTGTTCTTGATAACTGCATATAAACTTTATTCTGATTTGCATTGATTTATGAAAAGAAATATGTTCTGAAAGAGTCCTGATAGTAGCTTTTAAGTGTATAGGAAGGTGCCATGTGGAAACGCTTACTGTGGGGGTCCTCATTTTAAATGTAAATTAAAAATACGTAGATATATAATCTTGTTTTTCCTCTCAGAACTGTTTTGCAGGCTGGCTCGCCCCATCATGAGATTGAAATTTTAAAACCAGTAAACATGCTTTTGTGTATACAACGAAATTTATCAGCAACATGGTATATGCAGATTCCAGGAATAGAGATAAAAGGAAAACTAAAACCTATGCAGGTATGTATATCATATTAAATAGATGGGCATTGCCAGGAAGACCTTCGTTGTTGATCATAGTACAGCTCTTATTAATTGTTAATGAGATCAGCCTTGTCTCTTGCACTTTTGTTTCATTTTAATTAGCAGTATGATAAAGATAGCAAGAAGTTTGAAAGAGCTGGGCACAGTGGCTTGAGTTTGAGGCCAGCCTATGCATTGGAGGGAGATCCTGTGTTGAAGTAAAATAAAGGCTGGGAATGTAGTCCTGTGGTGGAGCGCTTAACCTAGTGAAACTCGCGGGCGCGTGCTTGTGCACGTGCGCACACACACACACACACACACACACAGGAGAAGGGTAGGGACTGAGATAAAACCTTTTGAGTCTGCTAAAAATACTCTCCTTAATTTTGGAAAATTCTGTTAAAATCTTAATATATTTAAATTGTAAGAGAATGAAAAGTGATGTTCATGTACCACATTCATAGCTTTTTAGTTGTGATTTTCTTTTTAAATTAAAAAGTTTTTTTGATTCACCTAGTATTTGTGCATATTTATGAGGTATGTATAGTTACTGAGTAGTATATTAAGGTGTAGGAAACCTCTTTGAATTAGGAAAGTGAATATCACTTCAAGTAGGCAGAGGTGTGTATTTGTAGCAAAGCAGTCAAACAGTATCCTCAGTGGCACCCTTAGCAGGTTTTGTGCCAGCTCCCGGGGGCTGGTGGACAGGAGTTACGGGAGTGGTGTGCTAGCCCTGTGGTTCTCGTGTGCCCATGCATGAGACTTGAAGCCATGCAGCAAGGGTTGGGATAGGAGGGGGAGACTAAGCAAATAGAATGAATGAAAAGCCAGCAAAACTGTAGTGTTACTAGTTTTGATATCTGTGATTATTTTAGAGTTGGTTCTGAGATAAGATAGGAAGGGTCAGAGGAGCATTTAGGAAACATGAGGAAAGCATTTAAAGTAGAAGCTTGTGGAAAGGAAAGATTTCTGTGTATATGTACTAGTGGGTATACAAGTGGAGGTCTTATATGAGAAGGAGTCACTGAATTATTGGTATTCCAGAGTATGGGTCTTTCTCTTAGTTCATAGGACAGTCTGTATTCCAGAGTATGGCTTCCTTCTCTCAGTTTGTCCCGTACAGCTAAGATATTGGATCCCAGGACAATATTTGACTTCCTTTCAAAGATTGTAGAGTTACAGATTTCCTGAAAGCAAAAGTAAAATGTAAATGTCTGTTGATAGGAGAATGTGGATAAAATTATAATGTATTCATACTTGGGAATTATAAGGCATATAAAATAAAGAACCAGAACTATAGCATACAAGATGATCTTAAATATAAAAATGAAAAAAAATTGTGAAATGATAGCATAGTTCTGTATTGACAATGTTTTCAATAAGCAAGGGTATGATATATGTGTATGCATATATATTCATATACATATATTTATATAATTATATAGAGATACAATTATATACATATAATATATACATACACATATATGTATGTATATATGTATGTATATGTATGTATATATATGTATATATACACAAATATACACATGCATATGTGTATATTTATGTAATACACATATATACATAACTTACAGGACATGCAGTAATGGTAAATGTAAGAGAGCACTCACAGAAATAATTGTCTCATTCGTGGCAGAATCTTTCCACAGATATGGGAACAGGGTCTCAGAGAGTCACACAGAGGATTCAGCTGTGTCTGTAAGGGAAAAAGACCTGTGGGAAATGTGGCAGCTTGTTACGATCTGGTGAAGCCAGCTGGTAGGCACACAGGGGAGGGTTGTAGTACTCTCTTTTTCTTTTGTGCTTGAAGTGTATCAGAAGAAACAAGGCAGAAAGACCCAGTCGATCCAGCAAGTCAGCGTCGAAGTATAACCCTTGCTTTAACCAAAGGGCCTTCGTTAACTCAGCAGTGCAGCCACACTGGAGAACATTTCCACGGCCCAGTTTGTCAGTGACCCGGGCCTGTGCAAGTACTTCTGCTTTGGTCACGGTTGGTGTCATTTCCTGGGCCAAGCATGCTGCTAAGAAAGGTGTCAGACAGGTGACACCAATAAATTCTTTGCAGTGTGTGGTTTGACAGTTCTTTTTTTTTTTTTTTTTTTTTTGGTACTAGGAATTGAACTCAGGACCTTGCGCTTGCCAGGCAGGCGCTTATGCCTCTGTGCTATGCCCCTGGCCCAAGGTTTGACAGTTCTTAAAGAACTTTGGGCCACCTTTCAAAATTATCCTTCAGACTTACTGAAGGTTGATGTAATAGATGATCCATTGGTCTTCTTATCCATAGCAGACTGGAGATGGTGAACTCAGCTGCCCTTCAGGCAGCTGTGATAACTTGGTTGGTATCCAAGGTAGGAACGGACACTGAGGAAGTTCTAAGGAGTTAGTGTTATCCCTGTTATCCGAGGCCCAGGGCTGGGGACAAACAAGAAGTCTCTGATCATTGCCTTGTGCTAAAGAATCTTCCTGTTGTCGTTTATGTGGGGCACTAGGCAGTTCTGCAGGCTGAAGGGATCTAAATTAGGGAAGACAGGTTCCTGTGGCATGCAGAAGAGACGTTACTGTGCGTGTGTGCATGTGGGTGTGACTTTATGTGTAAGTTCTGAAACGAAACTCTTTCGACTGCGGTGTCTGGAGGGGAAATTTGCAAAAGGTAGAATAAAAGGCTCTAAGGAAAATACTGATTTAATAGATTTTAATAGCCAGTAGCAACTATGTTGTTCTGCAACACCCCGTGAAGAAGACACTATTATTTTTGTTTCAAAGATTAAAAGACTGGATTTAAGGAAGCTAAGAAACTTGGCCAACATCACAGCTTGAAAGTGCTAGGGCAACGGGATCAGATCTGCCTAACTCAGAAGTCTTCCTCTTTTTTTTCTTTTTGTTAGATACAGTCTTTTGTAAAGTTAAAAGATGAGAAAGATGCTGCCTTCCTAGTGTGTGTTTTGGTTTTAAAAAATATTTTGTAGTTATATTTGTTGTTTTTCTAAGAGGTGTTTTTTTGATATGTTAACAAAATTCTATGTATGCTCCGATGCGTATGTACTATGAGTAGAGCTACATAACAGGAGACCGGAAACCAAACTGCTCTGTCGCGGTGTTGAACTTGTTGGAGCAGAGTGAATACTGGAGGAGGGGGAGTGGACACGGGGTGGGAAGAGAGGCAGAGTGGGCTTGGGGAGATGGGGTCATGGGAGTGAGGTCAGGGCCATAACCTGGACAGCTGGACGCAGGCCAGGCAGCGTGGTGGTGCGGTGTCAGAGGCAGGGCCTGGCCGTGGGCGGAGCAGAAGGTGCCTCCTTAGGACGGGTATCTCACACTAGCCAGGTGGGACCCTTCTGTCCCACTCCCTGTCCATCTGTCACTATCTCTTTCTCTCCTTTTATTTTTATTTTTGCAGTGCTGAGGATTGAGCACAGGGTTTGTGCGTGCTAGGCACGCACTCTACCAGTGAGCGACACCCTCACACCTATCCTTAATTTTTAAATGGATGCAAACAATTGGTTAAATTTAAGACATATGTGTGTGTGATATTCTGGAGTTTTTATTACTTTATGTTGACAGTTATTTCTCGGTTCCAGGTTGCTCTCAGTGAAGATGACTTAACAGTTTTAATGAAAATTTTGCTGGAAAATCTTGGGGAAGCTCCTTCACAGTCAAGCCCTACACTGTCTGCACAGGAGGCTGTGAGAGTGAGGAAAGATGTTCCCAGTGGACCAGACTACCTGAGAGGTGGGCCTGGATGCAGATGCCTAGTTTGATCACTGGAGCGTTGTTGTTGGTGTCCTCTGTATACTTAGTGCCCTTGAGCTGTGTACTCCTCATGGGACGGTTACTGGGGCAGCCTGCAGTGGCTGCCGTTGCCTCCGGAAGCTCCCCGGGGAGGGAGAGCCGCCACTGTCTGTGACGAGAGGACGGCCTCTCGTTCTCGCTGCATGAGCCTTACTTACCCTTGATGTGAAAGCTGCATTTGCGGAATTCCCCAGGCACTGACCTTGGGAACATCTGTGGGGCGGTGCACCCCGAGAGGAAGTCAGTAGGCAAGCAGTGCGGCAGCATGGCCCCAAAGTCAGTGAGAGAGAAAAGGGCCGTGTGTGATACCGTCATCTTTAGGCGACTGAACCATGAGAAAGAAGGGTGTTCTTTTGTAGTAATGGCTTTGCTTGCCTGACCGGTGGAAAAGGGTGCAGTCAGATGAACTTGAGGCCTGTTTTAGATTATTAATTTGAACCTATGGAAAGCAGCAAATCTTTTAAATTCAGCCATTTTCAAATGGTACTTGCTCTAGAGTAAAGATTTCTTTTTACCTCATTAAGTAGATTTGATGAAACACCATTTCACTACTTTTCATGATTTGAAGTCATTAGAATGAACATCAGGTGTTTTGTTAGAAAGTACGTAGGTTACTGTTTCCATAACTGAAAAGAGGAAGTTCCCCTTGCTCTTACTATAATAAGTGGTCCTGGGTTATTATGTGAGCCTTTATAATGCTCTCAGATCATCAGTTTAATTGGTAAAACTGCCAGTTAGTAATACTGTACCAAGTGAAATAAATCAGACTTGCATGTGTAAACATCATATTGTCTCCCCAGTGTAAGAAACTGAAAGAGTAAATACGATACAAAGTATACAATAGATACTGTGAAATGGGAATTCGAAACTGTTCAAAAGGAAAGAGAAATTGGGATGGGGGAAAGGATAAAAGAAAGGGAAAAGAATTACATACATATACACACCAGATAGTTAAGATACTTATACTACTAATTGCTATTAGTTCATTGAAAAGAAAGGTTTGTGCCTATATTGTTTGATCAATTTTTCATGCCTATATCTTGTAATATGAGCAACTACTTTGCAGGTAACAGTATGTAGTGTACTAACCATTGTTACTCTCCTGTGGTCTTGTTTTGAAATTTTGTATGGCTATTTTTATTTTGTCTTCAAAAAAAATAATCCCATACGAACACTGCTCCTACAGCTAGATAGACGTGTTTTGGAATTAGACACGTTCCAGCGGATGACCGGAACACTGCAGCATAGGTGTCTGGTTTAGGCCGACCGCTGCTAGGGTTGCGTAGCTTGTGAGGCCAGTACCTTCCCCTCCGTTTGGGTTTGCGCTGCCTTCTGGACCACTGCTGGAGAAGCAGTGCTTCGGTAGATGGGAGCCACGTACAGGATGGCGGGCACTCTGCTTGATTACTGATCTCATTGGGTTCACTGTGATCAGATTTGTGTTTATGGTTCTCACTGATGTTAATGTGGAACTTGGGAAAATTTGTGAGTTCAGTTGTAAGCCACAAATGTGAAGATTAGAATATAAATTATTTTTAGGAAAAGTGGAGAAAAAAACAAGGACTTTCAGTTTGGAGAAACCTTACATAATTAAAATTACAGAGTTTTTCCTTTTGTAGTAATTTGTAAGAGTAGAAGTTCCTGTAGAATAACCAACAAAGAGCACCAGTCCCCGAAAGAATTGTAGAACCTCTGTGTAGGAGTGACTGAAGGCAGGTCCTATTTTGTCTGCCCTGTCTCAAGATGCGAGAAGAGACTAAATTTTTCTTGAAGTTTCTTCCACCTCAGAATTCCAGACCTTGCCCAGCTTACATCACATTAGCGCTCTGATGCTGTCGGGTTATATTCTAGTCTTTATAAAGGCAGTGGGTGGACAGTTAAATAATTAAAGACAGTAAGATGTACACTCTACCAGCAGATCTTTTCCTGTCTAATCTAGGGTCAAATATTTCAACTTTCTGTGCCTTTTTCCTTGTAATCTCCTGATGGCTTGAAATAGGCCTTTAAAAATGCCTTGATATAACAAATGATAGCAAGTAATCTTATTTTGCAGAACTTTAAAAAATTGCCTTGAAATACTATTTAGTCTCCTCTTTGCCACTTTGCCCTATACTAAATGTGGAATAATTGTTGCTGTTTTTATGTACTGTCACATAGTATGATTTAAGAATGCTGGAAGGGGTGACACAAATTTAGTGAATTATTTTAGCTTTTAAAATACATAGAAAATAATATGCATAAAAGCTTTATAATTTTAAGTTTTGTGTTTAACCCATCAGGACAAGAAGATTTGACAGACTTAAAACCTTCTGTGGACCAGAATGTCACACTCCAATTTGACTTTCACTTTGAATCTCTTTCCATTATCCTTTATAACAGTGGTATCAATCAGGTACGTAGTGAAGTTCTGGGGAGAGCTCTTGATACTCATTTAAATACTGGCATTATGTCATGTAATTATTCATTAAAAAATCTTAACACATTCCCAGCATCTCTGTGTCCTTTGAAACATAAGCAGTGCTGGTTCTGCAGCCAGTGCTCCCTGGGTTTGCATCGCTAACGTCACTAGGCCAAGGGTGCACTTGGGGTTCATTTCTTTCCAGCTAATGTGGATATCAAAGCACAGGTTGACCTGTTGCTCAAAGAGAATTTTTACATGTGTGTGGTTAATTATATCTTCCATTTTATGACATAGCTAAATATGAATACCTATTTAAGGTATTCATGACATAGCTAAAGTATGAATACCTATTTAAGGATAATTTAGTGGCTTTAGAGCTTCAGACGATTTTTCTGAAATTCATGATTCACTATGAATGTAAACAGTGACTTTCTATTGAATAAATATTACATGTAGTGAATTTGTATTAATATTATTAATAAATTCAAGAACCTCAGTCTGATTTCATGATAGGCACTAATGTTTCAGTGGTATTTTAGAAAGTTTTTTTATTGTATCCTCTAATATTTTTATTATGTCAGTTATGCCATACGTTAATAACTATAGTACATATGTAATTCATGTAAATCTGTATCAGTTTTAGGTATTATATCTGTTAATGTACATTTTCATGTACTAATTTATGCTTCATACTGTTTTCTAAAATTAAAACATTACACTGTACCTTGTTACTGTTGAACTTTGGTTTAATGTTTGTTATTTATGCATTGAACTGCCTTAATTTCTACTGGAGGTGCATGAAACCATCAGAAAATGTCCTCATAGAAAAGGAGCAGTTAAAAGTCCTGCTATTTTTACTTGAGGACCACCATCTATTGGTTCCTCAGTCTTTGGATTTCCATCTCTTCTTTTACTTTTTTTCCTTGCCCACCCTTGGTATTCCTTACACACTGAGTACTCTCAGGCTTTTGAGGGTACATTGCTCTTTCCTGTCTGTTTCCACTGCTGCTTGTGTGAGACTCTTACTAGCTCACACTTGTACTGCTTTGGCTTCCTTTGGTCTGTCTTAGAGACTTGTGCAAGTTAAGTGTCATAAGTAAACCTCCCTTGGCCACTTGCAACTTCCCATTCTACTTAGAAGTATTGTGTGTTATAGTATGTGAGTGTTCCCTTGTGGAAAAACGTGTCCTGAGGTTGTTTACATCAGTAGCCATATTAGGAAATGTTAGCCTGTTGTGATTACTAGATGTGACTCAGGTCATTTCTGTCAGTAGTTAAAGAGCAAAAGTTGCGAAATATTTCCCTCTTTATAGTTAAAGGCTTTCAAAGCTTACCAGCAGTAATGTCACTCTGACCCGCTTGCATGCAGTATACTGCCTGGAAGGAAAGAAGGTGTGGCGTTCTAGCCAGTATACAATGACTGCAGGCCACTGGCACATCTCTTACCGAAGCCGTGGGCTCCAGTGAGCTGCTATGACTGAAGGAGGGTTGTTTGTTGATTGGTTGGGTCAGGTTCTTTGTAAAATCTGGGCTTGTCTGGAGTGTCTGGATTTATGCTATGGTGGAATAAAGATCGAGGCCTGCTTTTCTAGAAACTAAAACTGCAGATCCTCCTGCTCCCTTAATTAGGCATCCATCTACTCTCAGTCCCTAGCATTGTTTAACTAGAATGTTCAAGCCTTTCTTGTTCCCTCCAAAAGAACACCTAGCTGGAAGGTAATGAGCTGGGAAGCCAGCGATCAGAAGTGTCAGCCCCAGTCTCTGTATCCTCCCCTTACCCGTTACGGAGCAGCAAGAGCGCGGTGACGGCAGCTAAGGCACGGACAGGCTATCGGGGCTGACGTTTTTCATCTCTAGTTTTCAGGGCTGGCTGTTTTCTAGCTAGGTCTTATTTTCAGGGAAGGAGGGTAGTCGCCTTGTTCCCTGTGCCCTGAGAGAACCGCGTATGCTCCTGTTTCTCCCCATGTGGAGCAACATCTGTCCTTCTATCTGATCTCATCCTCCAAGGCACAGTTAAGTTCTTAACCTGTTGTATGATTTTTTTGCAGCCTACAGTAATTAGTTTTACCTCTCTGAGCTTTTACTCTTTCTACGTTTTATCTAACTGCTTATATCCTTGGTGGAAATTGGAATGCTGTAAATGTTAATAAAAATTACTATATATCACGAGGTATTTGGTTATTTACAACTTATAGCATCTCCTTCTAATGTTCCTTTTAACGTATTTCTGGTTTGTTTTTTCAGCTACGGTATAAACTCACAGAAATCACCTGTAAGGCTTATTCTTTCTCATAAAGTCCCTAGTTCTTTTCACAGTTATTAATGGAAAAGCTCATTAGTGTTAGTTAGCTAAATTGCATCATTATCTGACAGAAATATTTACTAATTAGGTGTATTTGTATCAAACTGTATCAGGTTACTTTATATATTAACCGTTGTTGAGGATCAGGACACATACATGCATTTATTTGTATGTACATATATACTCACAGACAATGCAAAACTGTTCCATTTACATGTTTGCCTACACACGCTTTGAAAATTTTAGATTGATGTGCCTTTAAGTTCTGGATTAAGAAATATGTTTAAAAGTAATTACATAATGTTTAAAGCTAATTGACTCTTTTGCTTGAAAATGTACCACAGGAGTCCCAACTTTCATTTCATAACGACAGTTTCTGTCTTGGTGAGCTCAGACTGTATCTGATGGCCTCCGCAGGGAAGATGTTCAAGGACGGCTCAGTGAATGTCAGCCTTAAACTTAAGACCTGCACCCTTGATGATCTCAGAAAAGGCATTGAGAGAGCAACGTCGAGGTTTGTCAGATCGCAGTGTGCTGTACCCCACTTTGGTTCACCTTGCACCTGGCTGTGCTCCAGGCATCGCTGTGCTCGGGTTCTTCAAAAGATACTTCTGTCTTTTTGGTCAAACTTCGGAATTGAATTGCATCTAGAATTAGTGCTAATATCAGATTCAGCTGCTGTGATGTTTAGGTTAAGTGAAAGTTTATCAGTACAATGGAGTACCATCTTAAACACGAGAACTAAATATGAATATGCATTTTAACAGTTACATATGTGCTGGTATATTTTTTCAGATTATGTCCATTAAGCAGAATCATTTTTCAAAAATCCTTGAAATTATGACGTTCTCCTTTCTTTTATTTTGTCTGTCTTTTAAAACAGTTCTACAAAATTTCTTTCACTTTTAATAGGAGCAGAATCCCTAGCATAATCACATTATCAACACATTTTTGACAGTTGGATATCAGCCTGCTGCAAAGTTAGAAACATGTAACTTCAATAGCCTAATTATGTTTTCATTCCTTTCTGAAGTAACATGACATGTCATATTTTTTACTTGATGGTTTTCTTTGGAGAAAAACTGTGTTGCTACTTAATCTTGTATTTTGTTGAGTACACATTGGATAGTGCTCAACCCTTTATTTTCTTGAGAAATAAATAAATGAGAAAGGAATGCTACCATGCATCAACTTTTCTGTTCTGGGAATTTCATGTCTAGGGAACTGTCCGCAGCTCCCTAGACCAGGTGATAAATGCCGTAATCTGTTTGGTAGCCTGTCCTTACAGTACCTCTGAGGATAGGTAGGGACTGTCATTGCAGACCCTTGATAAACACGTGCTGATTTGAGTTGTGTTGAATACCTTTGGAATTCAACTGTAGAGGATGATTTTTGGAGATAAACTCTTTTAGGGAGGTAAATTCCTTCATTTAGTAGGATAATACGAGAAGGCTGTCTTACATTTTGTGGGACTACATTGATGATATTTACCTGAGTCATTTCTAGTAATCTATAGATATTTCTTCAGTATGAAATTGTAATGATAAAATATAATTGCTTAATCTTTTGAACCTTGTTTTGGAATTGGGGAAACCATGTCATGGATGTTAGTTTATTATGTCCAGTTAACAGGGTCCTATTTTCTATTCAGATAACTAAATGGTGAATGAATGATTATTAAAATACATAGGAAGGTTTTCCTTACTTTTATTTGTAGCAGGGATAAAATAATGAGTGATATGTGTGTATTTTTTCAGAATGATTGATAGGAAGAATGACCAAGATAACAGCAGTTCTATGATTGATATAAGTTACAAACAAGACAGAAGTGGAAGTCTGGTTGATGCTATTCTTGACAAGCTGTACGTGTGCGCCAGTGTGGAGTTTCTGATGACTGTGGCGGATTTCTTCATCAAGGCTGTGCCTCAGAGCCCGGAAAATGTGGCGAAAGAAGTACAGATTCCATCGAGACAGACTGCCGCAGGGAAGGTCAAGACAGAGAAAGGTTAGCAGCATTTCTCCATCACAGATGCCAAGTTTGTATATTTTAGCACAAATTACAAACTGGAGGAAGGAGACATGCAGGATTTGAGAAAGTGAAATCAGGCTTTTAGATTTGAACATATTTTACATAATCGCGGTAGTATTTCTAAGCGAGAGGTGTAGTGGAAACACGTTGTTAAGGGCAGGAAACGCTGCTGTGGTGCCGCTTGTGCCCCTCACGTTTTTACTCATCTGCAGTGGAGTTCGTTGGGGTAGATGGTTGGAGGACTATTTTCTGGGGGTCATTGAGTCAGAGGAAATACTTCAAAGAATTCTGCCACACTGAGGAGCAGTTGAAGAGATAAAAGGAGAAGGTGAGGATGTTGCAGGAACTGGCAAGACTCCCTACACGTCACCTCTGGCTCTGGCCTGGGTGTGTGCTGAAAGCACTCTGAGCCCCGCCCTGTAGTTTTTCTATCCCAGCCCCTCTACACTGATCGGCGTTTTTCTGTGTTCAGTTATCATTACTTACGGTTAGGCATTTTTCTCTGCCGGGCATAAGGCAGCGAGATTGGAAAACTAACACTAGCAAGATCAGAATATTATTTTTCCATTTGCTTTAAATGTTTGTTAAATACTAATCATACTGATACCTCTGTGTTCATTTATATATTGAATATATTCATCGTGTAGATAATATGACTCTTATTGTGGACCTTGGAGTAAAAGCCAAAGAAAACAAATGAGAACGGTTTACCAACTTTATCAGGATGTCTCCTCCTCTTCCTGGTGTTGCTCTGTCTAGTTTTCCCCTCGCGGCCCTGTGTCATGGAGTCACACATTCTCATGTGTGTACATGTGGCCCCCTTGATTCTGGCCAGCAGAACTTCACAACAGCACTGTTCGGGAGAAAATCAAAGATCAAAGTGGGGGTGATCTTTTTGGGCAGGTTTTAGATCGCATTTTCTTGCACAATTAGCATTTATTAAATAATCATTTATTAATATTAATCAACCAACTCATAATATTTATTAGTAATTTCACCATACCTATCATAGCAAAGATACTGGAAACCATTTAACAAGTCATCGATAATAATGTAGTGATACAAAGATTTACTTTACCATTTTTCTGGCCCCTGTTGTGTCTCCAGATGATTCTGCAAGACGAAACATGACCCTGAAGGCCATGATCACAGACCCGGAAGTGGTGTTTGTAGCCAACCTGACCAGGGCTGATGCTCCCGCACTGACAGCCTCCTTTCAGTGTAACCTGTCTCTGTCCGCATCCGGGCTGGAGCAGATGATGGAAGCTTCTGTGAGAGATCTGAAAGTGCTCGCCTGCCCTTTCCTCAGAGAGAAGAGAGGGAAAACCATTACCACAGTAAGAACTGCCTTGGGCCCTGTTCCTGAAGAATGGCAGAGAATGAGTCCTAGAATCTTAGAACCTGAGAGCTCTGCGGGACTTTAGTGATTATTTACCACAGCCTTGGGTTGTGCAGACAAGGATGGCGAGCTCTGAAGGTGTTAACTGACGAGTCCTGACTGCTAGTGACAGAACTAGAGACTACCTCCAGACTAATTTCCTTTTTATTATATTGTCTTCTGTTGACTTTTAGTACAAATCAGTATTTTTTTTAGCTATTTCTTTTGTTCACTATAGTGTACCCAGTGAGAGAAAAAGTAAATAAGCTGGGAGTGAAAAAAACTCACTTGGAGTAATATGACCAAGGGACTTCGGTGTTACTCAAGACTGACTGGTTAATCATCTGGAAACTGTTCATCTACCCTAACCCTTACTGCAGTCATTAGCTCATTTTATAGATACCTCATAAGTGCATTTTACAGAGTGCGTCTTTGAAGAGAAATTTTTGCAAAAAGAAGCACTTTAAACTTCTGATAGTAAATGTCTGTTATTATGTCAGAATTTGGAATGAAGAACTTCATCAGAACTGCTTGAAGTCCTTTAGCAATGTACATGGACTTGTAGTTCAGAAGAACCTTCACAAGAGATTTTTTTTTTTTTTTTTTGGTTTTTCTCCGGTACCGGGAACCGAACTCATGACCTTGCGCTTGCCAGGCAGGCGCTTTTGCCGCTGAGCTAAATCCCCAGCCCCTTCACAAGAGATTCTTAGCTATTTTAATTTGCCCTTTTGCTTTTAGTAGTAGTTTATAATTCAAAATCTCAGTTGAAGTGAAACGTGTGTGTAAATGCGTGTTACATATTAATGAAAACGTGACTTTCCTTTACTTGTCTAGGTCTTACAACCATGCTCTTTATTTATGGAAAAATGTACCTGGGCCTCAGGGAAGCAGAATATCAATATTACGGTTAAGGAATTTATAATTAAGGTTAGTGCCTACTAGATTCTTTGTGTGCAAGTTCTTGAAATAGTGTCTTTTCATCTCTCATAAATCCAGCATTGCTATAAGTCACATATTTGTTAATCAGATTGCTTCCGGGATTAAAATACATTTTCTTAATGTAAATGTTTATTTCTGCTTTCTTTAAAAGACTACTTTTTTTTACTACCTACAAATGGCAGGAGTGGTTTACTCTGTTACATTTGCGTATGAGTGTGTGTGCCTGTTTGTGTGTGTTGGAGGGGAGAGAAGAGATAGGGAGAGAAAGGAAGGATGGAGATGAGGTTACTGTTGTTATATTTGTAATATTGTTAATGTTATTTAATGTATAGTTTGATTTGGCTTGATAAGTATGTGATTATTTAGTTTATAATATATTTATAATAACAAATGGATACTGGAAATAAATTATTAGGGTTTGCTTTTCAAAAGATCTTTTACATTTAAAATATTGAAGAACAGTCTATTCTCCAGTGTCATTCATATTCTTGAAGTACGACTTAATTCCCAGTTACAGTAGGAAGTACAGGATACTTTCTTAAATCTATTTTTCTCCCTTCTGAAAGATGCAAAAATGAAACGGTTGATTCCAGTAATATATAATGTAAATGATGGTAACTTACGTAGGTCAGTGACCAGTGGTGACTGAACTAAGGCTTAAGCTAATTTCATTTGAACCATTTTAAATAACAGTGTGGTTTTTCTCAGTTTAAAACAGTACTGGGTCATGCCAGACATGATGGTGTGTGCCTGTAATTCCAGCACTGAGGAAGGAGGGTTGCCAAGAGTCCGAGGCCAGCCTGGGCTGAGCAAGACCCTATCTCAGAAAACAAACGAGCACAAACAGAAATATGCTGGATAGACTTAGATTGTGTTTTGCTAACGCATTTCCTTTTTTTTTATGATGTAGCGTAATAGATGGGGAGAAAAAGGCTTTTGCATGTGTTTTCTCTGACGTTAGGTTAAGTGTTAAGATGACCTTTCCATTCGTTGTAGGAAACACTTCTGAACTCTTGCTAAATGTAAAAAATACCGTGTGTATACATTGGCACTGGTATGGGCATCGGCAATACACAGTCTTTGCTTTCAAAAAACTTAATGACCCAAGGGGAAAGAAGTAAATCAGTGATTGGAACTTCGAGTGCTGGAGGCAAGCACAGGTGTTGCTGGGAGCACAGACAAGGGGCCTCTGGTTCTGACCCGCACATCAGGGAAGCTGTCTGGAAGTGAGACGTTGTGAACTGAGGGTTGAAAGCTGATGGAGGTTAAATGGAGAAAGGGAAGATGTGCCAGACTAGCCGGCCATGTACACGAAGGCAGGGGTTTGAGGGTGTTCTTGGAGAACTTAGGGGTGATCCCCTCTGGCTGAATATAGCGATGTGGTTGAGTTGTAGGACTGGGAACATTATGTATGGATGACATTAACAATACAAGGAGGAAGGATTCATTGACAGGCAAGTCGGGGAAGCAGTGCATATCACCTCTTCTTTTTGATGATATAATTGTATCTACTTAGTGTATTAGCGAAGTGTAGGGGTTGTGAGACGTTAACAATAAAGAATCCTTTTAACTTACTTAACCCAGTGTTTCTCAAACTTTGGAGCACTCTTGCTGGCTGATTGACTAGGAGCTAGCTCACAAAGAGTTATGTGCACCAAGCTGAGGAGAGTTTGAATTTTATTCTGAAAATTACGGAACTTGGTGAAGATTTTAAGCATAGGAGTGACATGCCCAGAATTAGGTTTAAAGAAATTCTACTGGTGTCAGTGTGGAGGGTGAGATGAAAGAGCGCCGACTGGACATAAGAAGGTACCTTCCGCGGATGGCTGCTGAGCGTCGCTCAGTGGTGTAGAGTGCTTGCCTAGCGATGGCTGGGCCTGGGGTTTGATCCCCAGTACCACAAAAATAAATTGAAAAATAAACAAGGCAGAGATGTCATCAGTGTCAGAACTAAAGTACAGTGAAGGGAGTGAGAAAGTGAGCGAAGACACTATCCAGAGATAATCAGAAGCAGAATTCATAGATCTGGGGTTGAGCCCAGCTGGCTCTGAGTGATTTCAGCCTTCCGCTTTCCACCACATGGAGGCGTTTGTGTGTATCTCTGTTAGATTCTATCTTGGCTTAGTGAACATGGCTGGTTGGAAAGTGAAAAATGTGGTTACAGCTCTGCATTTTTTGTTGACTTTTTGCTCAGTGTGGTTGTTGGGTTCTGACTGTTGCTGTATAACGTTACTTCAGATACTGTGAGCAGGAGTCAGGGTTATGCAGTTAGTAGATATCCTACTTGAATCCACAGTTTCCTGGATAGTAAGTTAAGATTTAATTTGTTACTTTTTAAAAGTTTTAACATGTGTGTTTCAGTTCTTATCTGGGAAAGAATTTTTTCTAAATTTTTCTCTGCTTTGCTTTTTAAAGATTTCACCCATCATTCTGAATACTGTGATGACAATCATGGCTGCTATGTCTCCAAAGACAAAAGAAGATGAATCGAAAGATCCATCTAAGGAAATGGAAAATCTTTGGGGTGTCAAATCTATTGATGATTATAACTCTTGGTTTCTTGGTGTTGACATGGCAACAGAAGCAACAGAAAGTTTCAGAGAGATGGATCATCCCTCGATAGAGGAAAATTGTGCTGTTGCTGTGGAGTCTGTCCAAGTGACTCTAGAATGTGGCCTTGGGCATCGAACTGTGCCTTTATTATTAGCAGAGTCCAAGTTTTCAGGAAATATTAAAAATTGGACTTCCCTATTGGCTGCTACCGCTGACATGACACTGCAGGTATGGAGACACAATTTAGTATTTCTAGGTACAGGTACTTGAAAGTAAAACTGCAGAATTAAGACTCATGTAGGTTTCATTTGTTTGTTCTGTTGTGGTTTGTTTATGCATGGCTGGATTAGATAATATACATGAGTAGATACGTATTCTAACATTTCAGTGTGTGGATGAGTAATTAAGAAGTCTTGTGATAAATAGTTTATGGCAAGAAATTAAGAAAAGAAAAGGAAATACATTCTTTTCATGTACAGTTCTTGTGTCTTGAGTGTGGTTTTGAATGGCTATTGCCATATTGTGTTACTGGATTTTTTTCTACTGGTTATACAATTGCATAATTAAAGTTGAAAGACTGACTATAATTCTGTGCCTTTTCAGGTTCACTATTACAATGAGATCCATGCTGTCTGGGAGCCACTGATTGAGAGAGTGGAGGGGAAGAGACAATGGAATTTAAGGCTTGATGTAAGGACACAGTTCAGTTTCTTTGTATAGAGTGACACTACGCGTACTCATTAATACAGTATTTTTCAGTGTTAGGTAATTGTCAAGATAATTGCCAAGATGTGGTCCAGGACCCCTGGAGGCCTTTTAGGGTATCCATGAGATGTAAAATCTTTTTATATGTACATTCCAGCATTATATAATGTTTTTATTTTATTCCCTTATGAATGTATGATGAAGTTTTCAGGAGACTACATGAATGTGATATTGCAGGAAATTGTAGAGCAGAGATGAGAATTCATCTGTCTTCTCTTAAGCAGGCGCTAAAAATGTTGTTTATTAATGTCCTTCATCTCACTACTTACATTTTAAAAATATTTTTCAGTAAAATATTATTTATATTAACATATAACTTATTTTTAGATAGTAAAGTTTTTCTGTTTTCATTTGTAATGTAATACATATTGGTATATAAATGAAGCTTACATAAAGGAAGCTCTTTGAGATAGTGATTTTTAAGGGTAAGACTAACTCTTTCTTACCGTCTTTTCGTGGTGTTTTTGCAAGTGCTTCACAAGCCTGGGTACCAGAGCACAGTGCTCTGGAGGACCGGGTGTGCGTTCCCCTCAGCAGACGGTCCCAGAGCATCTCTCTGGGCGGCCTCACGGAGTTGTTGCACATTGATGCTGACAAAAAAGATTCTTTGTTTAAAGGGGAGAAGTCACTTAACTTGTGTCCCATGTCCTCTGAATAAAATAGAACTAATATTTCTGGCCTCCGTCTCTGGCATAAGGAGGCTAACCAAAAATGGTTTACATGGCAATACTACTACAACAAAACCATGAATTTGATACTGTGGTAGATCAAATCTGATAGCTAGCCGAAAGCTTATGATATTACTGACTTATAAATGTTACTGGTAAAAAGTAGAAGACAAGAAACTGTCATTGCCAGACAGTACCTCCAATAAGGCCTGATGTAGACTTTAGGATTATCTTTAATCACTAACCAGCTCGGGCTGGGGATTTAGCTCAGTGGCACAGTGCCTGCCTGGCAAGCACCAGGTCGTGAGTTCGATTCCTGGTACTGGGAAAAAAAAAATTGCTATATCAACTCATAATTACTAGCTAGGCAATACTGAACAACTAGGTAGGCTTTGGGGTGGGAGCTGCACAGGGAACAGCTACCGTGGCTGACTGAGTGCTTTGCTGGCACAATTGAAAGCATTTTCTCCAGAGCGGGCTGTGCACCGAGAGGTCGCTTATCTGCACTAAGCAAGGGGAAGCGCTATTTCTGAAATGATGCTTTTGAGGAGCCTTACTATAAAGCAACCAGTTTAGGAGAATTCAATGCTATTGACTGTTTTAAATTCATTATTAACTGGTTGATAAATTTTTATGTTATTTTTCTTCATAGGTAAAGAAGAACCCAATCCAAGATAAAAGTTTGATACCAGGAGATGATTTTATTCCTGAACCCAAAATGGCAGTTTATATTTCTTCAGCAGATACAATGAATATAACAATATCTAAAACTTGTCTTAATGTTTTCAGCAATTTAGCAAAGGTATGTTTGGCTCTTACTTAGAATATTTCAAGTAGAATTTAAGAATGAAATGTATACATATTTTTGTTATAAAAATTAGTTTCAAAAATGTAGAGTTACAGTAAAGTGTATGAAAGAAATACACACTTTGCAAATATTCATGATGGTGTTATGTTCTTTTTCAGGGTTTTTCAGAGGGTACTGCTTCTACTTTTGACTATTCTTTAAAAGACAGGGCTCCATTTACGGTCAAAAATTCTGTAGGCGTTCCCATTACGGTGCAGCCCGATCGTAACCTCAGAGTACTGGGCTCCCCAGAGAAAAGTGATGTTTATGGCATAGACGCCGGTCAGAATTTGGAATTGGAATATGCCAGCCTGGAGCCTTCCTCTCAAGGGAAGCTGTCCATACTGAGCCGTCAGGAGAGCTCCTTCTTCACTCTTACCTTCGGTATGCTTGCTTCCACTTTAGGAGCATCTCAGAAATTATTAGGGGCTTATTTTTGATAAAATATGGAAAAATATTTTGTTACATACATATTGGGAAGAAACACTTCTAAAGACTTGGATTAAATAGTTGTTACTTGTTTCCTGTTTTCTTCTAAACTTGGAAAGATTAAGCCTGACTAAGAGGTACCTTATAAAAAAAAGTACAACTGGGATATTTCCACACTTAACTAATACATTACATAGTGTGCTTCAGAATGATGGAAGTTCAGGAAGGAGAGAAAAAAATGATAGAAGTCCCAAAATACTGAGAGTTATTATTACTATTACAAAGAAGATAGTTGCTATATATAGTTGAGATTAGTAAGAAATGCGTTGCATTTTGTTTTCATATATTTAAACTGACTACCTCAAATTGTCTTGGGTCAAAAATTTTATTTCAGTAATCTTTTTTTCCTTTTAGCAATTGTTTTTCTCTCTTTTTTAAATTCTGTATTTTAAAAAAGCATTTTATTGTGACTATTTCCAATCATGAGGAGAAAAATGCTCTTATTTGTATTTTGACAGGGTAATTGTTCTGAAATAGAGAAGTATTGGTAAGCAAGTATTTAGAATTGTTTTCACTTTACTCTGCCTTAGTCCCACATGGATATACGGAAGTGGCCAGCGTCCCTGTGGCCAGACCTGGGCGGCGGTTGTACAACGTGCGGAATCCCAGTGCCAATTACTCTGACTCAGTCTTGGTGCAGATCGATGCCACCGAAGGGAATAAAGTCGTCACCCTCCGCTCTCCTCTGCAGGTACTTCTTTCGTGAGGTGTATACCAGTCAGTCCTCAGTTTAACTCGTTTCAGAATATAGTAACATGTCATTACATCAGCGAACTGATGGAATTTCTAGTCGCTAATTTGCTTTTGTAATATTCCTTATTTTAAGTGTGTTATAAACATTTTTAAATTTAAAGCCCATTTTAGTGTCTCTTCTGTTTAAAATTAATAAAGTTTTTTTGCGTATTTAAGAATCGATGAAAATTGTAATTATAGTTGGCAGTCAAATAGGATAACATCCATTCTCTTTGCATGTCACTTGGGGTTGTATTTTTTGAGCATGTAACAAGGACTGTTAAAATGAACTATTCTGAAAAAATTTTAGCATCTTAGTCTCTAAACATTTCCTTTTCTACTGATAAGGCTTTACCAAATACTTTTCTTTTTCTGGATATTATTTTAGGTTTCAGTATATGATCAGCAAAAGAACCATTTCTTCCTATTGTATAAGATAAACAGTGAAATGATGCAAAATTTTGGGCAGTTTTATCTCCTAGTTTGTTACTGAATCTAATATGTGTCATACTGTGGTCAAGAAAAGAGAGTTACACTGTTTTTCTCATACTCTTGCTGTCCTTTTTTGTTTAACCATGTGATACATTGATCGATGATTGTAATGGAGAAAATGTGGTTAAAATCTTCAAACAATAATACTATTTGGGTGATAGTTTCACAGACTAAAATAAACATCAGCATGAAATATGCAGATTACATAAATATCTGAATTTTTAACTTTGAAACTGCTACCTAAAGTTCAGTCTTAATACATATACAGCCTTTAAATATCGTAAAGTTTTCAGTTGCTTAGGGAAATACCTTCCAATATTGGGTTTGAAACATTTTAGATATAAAAGTAATTGTGGACAGCTAATGACTTTCCTTTTACTTATGTTTATAAAAGTAATTGTATGTGTTTTTGTCCAATAGATTAAAAACCACTTCTCTGTTGCATTTATTATCTATAAATTTGTTAAGAATGTTAAGCTATTGGAGCGCATTGGAATAGTCAGACCTGAAGAGGAGTTCCACGTCCCTTTAGATTCATATAGGTAGGTACTGCTTTCTGTATACTAACTTCTAAAAAATTCACAGTATGTATTTTTACCTTTGTGAGTTGGAGATCAGTGATCTGAAAAATATAACTTCATATAATTATCTAAAAATATATAAAAACCATTGTAAAGACAAAGTTTATTCTGTAGAAAAAAATTTATATTATTGAATTTATGAAATGAAAACTACTTTTTTGATGGTTTAGACTTATCTGAAATCTGTGTTTATTAGATTGTCTTTATATTTGAAACGAAAATGTTTTTAAGTCACTCTTGTTTGCAGAGGTGTTTATTTTTCCCCTGAACGTTCTTCTGTGAGTTAGCTGTGAGACTTTGTTCATGTTCCCTAACCTTTGCTAGCTGTTGTTTCCTCACCTGTAAAGTGAGAGTAATCATTACCTCTTTCGTAGAGTTACCCAAAAGTGCTAAGGAGGTTCTTTCTCCTGTCTTCACAGTCAGGTCTTTTTCCCATCCTCGGTTTGTTTTCCTGCAGATGTCAGTTGTTTATTCAGCCAGCTGGAGGCTTAGAGCATCAGTACAAAGAGTCTACCACCTACATCCCCTGGAAGGAGGAGCTGCACAGGAGCCGGGATGTGAGGGGCAGGCTGCAGTGTCCGTCCGTGCAGCTCAGCTTCCTGCCGCTCATTGTGAACACGGTGGCTGTGCCTGACGAGTTAAGCCACATCAGCGCACATGGGGAAGACTGGAACCCGGCGTACATCATTCACCTTTACCCTTCTCTCACGCTGCGGAATCTTCTCCCGTATTCTCTAAGATACTTACTTGAGGTACATCTCCTGCTTTTGGTTTGGATTTCAGTGTTGCATAAAGTGAATTCTAGTTTGTTTTATGGTATTTTTAGTTGAAGTCAGTGTTTTATATAGCATTCTTGTAATGTTTCAATAATGTTAATGAAAGCAAGACTTGAAATAGCATCTGCTTTGTGTCAGGCAGTTCTGTATGTGACATGTTTAATCCTTCTATAGTAGGTATTATTAATGAACCCTCTTTACTGATGAGGAAACTGAGTCTTGAAGGGGTTAAGCAGCTGGCCTGGATCTCAGCTAGTCCGTGGGAGAGATGGGATTTACACCTACCTGGTTTGGCTACTTGGTCTCTACCACTTTTCTCTGTTGCATCTGCCATAAATTTAAGAGCTGTTATTATTTCTTTATGAATTTAAATAAAATTTCATTATTTACAAGGGAGAAAGGAATCTAATGAGAATAGTTCACCTTAAAATTTTATTTATTTTGTTCTGTTTTGTTTTTTGGTTTTTTTTCTGGTACCGGGAATTGAACTCACAACCTTGCGCTTGCCAGGCAGGCGCTGTGCCGCTGAGCTAAATCCCTAGCCCCAAAATTTTATTTATTTATATATGAATAAATGAGTCAACATCTCACTTTGTACTGCAGGCTGGCCTTAAGTTCACTATGTAGTCAGGCTGGCCTCAAACCCGCAGTGATCCTCCTGCCTCAGCCTCCCAAGTGCTGGGATTGCATTAAGTTTTTATTCTAAAGTTAATATTTTGATTGTTTATTTCAAGGTTTCTATTAAAAATAAAAAAGAATTACTGTTATAGGGGTAATAACATTTTGTAGCAGTGGCATATGCAAATATTTTAACATTTCTATGTGCTGTGTTATTTTAAGATGCAAAAGTCTTAGAAACTCTTTGGAACAGAAGGGCTAGGAGTATAGCTGTGTGGTAGAGACTTTGCTTATTAGCACGTGTGAGGCCTTGGGTTCAGTCCCCAGCATGGTACAAAAAAGAAAAAAAAAAGACATTGTATTCTATGTTATTATTTTCCTTTATCCAACCATGAGCTATTTCTCAGTTGTGCAGATAAAAATTAATTAAATCAACTAGTGGAGTAACAAAAGATTAGTTTATAGATGTAGGTAGAGTAAAAAACAAAGAAGGTTCTAGTCAGGGAGCCTGATGTAGATACGGCTGTTACGCACTGTAAAAGTGACTCACCTTGCTGAGAGAGCTTGTTCGGGCAGCCGGCTGCCGTCACTGTCCTCACTCCCTCACGGGGGCCCGTAGGCGGTGTGCAAGCAGCAGAGGACGCTAAGACCTGGCTGTAAGTGGCTCATCTCACGACACTGTAGTGGACAGCAGCCAGGGTCCCTGAATGAATCCAGCCTTTGATTCTTGGCACAGATAGTTTGTTCTCACAGCTTCTGGCTGTTGGCCTGTTAATGGCCAAAGGCAGTTCCTGCCCTTGTGGCTGTGGTGTGTGTTTTCTCTTTAGGCCTTAGTAATTGCTGGCATTCATAAAGTAGAAGCACGGCACTGCATGGAAAACTTGGCAGTTAACCTGCCTCTCGTAGGTTATTTAGCATCTGCGTAAAATACATTTGTATTTCAAAGGTTTTGCCAAACAGATTTGGTTTGTGTGTGTGTTTAGGGCACGGCAGATGCTCATGAGCTAGCAGAAGGCAGTGCAGCGGACGTCCTGCATTCCCGAATCAGTGGAGAAGTCATGGAGTTAGTCCTGGTCAAGTACATGGGCAGAGAGTGGACTGGACATTTCCGCATATGTGATACGCTTCCCGAATTCTTTCTTGTGTGCTTTTCTTCCAACTCCAAAGAAGTAATGACGGTGGACCTGTCGGTACACGTCAGGCGAGTTGGCAGCCGAATGGTGCTGTCTGTCTTTAGTCCCTATTGGTTAATCAACAAGACTTCCCGGATTCTCCAGTATCGTTCAGAAGACATTCATATAAAGCACCCAGCTGACTTCAGGGACATCATTTTATTCTCTTTCAAGAAGAAGAATATTTTTAGTAAAAATAAGGTATGTTTTTATTCTTAGAGCCAGTTAAAATAGGTGACTTTCTAATCTGGAAACTTGGGAAATTCAAACCAAGCTTACCTGTTTGCCCAGTGCCCCGGTATGAATGAAGTGCAAGGAGACTTTCGGGAACGCAAAGTGAGGCCCTTCTGAACTAACCACAGCAGGGTCTGAGGCAGATCATTCTTTCTCCAGTGCCTGTAGAATTGCTTCTGTTCTTAAAGTTGTGTCAGATCAGACAGACTTTGTTTCGTATAATTGACCAGTGGTGATACGGTATATCTGAAGATGCTTATGTTAGCTGACCCTCCTGTGCATGATGCAGAAGCCAGGCCTTTGAGAAGCCTGATGCTCAAGCCTGGTCTTTTGTGTCCTGGTCTGTCCTTTCTTCTTCAGGTTGACTTTGCCTTTCCTTGTGCATGCACACTTGATCACATGCTGCCTGTAGACTTTGGTGTATGCTTCACCCTCTGCCTGGACGACCACTTCCCTACTCTTCCCTTGTTTTCCTCCTCTTTTCCTGCTCCCTGCTGTTGTTTAGCGTTCTGCTCAGGCCTGGTACGTGTAAAGATTTTCTGTTCATTTAAAATGAGTCTAGATACCCCATTCTTGTCCTCTTAGGAGTAGTGGCCCTCAAATTTTATTTATGGTAGAATCACCTAAAGGCCTTTAAAGCTGTTGCTGTCTTTGTCCCTCCTGAGTTTGACTCAGTAGGTCTGGATGGGGCCTGGGAATCTGCACCTAACAGGCATGCCAGTGGTCTGGAGACCGCTTTGACAATCACTGTCCTAAAGTGTTGACTAACGCGATATTGTGAGTACCGGTTTATGTGTCTGATTAGCCTTGAGTTTTTAATAATCCAGTTGTGTGGACAGTGGTCAGATTCATACAGGGGCATGGATGGGTCTCTTATAGGACCTTTCCTAAATCCCAGAGCCCGAAGCAAACTCATCGTCGTCTTACTTTGGTTGCCTTTATACCTCTTGTGTGTCTCTAATCACGTTGAGGCTTGCATCTTAGTTGTTAGTATGTGTTCTCTGTTCTCTCTCTTTAGTTCCCTGTGCACTGAAGATGGGAACTGTGTCCTGCTGTTTTCTGTGCTGCCTCCCACAATCTCTTTTATTTAGCACCTGCTGGATAATGTTAAAGGAAGATATTTTTAGTGTGCTAAAACTATAAGGAATTTGTTAGCTTTTTCCCGTAGGTCTAACATTGGAAAACGCCATGTTTGCATTAATTTTTATTTTTATTTATTTATTTTTTTCTGGTACCGGGAATCGAACTCACGACGTCGCGCTTGCCAGGCAGGCGCTGTGCCGCTGAGCTAAGTCCCCCACCCCTTGCATTACATTTTAAAAAAGCAAATGGCATAAAGTCTCATTGGAGCACATTTTTAAGTTCACTGTACTTACTGCTTGGGTACTGGAAAGGTGCTATGCTTTTGTTGTCCCTTGCAGTTTTCTGGAGTTCTGTTATATATTTGCAAATATGACTGTGATAATATTTTTCTGTGTCTCATAATATTAAAATTTTTAGCAAGCCATCTAGCAATTTGTGTCTTGCCGTCAAATAAAGTTAATGTTACCTTTTAGGTTTCTTATATTCTGGTATGTGTTTTCTGATACAGGTACAATTAAAAATTTCAACTAGTGCCTGGTCCAGTGGTTTCTCATTGGATACTGTGGGAAGTTATGGGTGTGTGAAATGTCCTTCCAACAATATGGAATACCTGGTAAGAATCTGCTGCTTGTTTCCTTTTAGCTCCATTCTTAAGAATCTGGCTCTTAAAGAGTTATCGGAAATGTTAATTCAAAGTGTTATATGTTGGGCTATCTCTACATATTTCTGTGACTGCTCTTTCCCGGCAGAACTTGAATTTGTTCAAGTGAGGGACTTGGTAAATATTTCCAGTATACTTGAGTTTTTGTTTCATATCCACCTTGCCATGCGTTTCTTAAATCTTCACTTTCACCACTTTGAAAATTTAAATAATCTAGTGCCAACTGACCTGTTCTATACCACTTCAAAAATTTTCTTGATGACATGTAATAAAGCAGCAAAACTGGAGCCTTTCCACTAATTACAAAGCAACTTGTTTGGAATATTAAAAAGTGAGGAATGCTAGACAGATGAAACCTGTCACTGAAAATTATCACAAGTTACTCAATGATATTCTTAAACTGATTTCTGATGGAGCCAAAGGATTATTCTACTGGAAAATAACAGTGGACTGTAGTTTATGTTAGTTTAAGAATTCTTACTCTAAAGTATTTTAAGAAATTTGTGTGTGAGTGAGGGAAGATGCATATATTTCACAGAGATTGAATACAGTGCTAAAGGTGAGGTCGTTTCTTCCCTCCCACAGGTCGGGGTGAGCATCAAAATGAGCAGCTTCAATCTCTCGCGGATCGTCACTCTGACTCCCTTCTGCACTATTGCAAACAAGTCCTCACTGGAGCTGGAAGTCAGCGAGATTGCATCTGATGGCTGTGTGCCAACTAATAAATGGAACTATATTGCTTCTTCAGAGGTAATTTTTCTCTTTTAATTAGAGTTGATTCCTAAAATATCCAAAAAAATACATTTAAAAATTTTATTAGTACACGTTTGCAGTACATAATAGTCACATTCGTCATGGGAGTTGGTGCATGGACATAGCACAGCTTAATTTCTTTTGTCCCCTTCTCCTCTGTGCTCTCAGTTCCTGATGTGTACATAGGAATTGGATATACTTCTTTGTCTAACACTGCCATGTTTGTGTTAAAATAGGGCAGCCAGTTTCGAAAGATTTTTCTTTCACCCTGTAAGCATGTTTTTTTTTTAAAAAAAGGAAAATTGTTACTAATATTTACCCACCACTAGCCCAGTCTAGATGGCTGGCAGTTGTTCTGTGGTTATCCCATCTATGTAGAACATGCGCTATGTACTGTGAAAAGTACATAGAGGTAATGTACTGTGTATTGTCATCATTGCCAGTGTAATGTTTCTGTACTGAAAAAACTGTAATCTTGTTGGCAGTGCCAAGCTGCACATTAATTAGCACATGCAGAGTAAGATAGTATGTGTAAAATTACAGGCGGTTGTAAGATTTCTGCATAGGTGAGTTAGAAATTTTACCTGTTTAACTAAGATTGACTAGTAAAATTCAGCCCTCTTACTTTACAGAAAAGAGAAGTGCAGTTCAGACTTTCTAGGGTCAGTAGAGTCATTGATAATTGACTTGGTTGTCAATATCAAAAGGTTTGGTTTCAAACTACACTTCACAGTCTCCACAATATTTGAGGAAGTGAAGAGAATGAAGGAAAGAATGAGGAAACAGGTGTAAGGGTTTAAACTTGACTTTGACCTGACTTGTTGGCCGGACCAGCTGAGCTTAAGGATAGCTGATGTCATTCTTCCATTCGTCAGTACAGTTCAAAACAAACAAACAAAACAAAATCCCAGATCGTAAAGTTATTTTAAAAAATACGTAGCAAAAGGCTAAAAGGGAAGGATTTCTATTACAGTGTCAAACCTCAGAGCTCTAAGAAGCATGGTGTTTTCAAACCACTTAGGATGATTTCTGTTTCCTAGAAATAAAAAAGTATCTTTTCATTTTTGATGTAGATTTATCAACAGTATTTTTATTTAGCGTATTATAGAGTATTTATACAGTATTCTACATCAGAAGGACATTTTGTATTGTATTAGCAACTAAAGTTCCACTTTTACAGTTAAGGGAACAGAAGCTCAGAAGTACGTGGTTTAAAATTGAGCAGCTAGGATGGTAATACTGGGACTTTTGAGGTCTGTAGTAGTCTATTTTCTGCCTTCAGTGTTGATTCTGGTTTATCCAGGATAAAAATGCTCTATGAATGAATTCTTCATTTAGTGGTGAAGTAAAAGGAGCTCTGCGCAAAAGCTCATGTTACTAAGATCTTGTTTGTAAACACTGTATTTGAGACACGTGGGGCATTCTCAGTCCATGGGCTTCTCAGTTTCTCATGCTGCGTGTGGAGTGCAAGTGCACACAGACTGGCAAACTGTTACGCCGTGAGTACATACAGTGCTCTTCTACTGAAGCTTTTTTGCTTTCATACAAAGGTATAATTCAGTAGTCTTAATGTTAGAGGTAGAGGGTATATTTAAAGAAACTCAGTAATAATGTAATCAGTGTCATGTTTGAGTTGAAAACTTAGCCACTGTCTTATTTATGCCATTGTACTGTATAAAGACTGATGCTAACTTTTATGTTTTCAGTGCCTTCCATTTTGGCCTGAAAATCTGTCAGGCAAACTTTGTGTGAGAGTAGTGGGCTGTGAAGGATCTTCCAAACCATTCTTTTATAACCGACAAGATAATGGCACTTTATTGAGCTTAGAAGAACTGGTAAGGTGTCATATTTTTAAATAACTGTCTTTGCTTTTTAAAATTTGCTTTAAAATTTTTCTTTAAATCATGATATAAAAAATCTTCTGGTAATTTGCTTGAAGCACTGCTGTCTCAATATTTAAGGCCCTAATATCACTTGGAAGAAGTCAGAACTGCTTTGCTTTTCATCAACAACTTGCAAAAAACAAAGCTTTTGTGTTTACGTAATTGATTGAAATCCCATGTGTAAATGACTTTAAACCAAAACCTCAATTGGGTTTTTCCCCCCTACAATAGAATGGAGCTATCTTGGTGGATGTAAACACTGCAGAACACTCGACTGTCATAACCTTTTCTGATTACCACGAGGGGTCTGCGCCTGCCCTCCTGATAAACCACACACCGTGGGACATCCTCACTTACAAGCAGAGGTAGGAAAAAGGGGCTAATGGGAAATCCTATTTGCTTTTATTCGTCCACAGTCCCTTCTGGGAAATGGGTGAGGATAACATCCCAAATGTTTCAGATTTTCGAAAGATAATACATGGAGCATGTGCTTTTATTGTTTAACACCATTGGTGTATCTTGAGACAGTGCTCTGTAGTCAAACACGTTAACGTTTCTGTACCAAGACATACGAATATTCGTGCAAGTGGGATAGACAGAAACCATTAATAGTCTCACACCAGTTCAAATCAGGTTTTGCTGCCAAGTGATTCTTGACACACTTCTGGAAAACCCGTCAGGCTTTTGGAGCCTTTTCAATTTTAGAATTGCAGCTAAGGGACTGTGAACCTGTTGGAACAGTATCTTTCCTTTGTAGCCTGGTAATGCTCAGCGAACTTCTCCTTATAAATGTGTATCTAAATTTTTGGTTAGGGGTGATAGAAAGCCAAACGAGGAGAATGTGGATAGGGAATGATGCTAAATTTATAGTCCAGATAGTAGGAATGTTTCTTCTTATTCACACATATGTCATTGGATGATGTTATTGTTTAATGGTAAATCAAATAATTTTAAGCCCTTAAAATGTATACCAGTAGGTAATTTTATTAAAAAATATGTATTTCCTTGAACATTTCCCTATTTACAGTGTCAATTCAGTGAGAGACTTAAAAGTACAGATTAAGATCAAAAGCTACTTGGCTTACTCCTCCCTCATTTCTCTGGAGTCTTTTATTGTTACATAGACCAATACTTCTTAAAACTTCAATGATCAACTTTCGAATCTACTTGAAATCTTAGGGATCAGATTCTGATTTAGTGGATTTTGGGTGGGGTAGCAGACTTAGCATGTCCAGCAAGCTGGGTAATACCGCTGGTCCACACGTCACACTTTCAATTGGAATAGTATGAACTCTTTCTTTTTTTCTCTTGGTATGTGTTGCATTTCATTATAAAATTAAAACTTCAGCCCCGAGTGAAGCTTATTTACCTCATCAGATCCATCGGTGTGTTTCTTCCTACATAATTGAGTGTGCTGCAGCTTTGGAAAGAACGTTGTACTGCAATATTCTGTTTATCTAAGCTTCAAAACCATTGCTTGTTGGACGTTGTAGGGTTCTTCATCATCGGCAGCTGTGTTTTATTAAGGAACACAGTCTTTTCAATTAATTACAGGCCTAGAATTTGCAGGGCTCTGACATTCTAATCTTTCCTGTCACTTGTGTTTTAGTGGATCTCAGGAGGAATTAGTGCTATTGCCAAGACAGGCTCGACTTTTTGCCTGGGCAGATCCTACTGGCACCAGGAAACTTACCTGGACGTACGCAGCGAATCACGGGGAGCATGCTCTGTTGAAGGTATCTTGTGATGGGGACTTTGCTGTGTGTATTGCCATACGGAGAGGGAGGTGGACAGGCTAGCTTCACTGTGTTATGGTCATTACTGAGCTGAGAGTGAAGGGGAGCTATTTTTGGGATAAGTTACTCAGACTTTAGATTGAAGATAATTTACATTGATAGATTCATCCAAATTTATTTACAATTTAAAAAATACATCTGCTCCATCTTGTCCAAGACAAGACCAGTAAAACACCTTTTTATTTGCCTTCTTTTAAGTGGGAAGGATTTTAAGGTTAAGTGGAATTGAACTTTATTTTGAATATACCTGTACCTCCGTTGGTGTGTTTTTCCGAACAAAGCAATGTATTTTATTAATCACAGGAATTTGATAGTATGGAAAATTTCCCATACACAGAATTTGATCAAATAATTATTTTAGATAGCTAAACTAATCAAATACGGTATTTTTTGGATTCAGGACTCTAGAAAGGGCCTAAGAATTCATCTGCCAGCCTTCCCTGTGATAAATTGCTCATGAATTAGTGGTACATCATCCAGTTTCTGCATAGATATTTCCCATTACATAGTGTTATAGGCTATTGTCCCAAGGTGCCAATTATTAATAAGGCTTTCTGGGCTTTTTCTTTAAAATGGTAATTGGCCTATCGTGACTAAATTATCTACTCCTGTTTTCACTCTGAGAAAATTATAAAAGAGAAAGACTTACTTGACCTTTAGAAAGTGAGATTGATCATTCCTCTGTTGTGAGGTTCTTGGAGTGACTTTGATGCCGCAGTTTGGTGGAGCTTTATTTTTTTATTTTAAAGAAAAGAAAGCCAATAAAAACAATAGTATATAATTTCAAAACAAGACTGTAGGAGAGTAACAATGGTTAGTACATTGTGTATTGCTGCCTTCAGAGTAGTTGCTCATATTGAAAGATACAGGCATGAAAAACTGATCAAACAATACAGGCATAAACCTTTTTCAGTGAACTAATAGCAATTAGTAGTATAACTGTCTTAACTCTCTTGTGTGTATGTGTGTTTCTGTTTCCTTTTCCCTGTCTTCTTTTCTCCTTTACCCCATTCCAGTTTCTCTTTCCTTTTGAGCATTTCTTCCCATTTCACAATATCTCTTGTACAGTTTGGGTCTTATTTACTCTTTCAGCTTCTTACACTAAGAAAACAATACAGTGTTTATAGATGTGAGACTGATTTATTTCACTTATGAGTGTGATCTCAAGTTGCATCTGTTTCCCTACAAATGTCTCAAGTTTATCCTTCTTTATACCTGAGTAGAACTCCATCATATAAAAATACCACATCTTTTTTTACCCATTTCTCAGTTGATAGGCATCTGGGTTGTTTCCAAGATTCAGCTTTGACAAATTGTGCTGCTATAAACAGGGTGCACAGGGGCTGGGGATTTAGCTCAGCGGCAAAAGCACCTGCCTGGCAAGCGCAAGGTCGTGAGTTCAGTTCCCGGTACCGGAGAAAAACCAAAAAAAACAAAAAAACAAAAAAAAATGGGTACACAAATATCGTTGTGATATGATGTTTTTAATTCTTCTGGGAAAATACCCAGAGGAGAAATACTAGGTTGAATGGGACCTCTAATCTTAGTTTATTGAGGAATCTCCACACTGATTTCCACAGTGGTTGCACCAGTCTACATTCCCACCAACAGTAGAGAAGGGTCCCTTTTTCCCCACAGCCCCTCCAGCATTTTTACTGGTTGATTTCTTGATGACAGCCATTCTTACTGAGGTGAGATGGAATCTCAGTGTTGTTTTAATTTGCATTTCTCAAGTGACCAATAATGTTGAGTATTTTTCATATACTTATTTGCTATTTGTATCTCTTCATCTGAGAAGTGTGTGTTCATCTCAGATGCCCATTTTTGGACTGGGTCTTTAAATTTGGGGGGGTCTGATTTTTTTCAATTCTTTATATGTTCTTAGAAGTCCTTTGAGGGACAGTGGCTAAAGTTTTTTCCCACTCTATAGGTTATCTTCTCACTCTGTTGGTGATTTTTTTTGATGTGTAAAAACTTTTTAATAAGAAGAGATCCCCGTTGTTGATTCTTTGAAGTATTTCCTGTGCAGTTTGGGTTTTGTTCACGTAGTCTCTGCCTCCACCTACGTCTTCAAGAGTTCTACCTACTTTCTCTTCCAGTAGGCTATCTTTCCTCCAGTGAACATATTTGGCCCCTTCATCAAAGATAAGGTGGCCAAGTGTGTTCGTAGTTGTGTCTGCATCCTCTGATCTGTTCCACCGGTCCTCAGGTCTGTTTTGGCCAGTACCATGCTGATTTTATCACAGCAGCTTTGTAGTCTATGGTAAAGCTGTGTTGCTCTGCTTGTGCTTTGCTTTCACATCAGAGAAACTGTCCAGTTCATAATTGGAAGAAATAAGCTTTTGTAGACTGCCCTTCTTTGCTTCCTGACTCAGTCACTGGGCTGTCACTGGAGTCCCTGCTCCATCTGCAGTTGGTGCCTCTTCCTCACATTGATACTGCTCAGCAGCCACAGCTTCCCGGCAGTAGCACACATATGCTGGGGAGAGAGCGGTAAAGGTGTTGTGAAGGGATTTTAGAACAATTCAGAAAATTAAAGGAAATGTAACTCTTTAGAGTAAAAAAGAAAATATATAAGGGACAGAAAGTGTTTTACTGAGTGGCACGTGTTAATGCTTTTCCTATACTTTCACTCATTTTTATGAGGAACTTAGGCCTCTGGTTGGGATTCAGAACCAGCTCTGTCTGGTTTCACAGTCCATAGACCTCTTCTCCCACTAGCCCGTATTCAGTGTCAGTAAGTAAAAATGGTTTAAATTCTACTGACAGACAAAAGCGTACAGAGTCAGCTAAAAAATAGTACTTAACACCAGACCTGGCCTTGTTGGTGTGTGCTTGGGGTCCAGCTACTCCGTGGGAGGTGGAGGCAGGAGGATGACTGAGCCCACAAATTCAGTGCCTTGTTGCAAAAGAAAAGAAAAGTACATGATACAGCAGATCTGTCTTAACTTAAAATTTTAAGCATAAAGATACAAAGCTTCAGTGTGCAAGTAGAAGTCAAAATGAAAGCAAAACTGTTGATTGTAGTTCTGAGCAACTATAATTCAAGGCACAGCTATTAGATACATCATGGTAATATGACAGGATGGGATGATAGCTGTTAACCTTCATGCAATGAATGGCATTATATTAAAATATAAATAAAACTTAAAATGCTGGACTTCAAACACAGTTGCCGGGGGACATCTTAACATACCTCGTTTAATTTTTAATAGATCATATTTTTTTTCTCTTCTTTATTCCTTCTTCCTCTCCCCTCCTTCATCCCAGTTGCTCCTTCCTATTTGAGCAGTGTCTTTTCTCTTTCACAATATCTATTGTACCTTTCAGATTTTATTTACTCTTTCAGGTTCTTATAGTAGGGAGGAAATACAGTGTTTACACATGGGAATCTGATTTATTTCACTGATGAGTATGGTCTCTAATTATATCCATTTACGTATAACAGCCTCTAGTTTATCTTTCTTTATAGCTGAATAATACTCCATTGTATCAAAACTTTTTCTTGACCAATTTTGCATGCTTGTATCTGGTAATCAGAAAAACTAATCTGAAAACAGCAGTATACAGCATAAAAACCATTGTCAAACTCCCACCATCTTGTACGGTGAAGCTCTGCATCATTTTCTTTTTTTCTTTTCTTTTCTTTTTACTTGTTACTGTCTTTTGATTGTTTGATCAGTCTTACATTTGTACTTCTGGTAGACTGACCAACTTCGCTGAAGATAACATTATGTAATGTGGCAACCATTTTTTTGATTTTTGTCTTCATTGACCTTGTTTTGTTAGTCTTTTTAATCTTTAACATAAAAAAAGTTTAAAAATTTTTTTAACAGATCAAATGAAGAGCAAATACAGTCCAAGAATATTTAAAAAAATTCAAAAGAAAGATACCTATAATATTTTGTGGTTTATACACAGAATTAGTCTTCTTAATAGGTATCTCTGAAAATTTAACTACTTATTAGAGTGAGAAATAATTGGAAGGCTACTTTAATCATGTAACATACTTTAAAACTTGTATTTGAAACCACCATCGCAACAGAATTTTGCCTCTGCTTTTGGTGAAATCCTTTGTTTTGTCTTTTTGCGCAAGAAAGCTGGAGATGAAAAGGCACATGGCAGGTACTTCTACTTCCGGGTGAAAGGAACTGTTGCATCTATGTGAAGTCCAGATTTAATGTCTGAAAACACTGACCAAGTAAATCAGGCTCATGTTTTCAAGTGCTGTATGAACCATTCAGCAAGGAAGACTCATTTTTGTTCAGCTGAAGACAAACTGACCACCATGGATTGGCAGTGTGATTTATGTAAATATTTGTGGTGTTACAAGTTTTAAAACAAAAATAGGCTATAAGGCTAATTTTGTTTGAGGTTACTTTTTTAGTAAGTTTCTGAAACGTTCTGTTCTCCAACGTGGAGTCAAACATCTTTTGACGTTGTTACCACCAAGGCTACTCTTGTTCCTGCTCAGCACTCCTTGAGCACTAACAAGGTGACATACACAAAGGCAGGAAAATGAAAAGCACTCTTAATGTTTGTCTCTGAGAAAAACTGAGTGTGTTGTTTTAGCGTAGATGATAGCTTTTGTTAAGTCAGTTTGATCCTCCAAGTTTTCCATTTTACAGTTTAAACTTTCCTCGTCTTTCTCAGTTGCTGTTGTTCAGCTTTAATAAAAACTGTGTGTGGACTTAATGACGCCTTTCCCCCCGCAGGATGAATGTGGCCAGTTTCCATACGACGCAAACGTCCAGATACACTGGGTATCATTCCTCGATGGCCGCCAGAGAGTCCTGCTTTTCACAGATGATGTGGCCTTGGTTTCCAAAGCGCTGCAGGCAGAGGCAATGGAGCAGGCTGACCACGAAATAACCTTGTCCCTGCACAGCCTTGGGCTCTCACTGGTTAACAATGAAAGCAAGCAGGAAGTTTCATATATTGGAATAACCAGGTACACAAGACGGAGGGTACGGCCTGAGGACTGTTCAGAAGGCGTCCGGGTCATAATATTGAGTATGATGAGGGCAAAAGGTCCAGGTTTGAATTTGATAAACTCCATGCAGTAGTGGTGGTGAACCTATGTTGTGCGTGCGGTAATGGGCACTCAGAACCCTCTCTGCGATGATGCCATGAGTGGCACAAGTAGTTTTTTCTAAACTAAAACCTCAGGATTCAGGTTGAATTGCACCACTGGCACTTTGAGATAAACAAGTGCGTTTTAGGTTGCAGGGTGGGTGTTTGGTCTCTGAAAGGTTCCCCGTCACTGCTCTGTAGTCACTCAGTAGCACTTAGCGAAGCACTGTTTGAACTGCCAGCTGATGAGGCCCAGAGAGGCCAGAGACTGTCCTTGCTTTCACAGTGCTTACTGTCGCCTGGAAGGAAAGACAGTGGTTTCCTTCTGTCTCTGTGGTGGGTTTTTAGTGGTCTAGAAACAGTGAGAAATTCACGGGGAAGTATGTGCACATGTGAGGGAGTTACTGAAGCACAAGGACTACCGCCAGGTGCAGAGAGGTTGTGGAAGCTGGCGTGGGTTGGTGGGAGGTAACAAGTGGGAAGACACACTCGCAGAGGAGGTAGTACAGTAGTTATTTCAAACTGTAGTACTTACGGGAGCGTTTATTAAGTAATAAATACTTGGCCTTGCATTTCAGTATTACATGGAATTTTTTAAACTGAAAATCACTTGTTTAATCAGAGATCAAATTTTTTCTCCTCTCATTCTTTGATACATTCTTTTCACATTAATGTTATATATACTATCATATTTTTTAGGTTATCCTTTATAAGGATATTTGTAAAATTCGTTGAAATAACATGATTACTTTTTTTTCACCTTGTACATGTTGAATAACATCTAGGTTTCAAAGGAAAAACTAAGCCATTTATATAATGTTTTTATTGATTGATTGATTGATTGTCTTTTTGAGACAGGGTCTCGCTCTGCCGTTGAGGCTGGCCCTGAGTTCATTTTTTACCCCAGGCTGATCTTGAACTTACAATGATCCTCCTGCCTCAGACTCCCGAGTGCTGAGATTATAGGTGTGTGCCACCATGCCCAGCTTTATGTAATGTTTAAAGATAGACCTTTATTTATTTGCAGTTTTAGGTCTAGAAGAAGGTTGAGTATAAGTATAGAACACTCACGTACCTGTACGGTCATGTTTCCTGTTCCTAGCATCCTCAGAATTATAGTAACACATTTATTATTAGTGATGAATGACTACCCCTAACATTTTTATTGTCATAAAATAAATACATAGTTTACTTTGGGATTCACCCTCTGAACTATCAGTCTGTGACTTTGACAAATATATAACCTGCACCCACCATTATAGTATCACATAGGATAGTTTTAGGCCTTAAAAGTCTCGTGTTCTGTCTGTTAATCCCTCGTGTTCTCTTTCCTGAACTCCTGAGAAGGACTGATGTCAGTCAGTCCAAAGTGGCGTCTCGTTGTTTTAATGTGCAGTTCCTTGAGGGTCTGTAAGATCGAGTCTTTTCATGGCTTATTTGCCATTCGAGTATTTCTTCTCTAGCTGTTAGGATCTTTCCTCCTTAAATTTGCTGTTACCTTATTGTCTAGTTTTGAGTTGATTATTTTGGATGCCAGCATTTTATTAAATATGTTTCTTACAAATAGTGTCTCTTAAAAATCTACACCGTGTCTTTCAAAGGGCAGTATCAATTTTTTGTCTCATGGATTGTGCTTTTGGTGTTGTAGTAAAGTAGTCATTTCAGTACCCAGGGTCGTTTAGATTTTCTCCTGTTGTCTTCTAGGAGTTACAATCTTGTTTTTTTGTGTTTAAATCTAAGCCACTTTGAGTTAATTTTTTTTTTGGAATTAATTTTTACGAATGATAGTTCTGTGTCTAGATGCCCTTCTGTTGCACAGGGGTGTCTGTTCGTTTGTTATTTGTTGAAAAGACCATCTTTTGTCTAGTTACTTTTCTTCTTTTTAAAAAATTATTTGACTATATTTGTTTGGGTTTATGACTGGGCTTTTTATCCTTTTCCTTGATCTGACTGTCTATGACAAATACCAGGTTATCTTGATTACTGCAGTTTTCTACTAGGTCTTAAAGAGGGGTATTGTCTACTTTTTATTGTCTGCTTTTTATCCTTTTGCCTTTTCACACAAACTTTAGAATCAGTTTGTTGCTAGTTGCAAAATACTTTGCTAAAATTTTGATCAGGATTGCATTGCATCTATAGAGCAACCTGGGAGGAACTTACATCTGAACAATACTGCCTCTTCATGTCCATGTGTATGGGGTAGCTCTCTATTTAGATCTTGGATTTCTTTCACCACTTTCATAGTTTTTCTCACACAGATTTTGTACATATTTTTTTAGATTTGTTTACACCTAAGCACTTTCTTATTTGGTATTAATATAAACAATACTGCGTTTCTAATGTGGAATTACAGTTGTTTATTGCTGACATACAAGAAAACAATGAACATATATTAATCTAACTTCCAACCTTGTTTAGTTGCTTGTTGATTACAGGAAACTTTTTGGGTGGGTTTTTTTGGTTGGTTTTTGAGGTTTTCTACGTAGACAGTTGAGTTGTTTGTGATGGTAGCTTTATTTCTTCCTTCCCAGTAGTCATAACCTACTTTACTTTCTTACCTTACTGCATTGTCTGGGGCTTCCAGCACAGCGCTGAGTGGGAGGGATGAGTGTGGACATCTTGCCTTGTTGCTGATCTTAGTGGGAAAACGTCGAATTTATCCCCCTGAAGTATGGTGTCAGGGATAGGTTTTCGTAGGTGCTTATTATCAACCTGAGGAAATGTTCTTCTAATTTGCTCAGAGAGTTTAATCACAAAGACTTTTTGGGTTTGTAGAATTTGTAGTAGACAATTTTGTTCAGTAACTTCATTAACTCCTAAACATCATGTGGTGAAGATTTTTTATGATTACTGTTAACTAATAAGCTATGCAAATCGCTATATTACAGATTTATAATTTATTATTCTGAAAACAGTGTTCTGCCATGCAAGGATCAGCGAGGGTATGGCCTAAAAGCCAAATCTTGTCCACTGCCTTGCTTTTTTTTTTATGGCTTTTGATCTAAGAATGATTGTTTACATGTTCAAAATGTTAAAAAAAAATTAATTTTGTAATACATGACAACTACATGAAGTTCGAAGTCTGTCGCTCATGAGTTAGGGTTTCTGGAACATAGACACGTTCATGCTTGTGTGTCTGTGGCTGGTGTCACAGTGGTGCTCACTTGCTGCACATCACAGCATTGTACCTGCTGCTTGCTTTATTGCACATTTATTTTTATTACTAATGGCAGTCTTTGAAGGTGACCCCAGGGCACAGTGCAGTGTGGATTATCATATCAAAGTGGTGAAGCCTTATTATATAACAACATTATAGCTGTGCTAAAATAGTTTTTTTGTTTTGTCTTTTTTTGAGACAAGGTCTCACTGTGCAGTTCAGGCTGGCCTTGAGCTCACTTTGTAGCCCAGGCTGGCCTTGAACTTGCTAGGATCCTCCTGCCTCAGCCTCCTGAGTGCTGGGATTACAGGCATGTGCTACCGTGCCTGACTTTTAGCTGTGCTAAAATAATACAAACTATATTGACCTTTGTGAACAAAGCATGCATAAAAAAAAAAACACATGAAAACAATGTCCAGAAGGTTTGAAACATCATGTCTTATTATAGCAGAATTTCTTGAGAAAAATACAAAGAAATGAGGTTGTAACCAAAGTGAGTTTCAGAGTGAGTCATTCGTTAGCCAAGGAAGGAAAACCTTTTTGCTAGCAGTGAGTTAATTGGATCATGTCTGGTAACAGGAGCTAAAGAAATGAGTCCAGAGAAAATAAAACTGTTTAAAGCCGTTAGACTTCAGCGAGAACAGTTTCCTACAGGAATGGGGACTTTCACAGCGACATCAGGAGAGAGTGAAAGAGCAAGGGCGAGAGTATCGAGTGTGAGTACGTAGTTCTCCTAAGCTCTGGGTAAGGCAGCAGATACTCCCAGTGCTGCTCAGTTAGAGATGGAAGAACTCGATGTTGAGTCTGAAGTAATGGAAGAATTAGCCTTCAGTAGTCTGCACAGAAAAACTCTTGGTGGGAATATCTTCAAACAAGTTGAAGAAACAGAATTTAGCATTACTATGGGGGACTCTTCTAGATACCTTACAATTAATTATAGGGGGAAATGGATGCAGAAAAAGACTTAGTTGAACAACGTGAGAAAGCTTTGAAAATGTGAAGCCTTTAAAGCCTGTGCTCTTAGGCGTGCTCTGGCAGTAGATGCTCTCTGGAAAGTGTGCAGTGGCTTTCTCCTGTTAAACCAGTGGTGTCCAACAGGGAGCTTCATCTAGCCTCGCAGGGCGAGGTCTCATCGGCTCTGTGAACGCTGGACTTAGAAGCTGAATTTCCTCGTTTGTCGATGGTGTAGCAGTGGTAACTGTAGTGTCCTCTTTTCGAGTTCTGGGCCTAGATGAACATTTTCTGAACAAAAAGAGTCACCCATGGTCACTACTAGACACTGAGTGACTTTGGAAATTATTTTTGCTGAAGACCTGCTAACATTTCTAAATGAATCTCAGCTGAAAATTAGAAGGCTAAACAGTGCTATATGCAAACCTTATACTTCAGTAGACTCATTTTGGAAAAAAAAATACTTTTGTTTGAATAATAAGTAACATCAAGCTGCTTTATGTACTTCCTGTGCTGTCCAAAGTTAAAACAAGAAGCAAGATATCCAATCTCCCAAATATCTGGAGGGAATGTATTTTATGACCTGCAAAATGTTCCAGCAACATTTTTTTTCTGACCTCAGTGCAAATAACTAGGACATTTCCTCATTTTAATATCCATTTTGGCACATGAGGGACTTCCACCTAATCTGCAATTAAAAAGCAGATGTGAACACGAGAATTCAGTAAGGTTTTATGACTGTCTTCCAGTTAATATATTGACATAGTTAA